GAGACAAAACGAAAATTCAAACGAACGTTATAATACACTCTACGTTGAACGGGCAACTTTTGGATTAAATTCAATTTCAACTTTCTCATTTCATCGTTTCTAGGAAAATTCTTGGTACAGTAACTATTTCTATATCAATCTTGTTAACGCTCACTATGAGTTTATTCCAAGACTGTCGTTGGTTATTATGCTTGCTCAGGCAAAATTGAGAATGTAGTAATACATTTCTTCTGCTATGAGATAAAATATATATTTTGTAGAGATTTGACTTTGACGGTCATCAGCAAGAATGTCTCTGTTAAAAACCTGTTTCTCCCTTAACCAGCTGCGTAATAATGGATCATTCTGGAACTAATGGCGACCATCTCGTTATCAAAAGAGTAATTAGTTCAGATCAGTCGTTGATCCAGAGGCATGAGAAGATTCAAGCATATACGATGGTGTATAAATGATTTACAATTGTCAATCGTCACAAATGTAAAGCAGTCCTAAGACCCAAGTAGAGAAAATGATAAGTTATAGAAACAATTGGAAGAACAAGAAAGGAAAATGAAGGAATTGTCAGAAAGAAATAGAGATTTTTGGGAAAGCAGCACTGGAAAATCAAAAAATAAATGGGAAAGGAAAAAACAATACAGATTGCTGAACCATCTTCATCGATAGAAGGGAAGTGAGAATTGATCAAGAAGAGCAAGAGAAACAGTAAGTTTGGCAGTGGATCAAAGTGCAGAGAGGTATTAAATAATAAGAATCAAGATTATTTCCTTCAGTGTTAATTTTGATGATCTGTTAACGATTTTGGAGGTGCGGTAAAAACCATTCACATGAGTAAATGTACCATGATACTTGATGAAAATAGTGAAACTCAGTAATACAGACAGTTTACTAATTTTTTTTTCATTACAAAATGTTTGATGTACAATACGTGTTTCGCTTCACAGTGCCTTCTTCAAGTAGGAACGCTCCTACTTCATCCCACTTGGGTACTGTATTAGTGAATTTTCCATTTATGATCATGAAAAAGAGGTTTTGGGTTTTTACTTATCCATCCTGATGAAGTAATTTTCAAGTCGATTGGAAGGAATCCATAATTGTTATAGTTATTGTTTACGGATATCCTCTGGACAACCATTTTGTGTAGTCAATAAATGGTCTATTTATAAACTTCCAATGAATGTCCTTTTGAAGTGTATGTCCATAGAGACTAAAATGGGAGCTCTTCAGGATGTACAGTGTCTATTCTATTGGAAAATGAAATTCCTGAGAAGATTTTTTCAAGTGAATATATTATACAGTGATTTGAATCCATTACATGCTATTACTTATTAGTTTACTGTATATTCAACCACCCACAGTCTGAAAAATAAACAAATTCAGATGTAATGAAGGATAAACTGAACAGTTTACTGAGTAATATAAACCAACCTGTCGTAATCATGAATTGTTGCTGCAAAGTGAATAATCAATGGGGAAAATTCAATTTAGTTTTTATGCTTTGCTGTTTCAGATAATTTCTTTCACCCAAATACCAAAACTGCAATCCTCGTTTTGAAGTGCGTTTCTCCAACCAGTTTATTTCTTCTCATGACGACCCCAAACTGGTTAGAGTGTTGCAGTTCTGTTGTTTGAAAAAAATACTTGTTTCAATTCATTCATCGTCAGAGCTTCCAGTTTCATCTTTCATTCTAGATTCAGTTTTGTTAATTTTCCAGACTGTTGAACATTTGAAAAACGGTAAAATAACTGTTTGTAAGCTGTGTGAGTAGAACTCGTTTTTTATTGTTACCGGCATTCTGATTTTCATTCATTAGTTTATTAAAAAATTATCGTTTTATTCAATTGGGACTCGTACCCACAGAATATTATTTCTTATAGAATTTGAATTGACGTATTCAGAAAACATTTTATTGTGAGATTTTCACTAAACGATTTTACAAAACCGCAACACGTGTTTCGCCATACGATGGCTTCTTCGGGCGTGTATGCTTAATATACCTTATTTTCTATTTGAAGTACCTACATTTCAAGTACCCGATTCTTACCTAAGATTGTAATGAATTAAATTACCTAAGCTCATGTCCCAGTTTCCAAATTTGAAAAAATATTCAGTAATGGAGAGTTATTCAATTCTTAGTATTCATTCAGTAAATTACCCGAATTACTGAATCTATTGCTTGTTTGCCATCAAACAAGCAGAGAGAGTCCGATATCTAGGGGTTACAATAGATTGTCATTCAAGATGGAATCATCATATCGATGAAGTTACTAAAAGTTTAAGACCATTGTTATATAGAGTCGAATGAATCAATAGCATATTAGATACTCGTTCAAAACTCTATATTATGCTCTTGTGGAGTCACGACTACGATATGGTATCCTTAGCTGGGGTGGTGTAATTAATACCCATCTTGAAAAACATGAGATTGTACAGAAAAAAAATTTGAAAATGATTTACCAAAAAAAATGTACGTATCCGTCTAAAAAGCTTTCAGCTATCCTCAGCGTCAGAAAGTTATATTTACACGACATAGCAATTTTCATAAGTAAAAATAAATACACCCTTCAACAGTTAGATCATAGTTATACCACAAGAAACAAAGCAAAAATGTTTGTACAAATACAGACAACAAAAAAATCGGTGGGACAACGTTGTTTCAAGTTTTTAGCAAATAAATTATATAACTTTCTAGACGATATGCATAAAAATAAGCTAATGAAAGTTAACTCGATACCACTAATAAAAAATATATTCAAAAAGTATCTTCCCAATGTAGATCATGAAATCATATTGAATATAAATAATTGATAACAAATAACTTATCCAAATTTCCCTACTTTCATCGCTATAGAAATGAACTAGATTTTCGATGTTTGATCATCCTCTCATTGTCATTAACTTTTTCTCAGGTCCAGAATATTGTAAATATTGTAAATACTCATACTGAAATACAGTTCGAAGATTATTCGGTAACACAATAAGTAAAGAATTCCCATGCACAACCTTAGGGTTTTGATGGGTTCTCTCGATGTTTATTACCTATATCTACAACATTCCATTTAATTGAATGTTTGTCTTTTTTGGTATTCTATCTGAAATTGCATATGATGTATTAGAAACTCTTTCTATTGCTGGTAAATAAACATATTATTATTGATTTCCAAACATTCTAGAAGATTGAGTTCTTATTCTCTTCTGAATGTAACACATCGTATTCATGATTGAACTCATGTAATTTTGCTAAAATGTGTTTTGCAAATGTGAAATTGGTCTTTCTATTCACAAAACTATTTCAATTGTCTTCAATTCTTTGAAAAAATTATTCTCCCTGTTTGGCCAATATACAGTTTTGGGCCAGAGCCACAAGTCATCTTATATACACCTGATCTATCAGACACCGAATTTTTGTCTTTATTGTTTTTAATGAATTCACCTAGACAACTATTCGTTCTGTAAGCTAGGTTTACGCATTTTCTTCAAAAAACGGGCAATATTATTAGTAGGTTCACCCAAATATGACAATGTCCTATAACTGACGTTATCATATCTTGAATTTGGGTAGACCAGGTCCGTGACTTGCTTTTGTAGTTTTTTGGAAAGAATAGTGACTTCAATATCTACCTACCTTATAACCGTTGTTAACTGCGAATTGTTTCATCAAACTCAGCTTTCTCTGGAAATTATTCTCAGACAGTGGAATATTCAATAGTTTGTGAAGCCTACTATTGAATGCAGCAACTTTATGCTGGAAAGGGTGTGTGGAGGAATTATATATGATAATGTCCGTGTAAGATGGTTTGTGGAAAATTGCAAAATCATGTTTATTGTTATTTTTCGTAAGTCAAAATAATTTATTGAATTATTTACTTCCCTCTCAGTGGTGAATTTTATTGACGGATGGATGTGATTGACATATTCAATGAACTTGCCTAATTGCCTATCTGCCTAATTTTCCTTATTAGTCAGTGGGCTAAGCTTGAAGACAGGCAGTAAACAAATCTAAACAAATGAACTTTAAATATTCAAGCCAGTCTCGGATATACCTACATAGGTAGTAGGTTGACTGGACTGACACCTATCAGAAAACAATTACTCCCCTGGCTAATACCACGAACGGCGTTGGAATATATCCGACAGGCGTTAGTGCAGGAATCTTCACAGAAAATTTCCTACATGTGCAATTGGCGATACAACTGAAAAATTCGGCCTTCAATTTTGGAACGGGCACACTTGCAGACCGGTCTCGGGCTCATTAGCCACTCGTCAGTGCAAGATAGTGGCCATCATCGACCTAAAGTCAATGATAGTCTATAATTGAAAATCGAAATCCTTTCAGAGTATTTCATTCCTCGTCCTAAGTTGCAGCGAACAACAAAATGTCACTATATCTAGCGCCCGAGGTACTAACCAACTGCATATCCGAATTTTGGCCAATTTCTCTGAATAAGGAAGAAAAACTTTATTAGTCAGTGGGCTATGCTTGAAGACAGGCAGTAAACAAATCTAAAGAAATGAACTTTAAATGTTCAAGACAGTCTCGGATATACCTACACAGTAGGTTCAATAGACTGACGCCTGTCAGAAAACAACTACTTCCCCAGCTAATACCATGAACGGCGTTGGATTATATCCGACCTACCTACTGTGTAGGTATATCCCAGACTGGCTTGAACATTTAAAGTTCATTTCTTTAGATATATCTGCCTAATTGCCTAATTGCCTGGACAAATGAAACCGTTACTTTAACAAGTTTTGAAAAACTATGTCATGTGATCTGCTCATTTCTCTATCATTCATTATCATGAAAAACCTATATAATCATTGTTGATCTTCACATACCTTCTACCCTCCATCATAGAATATTTACAAATGTAATCGGAAAAGGGTGTTTATTTAAAAAATAGCATTTTTCTACTTGTGCACACCACCCCAGAAAATTGCCGTATTTTGCGGATTCCGTTATCCTTCTCAACGTCCTTAATAATTACCGTCGTAATTTCAGGTCCCCCCGGCCCACCTGGCCCGCCAGGAGCTCCCGGAAAACGAGGACGGAAAGGAAAAAAAGGAGAAGGCGGTGAGAAAGGGCCTCAGGTAAGTTCAACTTTTCGGTAATTAGAAGGAAGTCTCTTAGATCCGGTACCGGTGCTTGAAATATCCGCTCTCCACTGCAAGATGATGCTGTTATAGTCGAAGGGACGCGATTCGTTCCACGACGTTGCCACGGTTTTCAATTCCAGGAAAGATGGCTTTCATTTGAATACAATCTTATACCAATCTTTGGTCAGCTTTTTTCAAAATAGTTCATACGATAACAAACACTATTTCTTCGCAGAAAACTCTGCTACTTATAGAAAATTAAATTATCACACATTCTTTCTTGTTATTCTGACTGCGAGTTACAGAAACCGAGCCAAGTTCTAATAATTTCTCATTAAATGCTCATATATGTTGATCACCAACATAACTTCATATCATCCGATCAAATAAATCGTTCACGATTTCAATTTTGTGTTCAACCAAGTGGAGTTAATTGACATATCAAAGGAATCAGACCTTATATGGTGTTTTTAACTGATTGAGATTTTTCACCTGGTTCACGATACCCATCAATTAATGCTCGGCAGCCGTATTCGGTAAAACATCAAGAAGAGCGTATATTTCAAAGCACCTCGCCAGTTATGTAGGTACTTGTTAATTTATGTTTGCACATTCCACACTGATTTTGTTTTTTTTTATGTTCCCCCAGGGGTCCCCAGGCACACCGGGCAAGAACGGCTTTCCGGTATAGATTTTGTTATTTTTTTAATAGCGCTCATTATTCATATCTAGATTTATCACCGTTCAGATTTCGCTATTTTTTTTCTAATATTAATTGGTGATAATTGTTTAGAAAGTAGCGATTCAGATACTAACAACTAAAGAATCGAACCGAACAGGTGATTATGTGTCTGAATTGTAATATACAGGGTGTCAAAATGCTTATAATCTGACCTAGGGTTAGATTTTTTGCGGAATAATAAAGAAAGATATCTGTTCTCAAACCACGTCTTTCTTGTATTGATCCAGAGTGTAAACGAATATAGTCGATGTCATCAGCTTTGCCAATTATGAAATAATGATTTTAGCAAGATTACAAAACATATTTGAAGGAAGTTGAAACAATGTTTTACAATACAATACAACTTCAATTTTTATCGATTTACTTCTATCAATATTCGCCTGAAATTTATAGCATTGGAGTTAGTGATATAGATAAATATGTCCGGAAAGAATTGAATACATTTGATTTTTGGTGAAGTTGCCAATGTTGTACCAATAATTTAACAGTTTTTCTTCAATTTGGTGGATAATCAACACTTTTTGTAGGTTGAATAAAATGAACAATGTTCTACGGATCATACTGAAAGAAACGAAGTGATTATAATAAAGGTATTCAATATTACCCGCTATGGCAACGAAATCTTGAGTCAATAATATCGATAGAAAATTTCAATGCTTTTAGATGTCTAGGGAAAAAATCAAAATGAGATCGAGTGACACCTCATTTAGAGATAGAGAACTGTTATAAGGCCTAGATAACATTGGTAATATAATTTCGATTGTGTCAAGTTGGCAGGAATTCCGTCGAAATGTTGAAAAAAACCAATAGTCGACATTTCGAAACTTTATTGTTCCATCCTCAGGACTCTGAAGTAAATGAACAAGACATACATATTAAAATGGGATTCTAAAATGTAGTTTTGTTAAAAACAAAATAAATTATGTAAAATAACAATCGTTGAAAAAATGAAACACTTCAAACGCTTTACAGAAAACACGTTGATGAGTACTTGCATTTGGGGCTGCTTTCCGAGTTCAAAAAGAGTAAAGTAAATAAATTCCACATATAGTTATAAAATATAGATACATACGCAGGTTCACGAAAAATATTAACACAGACACGAACAAATTAACAAACTCAACTGCCGGTGAATCGTTTCTTTATCATACAAAAAAGTTCCTTAAAAAAATGAGGATTGTGATTGAAAAAAGTCGTCTGTTAATGATTCAGAATTATTGTTTGATTTTTTCTATTAGATAGAAACATGAGGTTTGTAAATTTTCAGTTTCCGACCTTTTGTTCCATGATTTGTTATTTCAATCATTTCATAAGAGAGTTTTTTTCAATATCGTCTGTTGTGCTATAATAGTGACTGAAATGAAATCAATAGTATGAAAAAATTACTTAAAATATTCTGCAAGGCTAGTGGGATTTTTCATTGTTTTCAGTGGGTTGTGTATATTTTTACAATGCCTGCTATGTTCAGCAATTCTTTGTTTCAGATACCTACCTGTTTGCCCTAAATATACTTTCTCACACTAAGCACATGATATTTTAAAGATGACATTGAATTTCAGGTCCTTTGATGTTTTTGTTTTTAATCTCGTAAAGAATTTTCAAGTGTGTTTTCACATTTCATACTGATTTTGAAATATTGATTTTCTAGAACCTTGCATAGTTGCGGTGTCATAGTTGGTAATACACTAAACCATAGTTCTCCTATGCCCCTGAAACAATAAATTAAATGCCAGTACCAATTATAATATCTGCTTCGTTATGTCTTTGAAATTGTATTCTTCAATCAACCACAAGAAGCAGATTCATTTGCAGAAAAGTACAATTTGAACATTTATCGTGTACCTACGCTTCACTTTATAGAACTTCAGTTTCATCTAATGAGAAAATGATAATAGTGTTCGTAGATCGTGAATTTTCACGGCTGTAGATAACTGTGAGAAAGAAAGCTATTTTTCGGGTTTTTTGGTCGTGATCTGCAGGATATGACTGAAGTTTCGTCTTCTACTGCGGTAAACACTAGTAAAGGTGGTACGGGTACCTACACTTCTTTTTGTGGTTCCAATGTGGGTTCTTGTGGACCAACCGCAGCTACAAGGAATCTTGCATATCCTGGGTATCGCTGAAGGTTCTCTGGGGTCTTTAGCTGACCTTAGACTTTGTCTGATGGTTTTTGATCAATATAACAATGTTTGGTTACAATAACAGTGTTCAAGAATATGTAATATTGAGGAAAATGTATGTATATTTTGGGAATTGTGTTTTGATATTTGTTTTTCTCTTTCTTTGAACATCATTAGAATTGAATATAAGTGTCTAATAGTTTTTTTCTGTTTTTATTCTATTTTTCAGAGATACTCGCAGAATTAGATGCATTGGTTGTGTTTATATGATTTCAGTATATTCAGAAGTGTCAACTGAACGAACTCCACTAATGGTATCACAGAAACCAATTTCCGGTTTGAAATTTGAGAGTTTTTCCCATCAGATGAATGGTTTGATGGAATTACCAAATTATTTTTGAACATGGCCCCTTCCATTATGAAATTACATTTTCTCACACTTTCTAACCGAGCGATAATAGTCAGTGTAGATCTCCTCACCGTGTTTGAAATAACAACTTCGACAAATTTTGTGGGTGAATTTTTCCACCCTATTTTTCTTCCGGCTTACTCCAACTTATTGCCTCATCTCACACCCAAAGACACAACTCAACTATAACTTAGTATCGTTCTTGCGTTCACATAAATTTCTCAACTAATTTTCAAAACTAAACGATTGTGAAGTGAATATTTCATGTACCACTAGACATGAAGTACGTTTTCCACCCTCGATATCACCCCCGGCAATAATTTCACACTCGAGTGGAGTGGAAGCACTCAACACCCTTGAAACATTCATAACTGTGACAAATTCGATTGTATACGTTTTGTGGTTATTAGAAGTTGGCGAAGCTGTCACTATTCTGGATGCAGATTATGAGCATTACGATTTGATTATTGTGAAAGCTGCGAAATGAAATTTTTATGAAAGATTTTGATCTATATTTTACAAAAATTGTAGGATGTTTCCAGAGATTAGTTTTCAAAGGAAATTCTTTCTATGTGGCTTTCAGCTTCTTCATCATTTTATAGGTGCTGATGACGAGTTGAAGACTAATGTTTCTATCCTGAACTCCAATAAATCAATTACAATCATTTCCATTTTTTGATATCGCTTACATGTAATGTAATTGTCAATTAGTTGGTAAAATAGTACTCCAGTATAAAGTTTATTCCACCTTAGGCAAACAAATGGCAGACAATATGAATAATACTTCCATCTTCACTGTTCCAAATTCTTTTATTCTTCTCCCCACTGAAAAAAATGAGATCAAAGTGGTTATCAAAGATCTGAAAACAAAGTCCACTGGAATCGACGGAATCTGTTCTGAAACACTCAAGTCCATCTCTTCTTATATAGAGATTGTCATTCATCTTAAACAAATGTGTGGAAGATGGTTTCTGGCCAACAGCTTTCATAAAAACCATAGTAACTCCATTATTCAAAAAAGGGGATGAGGCAGACATTATCAACTACCGACCCATAACAGTCACTACACATCCGAACAAAGTATTCGAAAAGATCATAAAAAAAGGCTAACACACATTGACTTCTCGTAAGTATTCGACACAGTTGACTACAACGTTTTACTGAAAACAGTAGAAGACATTGGTTTGATAGGTGATGCTCTGATCTTGTTTAAGAGCTATCTCGCCAATATACTTCAGTGTATAAAAATTTATTACATTTTGAGTGTCACTGTTATAGTTGTCACCCAAGGCATAGTTCTGGGGCCAATTTTATGCAACATATATGTTATTGGACTTTATTACATCAGGAGCAGGAGTGAAATATTGGGCTTCGCATATGATACAGCCATTTTTCACAAGGCAAATAGTTGGGAGCAACTGGAACATGTAGTTGAAACGGATCTGATTTTGATTAAAAATTGGCTCGAACGTCGATTATTGACAGTTAATCTGGAAAAAAAGTCACTATATACCTTTCAGTTGCAATCATTCTGGCAAACCTTGTATTCGACATTCGAAAATGGAGTAATAATAGCTCAACATCTTAAATGGGATGCTCATATTCAGTATATTTACAATAAGTTGTGTTGCAAATTTCTTAAATTCGTATTTTTGGTAAATGATAACGAACTCTAAGCTCAAAATTTTGTACCATGCATTTGTAGCGAGTTACATGAGCTACGGAATTGCTTGTTGGGGAGGAACCTACCATACGCACCTTTGCTCTCTTGAGGTGCTCCAAAACAGGTTCCTGAAATTAATATCGTCCAAACCGCCTTATTATTCAACTGAAACTCTGCTCAACGAAGCCAAAGTTTTTGATATTCGCCAGCTCTTTTATTATAATATCGTCGTCCATTACCATAAAAACAGAAATTTCGTTCTACGAACTCTCTTGCACAACATGCGCAGGAAAAATAATCATGTTATTCCCCAGACACAAAAATCAATTTTCCAACACTCTCATACTTACCTGGCCCAGAAATTGTATAGTATTATTCCTGAGAAGATTCTTACTTCCCGAATAATTCACTTGATTGTAAGAAAATCAAAACTATTAATTTTTTCCCAACCTAGGATAGAAGTTTCCGATTTTGTTGACAGAAAAAATACTTGAATTCAATGTACATGTCTATCAATGTACTATCATTTCAATTCGGAAACCATACACTACATTGTTTTATTTATATTATATATTTCATTCTGTTCCAATAATTGTGCTATTTTTTTTACTAGTACGTAGGTATGTATTATTCTTTCCATTATTTGAAAGTTTTACTTTACGTTGTGTAACTGAAATTGCCACTAACGATAGTTATATCTTGAACTCATATATATCCTATATATAAACCTATAACATTAATGTTATAGGTTTAACTTTATATACTATACTTCTATATTATACTTTATATACTATACTATACTTCAAATTTAGTGAGTACAAGTAATGCATAAAAAATGCAAAAAAATAGGCTAGCAAAATATGTACATTCATATAATGGATAGATGACCAGTAGAAATGGCAATATAGAAACTGATTTGTTTTGAACTAGGACCATTCAAAAATTACACGAATAAAAAATTTTCTGAACTCGACATACACCTACATATTGGAATGGAAATTGAAGTAAATCAATTATGCTTTACAATAATTGCATCACTGAACAATATAAATATAATTGTATAACGTTTTCATAAATAAAATGAAAATGAATAGATGTGAATCGAAATACTTTTCAACAATCCAACGCACGACACCCTGTATATGATTTGTTGACTGTTTTCGTCCAATTTTGCCAGATGAACTTGGGGACCCAGTCAACATTTTTTCCATTTTCGCTGAACTTCACGCTTTGATCGATGCTTAGTTGTTAGTATTTGGGTTGGACCTGAAAACAAATGCTCGTTGCCGAAATTGTGTCATCAAGGATCAATTATTACAGGGTGACAAGGGTCGCAAAGGAGATATGGGCTTCAGGGTAAGAGAGAGTGGTGGTTTATATGTAGTCTGCATTAAAGATGAATGGGTACATTAGTGAGAAATTGGTCCAGTTGAAAGCATCCGTTCTCAATTGATTACATTCCGGAGAAACGATTACGCGTGCTTACTGAAGTTTAACATCACTCTCGTTATACTGTTTCAACTGCAATAAAGATTTAAAATTTTCACATTTTTTGATAGCTTATACGTATAGGAATGCAGACTTTTACCGCTGACGTTGATGTTTTGGTTGGTTTTTGGGTTCTGCGGTGGTCTTCTTAGCGTGTTTCAGTAGCATGATCGAATTAGGAAGTACTGCTACCACCCCTGGCCCAACCCGTCTCTGGGAACGCCCGGGAGGACATTCTCAGAGATGGGCGGCATCTCAACTTATGCAGCTTGGTCATTTACGGTGTCAGGTCTGCCTGTATCCTTCTGTCTTCTATCTGATGCTCCCTCTCTTCCGCCTCTTTCTGTCTGAGCACATTCTCTATGAATGTACCAGCGATTTTCCAGCCATCGCTAGAGCCCAACATTAGATTTACATTAGATGCTGTCGAGTGAAGCTACGATTCTCGTTGCCAGTTCATACGCGTTTCTTTCCCTAAACCACCTTAAATATACAAACATGGTATGCTACACGTCGCCAACGCTTCCACAGTAGATGAATGCGTCATCCATACTCTTGCCTATCCTCATGGTGAAACTCCTGAAGGAACCGTAACTCGTAAAAACTGGGTAATGAAGTAGTTTACCTGTCTGTGCTTGCAGGCCAGCCAGGGATTCACTTCTGGGATTAGCCTCTTCGTCCATTGGACGTTCAAGGTATTGTTGTCCTGCCTGTCCTGCCACTTCAGTACCATTCTCTGTCTCTCGGCGCCTTTATGAACATTTCGGACTTCCGGAATCTCGTCCAAAAGAGCCCTTTTCCTGACAAGAAAGTTCATAAGAGGTATCCCAGCTAACAGGCAAACATCCTCTGCCAACACTGTTCTATAAGCGAAGGTTGTTCTAAGTGACATTTTCCTCTACGAAGCTGAAGCTTCTTCCTTGGTATTCTTCTAAGGCCTTTCCGAGGCGTCCAAGTGGTAGTCAGGGAGTTGTTGCTATTCATGAATCAAGCTGTATATCGGCCTTGCAGTTCCTGAAATCTCAAGTTGATTGGGGTTATATTTATTCGCCAGATCTTTGGTAGATATGTTTTCTCTGGCACACAGCACTGAAAGGTGCCAAAACGAATCAAGGTCAGCCAAATCGGGCGGAAAGTAGGCGCAAAACCGCCATTACAGAAAATCAGCACCATGAGTGATATACCAAAAATGAGAGCTTCAGTTTCAGTTGATACGTCAAGAATAGTACTTCTATCACGCCACTAAAGAAGACTGCCGCAGTTGCAGTTGAAACGTTTGAAGATTGTAATCAAAGATAACCACGGAAAAACTCGAAAACCAACCAAAACATTTTAATAGCTTTTCTGGGTGGACAGTAAATTTCTGAGTATTTACGTCATTCAATTTATTGTTGAACTCCACGTGAATGATCGTTACTAAAATTTATATATTTATTAACAGCAACCAGAAAATATGCAGTCGCATTTTGCATATTCGAACAGTCAAGTAAAATAATTAACTTCTGCAGTTCCTAACACTTCAAAAAATTTGTTATGTCTCAAAAATACCGCAGCACTCACTCATGGTAATGTAATGCTGTTGCGTAGGGTGATGTTGATTTTTCTCGTAAAATACTGGCCGTTTTTTTAGCTGATTTCACTATTTCTGTCCCGGAAACGGTAAGACCCAAAGGTCACTTCAATTGGACAACAGTTTTCTATCCTGGGAAGCTAGAATTATCTATTTCCAGATCGAGAATATCAGTAGTTATTTTTGAACTATTCGCCAAAAACTAGATCAGTCGTTTTTTAGCTCAACCGCCCCCATGATATTAAAAAAAGTAAGAGAAACATTCAATACTGTTTCACATTTATTATAATCTGATTTGAACCAATTAGAAATGCGAAGTTTCGTTCATTATATTTCATCATCAACTTCATTTTTTCAAATACAGACGTCTAGTTTTTTCATCGATGTCTGATGCCACTGAAATAACAAATTCAGCTATGTAGATAGTTATTAGGACTATTTCAACAATATTGTTTTTCTGTTTCATTACTGGTATATTCATTACATGTTGAGGAAGCTCTGACCGGAAATTGTATGACCATTAAGTGATACTGAGAAAAACTTCGGAAAACGTATTATGTATTGTAATACATAGATGGATTCGTTATTACAGTGGCTACAAAATTCGGCAAAAAAAAACTGGAGGTCGGTATTTTAAAAAATAAAGTTGATGATGAAATATAATGAATGAAACGTCGCATTGCAAATCGGGTTATATCAGATTATGAGTGATATGAAACGATATTGAAAGTTTCTCTGCCTGTGTATGGAGTAGAGCAAAAATTCGACAAACCTAATGTTTGACTAATATTTCAAAGACAACCATTGACATTCATGATCTGAAGAAATATTATTCTAGTTCCCCAAAAACGGAAAGCTGAAAATATGGCCTTCATATACTAACTGAAAAGTATTCATTGTAATGACACCATATTGAATGTTCATTAGAAAATCCTACAATCGCTGTAAAAATTTCTTCACAACTCTAGATCAATCATTTATATACATAAATTTGAAATCAATGGGCTATCTTAATATAATCACATTTATTTCCATACATAAAAAAATACCATGACATTAAATGTTACTTACATAAATAGGATCAACAATTTTAGCAATATTCATACTTAATGGGAAAACTGAAAGCAAAAGTATATTTATTGAAAAATTACAATAATTTGACTAAAAAAAATATACAAAAATCATATTTTATTCCAGAGTCTTTTACATTTCATGTGATTCTGTAAATTGATTTAACTCTGAGAAAAATACCGTTTTGTTCTCAGCTTTTCTCAATGAACATATCTTTCAATCAATATGTAGATCATTCAATATATGGAGCCGCGATTCAAAATGAATGTCAGTTTTTTGAATAACGTGTTGTTTGGAAAAAATAACTTTCAATGGTATTGCAACTAGCAGCTAACAGACCTAATGAAGTTTTGATTGAGTTTGTGTAACAGTAATTAAAAATTGCATGTTCCAACCTATGTCTGACCTATCCAGAATTTGAAAAAGTGTATGAGCCGCTTCGAAAAATTGTACACCTCATTTCTGATGTTTACTCCTGAAATACATCATTCTGTGATATAAAAGAACTTAATACCCGTTATAGTCTCGACTAGCGTATATGAAACAACTTTTAGGAACTTGAACAAATAGCAATCTAGTTTAACTCGAGGCTAAAATTGAGGTCAACTGTATTGTACGCTGTATGTTCAAAAAATAAGGTAAATTTAGATTTTTCTCAAAAAAATATTCATCTATTCATGCTAGCGTTTTTTTCAATCCACGAAGTGGTTCTGATATAGATCTTTTCAATTTAGGCAACAGGAAAAAGTCGCAGTGGGGCAAATCTGGTGAATATAGTAGCTGACGCACGATTACTGTGTTGTTTTTGGTCTTATTTTTTATCTGGTACCTCAATAGAGATCTTGGTACCCCACAGCTGATTGAGGACTTATAAATGAAGATGAATCGTATCTGTACTAGCATGTTGATTCCTTTCTTCCATTACCTGGATCCGACGTATCCGTTATACAGCTCTATTTCTTTCAGGTGCCCTCTCATTGAACAGTGTCCAACCTTGTGAATATTCTGTGTCAATTTCTGCTTTGCTGAAACAGTTCTTCAATTTCCTTCTCGAACGATCCCTTCATGGAGGATTTCCAGGTATATTCGTCCAGAATTCTGTATGTTTCTCATTGTCCTATTTTTTATCTGGTACCTCACCAAAGATGTTGGTAACCCACAGCAGATTCAGGGCTTATAAATGGAGATGAATCATATGTGTAACTAACATGTGTACTACTTCCTTCTGGAGCTGAGGTCTCCATTATACAGCTTTATTTTGTTTGGTTACCCTCTAATTGAAAAGTGCCCAGCCTTGTGAATATTCTGTGCCAATTTCTGTTTCGCTGAAGCAGTTTTTCAGTTCCATTTTCGAACGGTCCCTCAATTTCCTATTCTTCAGTATGGTCCCTCATCAAAGATTTTGGTACCCCACAGTAAATTCAAGGCTTATAAATGGAGATAAGTCGTATCCGTACTACCATGTTGAATACTTTCTTTCATTTCCTGGAGCCTGAGGTCTCCGTCTGTTTTGTCGGGTACCCTCTCATTGAACAGTGTCCAGCCTTGTAAATATTCTGTGCCAATTGCTGCTTTGTTAAAACAGTTCTTCAACTCCATTCTCGAACAGTCCCTCAATGTCCTATTCTACAATATGGTCCGTCATCCAATATTTTGCTACCCCACAGCAGATTCAGAGCTTATAAGTGGAGATGAATCGTATTCGTGCTACCATGTTGAATCCTTTCTTACCATTCCTGGAGCTGAGGTCTCCGTTATACAGCTCTAATTTTTTCGGGTGCTCTCTCATTGAACAATGTCCAGCCTTGTTAATATTATGTGCCGATTTCTGCATTGCTTAAGCAATTCTTCAATTCTATTCTCGAACGATTCCTTTATGCATAATCTCCTAGTATATTTGTCCTGAACTCTTTATGTTCTTCATTGACCTATCTCTCAATCTGGTTCCGTACCAAAGATTTTGGTACCTCACAGCTGATTTGGAGTTCATAAATGTTGAATTCAAATAATGACACTATCTTTTTCTTGCATTTCCTAGAGCTGAGTTCTCCGTTTTACAGCTCCATTTCATTTGGATGTTCTTTCACTGGACAGTGTCTCGCCTTGTAAATGTTCTGAGCCGATTTCTGTTTTGCTGTAGCAGCCCTTTAATTTTCTACTCGAACAGTCCTTTTATAATGAATTTCCAGGTATATTATTCACTGTCCTATTTTTTTCAATCTGGTTCCTCCCCAGAGATTCTGGTTCCCCACAGCTGATTCAGGGCTCATAAATGGAGATGATCCGTATCTTTGTTTCCTTCACTACTTGGTAGCCTTCTGACGAGTCCATTTCTTACAACTTTTCAGAAAAACAATGCGGCCTCAAGTGCTTATTATATTTTTCCCCCATCTTTTACATGGCACTCATTCTAACAATCTTGAGCTTTGCACTCGTTTGCTCTGCACTTGCTGGATGTAGTTTCTAGACAGTCTATTATTGTACGCCAGTCTTGTCAGTTCCTCATGGCATTCCTAAAGCAGTATCGATGTTACTCTTGGATTCATCAGTGCCCTAAGTGGAGCGTGGGAGTCTGTGAAATTATGGATCCGCTCATTCCGTTGAGACCTTAACTCCAGTTTAAGTTTTCGGCCCGTTTGTATTCCAGGTGATTCTGCCGGGCATGTTTCAGGATAATTGTTCATTCTCCACTTTTCGCTACTCAAGAGTTCGAACACTTATATCTCACACTCATCATCGATGCCTGTAATTTCTAAGTGTCCCTGCACCCTGTATCGAGTCAATCAATCCCAGTTTTGCAGTTCCTTCAGTTCCTTACATCATTCGTCTCGAGTAACTTTTGGGTTCATTAGCACAAATTACCGAATTCAATTCTAACTTAACAAAGACTTCTCTTCCATAAATTTTGAATGTGTAAAGGTAATTTGGAATAATTTCAAAGAACAAACAGTGTTTGTATTTCTGAAACCAGTATTATAAATGAGTATTGCAGAAAAGACTGATTGTTGAATTCATTCATCAGAAGGAAAACTGAATATTTATCAATCATTTATAGCCAAAATGAATAATATGTTTTCTGAAAAGATGTTGTCGAGTAGTTTTCCTCATCACCAAAACATTTTCAAGTCTACCAAAAGTTAGTTACATAAACGAGAACTAGTCGGGACTTTCGGTCTTTATGGGAAGTAAATGAGTGAGAAACTCTCACGAACATGGCATTTCCATGCTCTGTTCGGCACTCGCGTCGGAAACAATACAAATTGTTGTTGAATCAAGAGCCATAAAGAATATTTATGGAGTGATACAATCTGTTGCAGGGTCCGACAGGGGTGCGTGGATTTCCGGGATTTCCGGTTTGTTAATTTCATTTGTCCGATTGTGGTGGAGGAATCTAACCGTACTGAAGTAGACCGTAATTAATTGTAGCGTAGCGATGGAGTAAAATCGATATGACGATCGACTAGAATTATCGAATATCACCTTGAATGATCTGTTTTCTCCAGTAGATTCAAGAATGAAGGTGTGAATTATGTAATACTGTTTTGATAACAAACTTCTGAAAGTAACACAAAAAATCAGTATCTGAAATATAAATGCAACACATGTAATCTCTCAACTATCCAGCACATCGCTTATTTCCAATTCCTGTCAAAAAATAATTTCAGTTCAAGCTATCATCGGGCCGAATGTTTATTTATTCTCTGCACTTTGAATAGAAACAGAATAAATTCAATAATTATCCTTCGCGGATGAGAAATTGTGAATTAATATTCAACACCAAATACATTACGTTACGATAGAAAAAATAATTCACAATAAATCAATAGCTTATCAATATTGAACAGAAATTTCTAAACTCAAGAAACTTTGATATTTCCTAGAAAAAAAAAAGATAAAGGTTCTTGCTTTTAATTGAAGGAGGTGCTTTTGAATATAATCTAGGATATTCGAGAACATTCTGAAATTTTGTGCAATGTTCGGGAATTACCTGGAAAGTTTGGGAAAGTCCCAGGGCATTTCATGTCCAGAAAAGTCTTGACTACTGAGGAATGTTTTGGAACATTGTGAACTATTTCCAAATCTTTTTCATGTGATATAAGTTTATAAAGTTAGTTCCGTCAACCTCTTATAATATAGAGGTTATCTTTATGTTCCAACTACCACAAAATGGTATATCAACTCCCTGAGCAAAACCGAGCTATTAACTTATAATATCAACTTTGATATAGGTAGTACCTATCTATCTGAAGCCAAACAAAACAAAAATACTATCTCAACCTTTAAAATGAATCACTAACATTTGTGAAGGATTGATATACTATCCGTCGCAAAACGCCGTCCTTTCATGGGTCCCTCCAATTTTGGAAAAAGTCGCGGGGAGCCAAATCTGGTGAAAACGGTGGTTGATGCATGATTACGGTGTTGTTTTTGATTAAAAAATTACAAACAAGCAATGACAAGTGAGCAGGTTCATTATGGTGATGCAAAAACCATGAATTGTTTTTCTCCGTGGCATGAGCCAACCGATATGCCGACATCCACAGCAACTTCTCTAATAGTAATTCGACGATTCTCCATAACAATTTTTCTCACTTCCTCAACATGTCCATATATTGTTGGATTTCTGGGGCGTCCAGCGAAGTGAATGGTTTTGTTGACTTCTCAGAGATAACATGGTCATATTTTCAGTGTATGAAAATCAGTTCGCTAGTTTTTTAGTTCATCGCATTCAGACAGACACACAATTCATAATATGTAGTGATCAGTAACAAAGTTGTTAAAATAATATATATCAATTATTAGACATGTGGTTCCATTTTTTGCCTTCCCACCCCCTCTATCTTGAATCCAGGTTTCAAAAAAAAGTATATTTTAATAAAAAAATTTAATGAAGAATTCTAATGAAGGATTCTAATATTTCTTATAGTAACATTGTGAGAAATAATTTCACTTTGATTTCGACATACTCAGCAGCAACAACTTTTGATAAAGTAAAAATCAAGCAACATTTTCGAACGATATGTTTATAATGGAGAAGAAAATCTACATGAAAATGAAGCAAAATGTTTTTCTGATGCATACACCATCAAATTCCAAGGTCAATATTCGATAACTTTAGTATATCAATGGTAAATACACTTCACCCCAATTCAGTTATAACAAAATCGGCAAGAATTTTTTGTTTATCAAATCGTGGTAACCAATTAATATTAGCATCATCTATTTATGTTTCGTTTCTCTAACACAACATAACATCGCTTCTTAATCCTCATCTCCAGAAATGAAGTCGAATCAAGAATGAGATGATTTTTATTCCATTTCCAGTCAATATGAACGGTTTGTAACTTATAAGAAAATTCTTCAAGTATTCAACCCACTTCAAATAATATTGTATATTTTTAAACTCAAAGGATAGCCAACAAAAGTATCTCGCCTTACGTTTTCAATACTCATTCTTTCGAAACTTGTTCTGAAGGGGGTAAATTTTGAACATTCGAACCTTTCTCTAAAACTTCATAGCAGTCGAATGATTACAAGTTTTTCAAGTGAAATGGAGTCTATCCAGCTTGGGGCACAGACCAGAATATTTTATTAATTTGATTGTAGTGACTTATCAAGACAAATTCAGATTCTTGTACCTAGATCAAAATCCAGGCATATGATTGCTTTCTACAATAGAAATCCTAAGACAAATTTATTGAAAAAGTCGCCGATATCCTACATCATGATAGCACACAGTTTATTTTAAAAACTATCAAAATTTCGATGTTATGATTGTTTTCTATTTTTTTTTTGTAATCTGAATATTTCTTTATACTCTCTAATTATTTGTATTTTCTCTATTTTTGGGTATCAACCTATTGAGAATAAACATATTATCATTGTTATTATTTTCATTGTCAAGAAGGCGAAAACTAAGTTTCTTGAAATGCTTCATTTTATAAAACAGTTTTATTTTATTTCTCTTTAGGAAATGGAGACGGATGTCGAATAATGGAATATTGAAAGATATCAAAGTCATCTATGAATTAATTTATTTCAAATACTTACTACATCAGTCCTAACTTGTTGATTCGATTGTCACTTCATAACAGAAACTATAAAAACAATAACTGTAAACAAAACAAACAATTTTTCGGTTTTTGACAAAAGACCAGATGAATGGTCTGCTGAGTTGCCAGATTTGACACTTCTGGATTTTGACTTGAAATATTCACTTGAGAAAAAGCGTAAGGTTTTGAACTTTAAGGCTAGCCTTGTTTTGTGATAACTTATTATATAATTCAGAATCATTTTGGAATAGTTTGAAGTTATAAAGTAGAAAATTATATCATGTATATTTGAATGAAATTATCATCTGCAGTCTTAGAGATCTGACTTCATATCTGTAAAGAAATTCAGAACATAATTCGGCAATTTAATAATCCTCATTGTGTTTCTCCAGGGTCCCATTGGATTAGATGGTCCCAAAGGAGAACCAGTAAGTATTCTCGTAAATATACCGAAACAAATATAAAGAATGGTATTTCAGGGACGGCCTGGAGAGAAAGGTCAGAAAGGACAAACTGGTAGTGCGGGTATTGACGTCCTTCAAGCTGTCAAGGTGAGTTGTGAAGTAAACAAAACTTAATCAATGTGTCCAAATTTCAATAACAAATGACTACATTGGAATACCCCTCTGGATCTACATATTCAGATCAGTAAAGTTCGAATGAAACTCTAAACCCGAACTACCTGTGGTTATTTTTAGTTTCGTACGAGGGTTGTATGATAAGTCAGTTACCTTTTGAATTTCCTGGGCAGTAACCTCAAATACAACGCTGCTACTCTCAACTGTCACATTCGAATAGACTACTGTCAAATTTTCAGCAAGTCGCGTTACTCAGTTTGTATTTTCCAGTTGATGGTTGTCAGAACCAGCTTGAGTTTTAGCAAAAATGGGAGGATGTGAATTTCTCATGGAACACAGGAAAGGTTTGATAAATACCATAGAAATGCTGCATCATTCAGAGGTCCATTGTGATCCCACCAGCACAAGTGACGCCAAAAGTGCAGGTCGCCACAAAGATAATCACGTCAGGAATCGTTGATGAAATTCATTGAGTGATATCGGACGATCGGAGAATAAAAGTACATGAGATGGCTAAGGCATCTCAAGTGAGAGGGTACATCATATTCTACATGAATATTTGGACATGGAAAAACTATCCGCGAAATGGGAGATGCAATTGATCACACTCGACCATAAGCACAACCGTGTGACTACCTCACAGAAGTATTTGCTGATGTTGCTTGATGATGCTGCAACCCGAAAGATTTTTTGCTCCGTTTTGCAACTGAAGAAACAACATGAATCCCTTACAATACATCAGAAACCAAAGAGCAATCGAAACGTTGGGTATCACAGGGAAAACTGAACTGAACTGGGCCAAGATGGGTCTGTCATCCAGCAATTCATGGACACAGTTTTTTGTGATACACTCGGTCTTACTCACATCGATTACCATGAAAAGGATACAGCGATCACCGCCAAATATCATATAAAGCTTTCAGATAGATTTGAAATTGATTTGGAGCGGCGAAGAAAAAGGGTTTCATCAAGACAAATCACGGGTATAGCCATGTTATTAGAAATTCATAAATTGGAGTATGGCCTGCTACCCCATCCAGCATGTTCTCCAAAATCAGCCCCCTTTGACTATTTTCTATTTCCAAATGTAAAAAATGGCTGGATTGTAACCGATTTCAGTGGAGAGAAGATATCATCATCGAAACAAATGTTTTCTTTGAGGTCATCCAGAAAATGTATTTTTTGTGAGGAAGGACTGTTTTGGAAAATCAAACGCTTATTTGTCGAAAAATGTTTTTAATTCAAAGACAATGACTTATCTAACAGCCCTCGTATGGTCAACTCACAGACACAAGCAATAATTTCATGAAGTTATTAGAAAAACATCCAACCTTGAAAAAATTCATCTGAAATAGAGTTTTATCAAACGAAGAAGTTAAATGCAGGAGTGTTTTACGCATAATAATTAAAATCGTCCTAAGTAGCTGGCATTCTGTATATGGGCTAAAATGTGCATCTAGAACTTTTTGTCACAACTTTCATCGATATTCTGGGAAACAACTATGTATGAAGTCCCGAATAAAATATTTTTCTCGTTTTTCCCATACTTGAGTGGTCCAGAGGAGAGATTCCAAATATTGAATGTAAACTTGTGATCTCATTCATCTTTCATTTTATTCAGCTACCAGGAAGGGTACGTATATGAGATATATGTGTTCTGTTTTTGTCTTTAGAACATGAGTTGGAAATGAAGCTCGAATACTCTGGAATTTCTTTAAAGCTTCATTGATACCTTCAACTAGAATGAAATTAATACATGAGATTTGGAACTTGCATCCATTAAGAATTTTCTAAATAATGATCTTGCTGTCAGCATGTCCTGCATATGCGCTCTTAGCCTATATCCGTCGACGAAATGCGGCCCTAAGAATGCTCCATTATCACTTACAGCACTTTTACGGTATTGACGAGACACCGGTGTTGTCCTACGCTTCGGGAGATATTGAATACGTTGTAGGGAACGAGAACTGTCGAATTTATTGAAACTACACGTCCACCACCCTTACGTTCATACAAGCTGACCTGATGTAGTCCTTCTCGACCGCCAGAGCAAGACTATATTTGTCGAGAAGTTTTCATCTCCTGGCGTGACGAATATCGTCCGAAAAGAGAAGGAAAAACGGATGAAACATCAATGTTGTCTCTTCGAACTTCGTGGACCCTATCCAGACCACTCTGTAACGATGTTTGACATAAATATTGTAGTCTTTTTTTTCACTGAAAAAGTTTTTTTAATTTTTTTTATCAACTTGATTTAAACTTCAAATAAATCTCATTAGAATTTCTTATTCTGAATTTTTTCTCTTATATTGAAAAAAAATCAATCAGAATTGAATTATTGAATTATCTGATTTATTTTTCTATCTTTTAATTCCTTTTCAAAGTAAAATTCAAATTATCTATTCAATTATTCATTAAGTAATTCCACTAATGATTTATATTCTTATCTGTATGATAGTTCATCAAGTAGTTTCGCTAACGCTTTCAATTACCCTTTTTAAATAGAAATTTCCCCAAAATTCTATCTATACAATAATCTTACTAGCACCGCTAACATTTTCAATTATACCTTTTTGAATAAAAATTTTCCCAAAATTCTATCTATTCTGTTGAATAGATAGAATTTTGTTATCTATTCTGTTGCATAGATAACAATCCAGTTAGTAGAGCTAACTGGATTGTTATCCAGTTAGCTAACGGTTTCAATCACCCTTTTAAACAGAAATTTTCCCAAAATACTGTCTATTCAACAGTCTCAAGTAGCTTCGCTAACATTTTCAATTATCCTTATTTTAAATAGAAATTTCCCCAAAATTCTATCTATTTAACAGTCTGAAGTAGCTCCGCTAATATTTTCAATTATCCCTATTTTAAAAACACTTTCAATTATCCCTTTTCAAATAGAAATTTTCCCAAACAGTCTCAAGTAGCTCCGCTAACATGTTCAATTATCCTTATTTTAAATAGAAATTTCTCCAAAATTCTATCTATTCAACAGTCTAAAGTAGCTCCGCTAATATTTTCAATTATCCCTATTTTAAACAGAAATTTCTCCAAAATTCTATCTATTCAAGACATATTTCGGTGTATCCTTTCCGAGGTCATATATATTTCTCACAATCGTAGAATAATTAGGAGTCGTAGGGGGCTGTAGAAAATCATTCCTCAGAGCCGTAGGGGACTGTGTGGCATGGTTAAGTTTTTAGAAACGCAAGTTTATAAGTGTACAAAATGGAAATCTCATTGATTTCCATTTTGTACACTTATATAAAAAATCATTGATGAAATGATGCCTTCTCTCTTCTCGAATCTCAAGATCATACCGCCTTGCCGCACTACGGCAGAAATCCTAGCTGAACACATGCAGAAGGCTGTCATTCTGTCACTGCGCTCGCTCAGGGCACATGATTCTCGGACCCAATGATCACTTACCCCACGGTGTGGGGAGTGGTGGTTGGTTGATAATGCTGGTGTGCCCTCCTGGATGTGTCCGGACTTCGGGAGATAGAGCCTGATCAGCGTAAACTTAGGTTTAGAAATAATAATAATGTTTATAATAAATTTCCATAGAGTATTTAGTGCAGTAAGAACTTTTTTTTCATGGTATTAGACGAGTCAAATACAAGTAAAATACACCTATAAATAGAGAAAACCGGAATAAAAAATGTCAATACGTCCGAAAGTAACTTTCAGCCAGACTACTCGATTATACTGATTCAAAAAAATGATCATAGAATACAGTACAGAAAAAATTTTGTTCCGCAACATTATCAGAATCAAAAAAGTTGTTCTCATTATCGTTGAAAATATCATATTGCATATTTGATATTAAAATAGCTGGAAAAAATTTCAGAGTATACGAGAATGTAGTATTTCTAAAAATATCATAGTAATCATGGGGTACTTTGGTTCACAACATTCTATAAGAAACTTTTTCTCGTTAACACTAATTTTCGCTATGAAGTAACTTCTCATGGTTGGCTTAATGCGCCTCAATGAAAGCAAAAGCCATTATCATAGAGTGAGTAACTTCTCATTGTAACTGATGAAATTTTTAATTACTGCATGGTGTATTTCTTAGTAAACTAATCATAATCGATGGTACGAAAACAAAGCACATAAATCTCTCACAAACATTTTTCCAGGGCTTGAAAAGGTCGGTAACAACGTTACGTGGAGGAACCTTGGGGTATGCCGAAATTGTAGCTGTCAAGGTGAGGGGACACTTGACAGCATTTTTTGCTGTTTTCCCTAGTAGCCTATTAGGAGGATGTCTTTTGGTGTTGTTTACTGATTTTGCCACATAATCAGGTCCAATAGTTTACTTAATCATTCATGGGTTTATGAATTTTTGATTTTCAACTGGTTTTTTACTCAAAAATGATTTTTATTGCCGAATTTTCATTAAAAATCAAAAATAACTGTCATATATCTTCAGCATTCTCTGTATCTACTTGATGAAGACAATTTTTGGAACTCCTGCTGACTTCCATAAAACTAAGAACTATTTAAGTGAATAATTTTGCAAGATATTGGACCTCATTATTCTTCAATGTTTTACGTATATTAGTTTTCAGTATTTTTCAGCATGGCTATGGGTGGAACTGCAGCAACTTTTTTACTGTCATCTTCACATTTTGTTTTTGTTATGTTTAGAGCTGAATTCACTGTTAGTATCGTTTCTAGGGGCTACAAGAAAGGGGCCATAACATTTCCGGGGAAACAATTATCACATTGAAAGTGAGTTTTTTTTATTTGGCAATCACACATTTCATCCTCACACGATAAACGCCAGATATTTTCATACAAGCAAGTTAACAAAAGATACAATAGGATAGTCGATTCAGTGATCATTATCTCTATAGAAAATTGATGTCTCCAATGCATATCTCTCGAAATTGATTTTTTTTTAAATTGTTCTTCGAAAATATAGTTATGTCACCACATACAATTGGAAGAGGAGATTGAAAGTGAAAATCCAGTTATGAATTAATACTTGATTTTTGAATTGCAACAAAACGGAACCAGCAAAAACCATTGAGCAGCAGAAACAGAATCTGCAACAGGGGAGAAATCAAGTCAGAAAACACTCAAACTCAAACAATGATTCATCCATATCAGAGTAAAGAAACCCTGAATAGCTGAAGCTAATATAAAATCAGGTATAACTGATTTATATCACCCGAAGACGATTGTAGATACCAACAATCGAAACGTCGTGAACTAACGTGACTTGGAATCTCTACACTTTTTTATTATTCTCTTTTTTCATTCCTTTAATTTTTATTTATTCAATTATTATATTTTTACTTGTAGGTTATTTCACTATCATTTCATTTCAGGTTTGTTTGCTTAATATAATTGTTATCTTCAGCTATTCTTTTTTTTTTTAATTATTCTTTTTTACTTGTTACAGAGATTTCAAATCATTTTATATAGTAGACAATGGAAGTCCGAACTAGTGAAATTCTAACTGATTTATAGATGCAATTATATGCAATATCGCGACATGTTTCGCTAACACAGTAGCGTTTTCGTTGTGATTTACGTGTAGTTCATGAAATCATCATCATCGTTTAAAGAAAAACAGCAAGCATAACAAGGCTATACATTTTGCAAATAAACATTGGGAAAACCACAGAAGCAACAGGTGTTGCTTGTGCGTGGTGTAAATAAATTTTTATAACTTCAGATACTAAAATTAATATTAATAATGAGTATAAGGTTAACAAAAGGGTGAAATAAATATATACAGAACATTCAAAAACTTTGTAGACGTGTAAGTAGATATAAAATTAATATGTGGTATACATAAAATAGATTAAAATAACCATTATAACAATCATAAGAACATCCGAGACTTTTATATATAAAATGAATCACATGTAAAAGAAACATCAATCGGATCACAAAACAATTGGAGACGTGTAAGGATGAAATATATATCTATAAGGATGAAAAATGACTATGGATCTTCAACAAGTAATGGCCGAATCAATCATAAAAATAAATGATCCACAGGTACTACTCTTGAGCTGAACCTCCTGGTTATCTGAAAGAATTGAGATGGTGTGTTTTGGTTAATATGTGCAAATGGTACTTCCTAAGCCACAAATATGTATTGCTTACCTATCTGAACAAGTTAGTCGAAGTCCTGACTATGTAAAGGAAAATATACCATTGTGTATGAACCTTGAAGCGGATTATTCTTCAGCAGGATATCAGAGTTACAGCCTTGCCTAATGAAATGAAAATCCAGTCACTAAAACCACAAGTATAAACTTTCGCTAGTTGAAATGAAGGGTCAAAAGTACATCTACCTACCTACTCCTGGAAAAATGTAGAAAGATTCAAACAATTGTTATAACATTTGGTGAAAAACTTCAAACCCCAGAAAAATATCACTCAATATAAGAATGTAGGCTTTCACTGCTGTAGTCAATGTTTTGGTTGGTGTCCTGATTTCGTCGTGATCTCCTTTGTTACAATCTCCAAACATTTCAACTGTAACTGCGGCAGTCATCTTCAGTGGCGAGGTCGAAGTACCCTTCTTGACGTATCAACTGAAACGTTGGTATTGCCACAAAAATTACTTATATTGGAGGCACGAGAGGAGTAAAGGTAATCGCATTGCCGACTCTTTAGCCAAGGAATAGGCTGCACTAAGAATTTTATGACCCAGTAGCACCTATGGCCTGATGACTTCGACAATTGCGGAACTAGTCAAACGTTACACCCATGCTCAATCTCTAAAGACATGTGATGGAATCAAAGTATGCAATTTTGCCAGGATTACTTTGGGCGATCCTGGAATGCTGGCGCCGAATAAATCTCTGGCGATGACCAGGAAAAATCTACGCTTAACACTAGGATTTTGGACTGGCCACTGTCAACTCTGGAAACACCTCTGCAATATGAGGCTAGTGGACACACCTCTATGCAGGATGTCTGAACAGGAAGATGAAACTGTCAGACATGAAGGTGATGTCTCCTAGTGACCTGTCCACCTTCCTGGAAAGGACAGGATGGTCGATGACCCAGGAGGACAACTCCTCGGGAGGATGTACAGTAGGTCACATGTGGCCTAAGTGCTGTTGGTCTACACTCACTCTCCCTTCTCTACAGATACAGTTACTTATATTCAATAATTAGATGATCATCCTCAATATCACTATCCGATAGTGAATGTAACACTCAAACATCAGAATCAGACTTGAGCCATCTGCTCTAAAAATTATGCAACATCACCTGGTACAGAGAGATAAACTTTCATTTTTCGAAGCTAAATATACTGTTATTTCAGGCAATTTGTTCGATGGAACAAACAGACACAGGAAAATTGCGTTATGTGTACAAACAAATTGCTTTTTGTTTTTATTGCGTATGAAAATATCTGGTAACATTCGGTGCTGTACCATAACTTGTACACACCCCAGCCTTAATTTGACATCGCAGCTTTGGTTTAATTACACTCGTAAATTATTTCACCACATACTTTTTGGGTGTTGCACATGGCAGTGTACGGTATATAGTTGGCAGGCTTGAAATATTGCATAACGTGAAAGATCAATAGTGCAAATATTTATAAGGAGGACGTTTTGATCATTCATACATAGGATTAGTTAAAAATGTCAATGCAATATTTTCATATTTTGTTTGGTACAATATCTACTATAATAAAAATACAACATAAACCCAAAGGAAACATAGAACATACCTACGCAATGAATGCTTGTACTGTAATATTCCATTCTTCCATTTGGGTATCTTAATTTACTTTTTTATACACTGCGAGTTTCGAACAATAATAATGATAATATTGATAATATTGAGTAGATGAATTTGAAATTTATCATAAGAATTATTTTAGTTAGGTTGGTTAGGATAATGGGAAAGAGAAAATAAGAAAGAATAAGTAATAAGTTATAGAGTAATAGAGTAATAGAGAAGTGTGTATCAGTTGAAAATTAAATTTAGTGTATTGTTTTCGAGAATGAACCTTCTAATGTTTTGTTTGTAGTTCGCCATTTTTGTTATTTGCTTCACTTTTAGAGGTAACATATTGTATAGTTTAGGTCCGTAAATAGAATATAAATCTTTGTTGTATGACTTTTTCTGAATTTGGGTATTCTGATAGATAGATCCTCAACAGATCTTGTATATTTTTCAGCAAGATTTTTTTCGTAGTTCTGTTTGTTTTTGAATATCCACTGAAGGCATTGATAGGAATATAGACCCCTGACATTCAAGATCTCGGAATTTTTATATAGCTGATGTTGAGAATAACCTAGGTTTCTTCAAAATAATTTTCATCAAAGTGTTCTGTGTTGTTTGAAGTTGTTTTATTGATATCAGTGATATCATTTGATACGAATAGGGGAAAAGCTCGATGACATTTGAAGTAATACAAACAAAATAATTTCTGGTTTGCAATACTTAGTCCTCCAGTGCACGATATTTTCAATAATCTTACTGGTTGTCACCTAACAAGAATATATTTCCAAATAATCGTCCAACAATGCCAGTACATTCGATGGCAGTGAGATGTCTGAGCTGGTCCTCAGGATACTTCAAAAACACCCTAGATGAATCCACGAATCCCCACTATTCAGACACTAAACTTGATAGACAATTATTAAAATCGCACTATCATTCTGAAGGGTACAGGAAAATTATCCTATAATTCACAATGAAACCTGTAATGTTCTTTGTTTTGATAAGAAATTGGTTGTTATGAAATCAAGAGGCTGATACTTTTCTATAAGTTTATTCATTGTCACAGGTTAGGAGAGAATGTGTTCACATCGATACTATGAATTATACTAATTCTGCAATGTTGTCAGACTGTTCTCAAAGTATGTATTTCTACATACATTACAAAACAATAATGAAACTCAATGAAACCTTTTGTATGAAACTATTTGGTGATCGAAACACGTGTCGAGGTGTTGAAATAACGGTTTGGTGTTGGGAAAAAACTCCAATAATATCCATTACTACACCGAAGGTTCCAAACAATGCATATGAAACATACGATTGCCAACAATTCAGAAGTTAAACTACTTGGAATTGTTATGGATGACAAATTAAAATGGTCAGCGTAGATTTGCTAACCTGGCAGTTTTGAAAACAGCCTTCTTTGGCTTATTTCACTCTCACATTAATTACGGTGTAACTCTATAGGGAAACGCTTTAGACTCTGTGAGAATTTTTAGGCTCCAGAAACGAGCTTCACGAATAATATCTAAAGCCGTGTTAGAAATCACACGTTGAAAGGTAAGACCTCGTTAGTCCTTAGCTCGCACAAGTTTCTCAACTACTGAGAGTTGTCGTTCGTATGGGGGCGACAGCTGATTAACTGAAAAAACAGATTTCAAACAGATTTTTGATTATAGTGACAGTTGTCGCCCATATTTAAAAACCTAGAAATATTCACCATACCATATATTTACATCCTCAATTGTTTGCTGGATGTTTATAGAAATGATCAAAAATTTGAAAAAAATAAATCATATCACAATTTTACCACAAGAAATTGTGACTTGATTCGACCAGCTAGACGTCCTTTATTGACTTCTGAACGGAATACCTTAGACGTAAAATTATATAATAAATTGTCAGTGCTTATTGAGGATCTACCTACCCATAAGTTCAAGATACTAATTCGAAAATATTTGATGTCACACTGCTTCTACTCGGCGATGGAGTATTTGGGGGTCGATGTGAGTTTATGGGAAACTACATAATAGTATCATAACAAACACATCACTGCAACACATGCCTTTATGGAGCACTCTTCACCCAATTCCATTCTAAATAATTAGAAATAAAACAATATATTTCAAATTATAGTTTTGTTTTGAATGTGTATTTTATGGTATGTTATTTTATATTTTATTTTTATTTTATTTTATTTTATTATGCTATGTCCTGGATCTATCACAAATAGATTAATACTCTGTAATGTGGCTGAATAAATGAATAACTATTTAAGTAACAAGTATTGCTTCAGTTGAAATGAAGTCATATATCAATAATTCAACATCAAGTATTATAAAAATAATGTTCCGATTTGATAATTTGTAGCATGTTTTCCAACAGACTTCCGAACTTTGACAATTGATAACGGCCATCTAGTTCAAGCTACATCTGTCAAATTAGTTGTTATTTATTTTCTGTTTTGCCAAATCACCATGGAATTGTATTTTTCAATACCTGCCCTAATTTTTAAATAGTATTCAGTGTTGGCGAATTTTGCGTCGCGGCTGGGCCTGCACCCGTACAAAATTCAACGGTTCAGGAACTAAAGACAAACGACCATAGACAACGACGTGTATTCGATGAATTGTCTCTGGAGCAGTTAGAAACTGACCAAAAATATCATTGAGAACTCATCTTCAGCGATGAGGCCCGTTTCTGGATGAACGATGTTTGCCAGATCACCACTGACAACGCCAATGATTACCAACTTCTTTTGGGATGGCATAACCCATGCCATTGGTCAAATTCAGCCTGATTAATTAGAAAACAAGCCAGCTTTCTCAAAAAATTTTTTTTAGATTTTTCATGTTCAGTGAAAGTACTGTATTCCATTGAGAATCTACAGACCAGTTTAGATGACTGTCGAGAAATAATGAATGGGAATTTCACACGTAAAATTAGATATTTGTGGTGCACTGTTTGGAACCTTTGGTGTAATAATTATAATTACTGGAGTTTTTTCTCAACACCAAACCGTTATTTCAACACCTCGACACGTGTTTCAATCACCAACTGATCATCTTCAAGAGGAAGTTCAATATTCCTCTTGAAGATGGTGTTGGAATTGAACTCAAGTAATATTCATTGAAATTAGACATATTAAACATTTCTCTCTCTTCATAGGCTTTGTCAGCTCGATTTCATCCAGCAACTTCTGTATCTGTAGCCAATCTCTCTTTAGTTTAATCAATATTACATGTCGACCTATAACTATCTCTCCATTTATGAACATCATTCTCCAATAAAATCTGAAGTTGGAAGCTGCCACTGAATAAGCGAATGCACCACTGGAAGTCGCTCTTGAACATCACCCTTTCCAGAAGCAGTAGGGGTGCTACTATATCATGATGATTCTTTGAGTGCAAAGTAGATGTGAGAACGAATCACTTTTCAAGTAACGGGTTGAAGGAATCATTTTGATTGACGTTTGTTGAGGAAATGAGTCGTACAGTTGAATCTAACAGCTCAACGACAGATAATCATTTCTCAATCTATGAAAAGTGGTCAGAAGTGTTAGTTTTTTTGTTGGTAATCAAGCTTGAGCTCATAACTCGAAAAATACCTCGTTCTTACCTTCATTTCACACTGGAGGAATTGGCATGGTGTAAGTCAGAAAACGATTACATTATTTTTACATTATATATACTTTATTGTTCAAAGAAAAAATCTTGTTGACAAAGTTGGTGAACAAATATAAAAGAATACATGAATGTCCTATGAATATAAAAATATAGACAAAATATAAGGTAAACTTTTGTACAAAAACACTAAATAAAAAACCACAAACAATGGTTGAAACATTCATACACATAAAACATGCTAAGTTATAAGTGATCGGTATAGAACTCAGTCAAACTGTAATAGGGTCTACTACTCAAAATTTCTTTAATCATTTTTCTGTACTAATTGGTATCAATATTAATCTCTTTAGTGTAACTCGGCAGATGATTATATATGGAAGCAGTTCGAGTCACTTATTTTCCAATAATGGAAAACTTGTACGAAATATAAATTGCGTTATTGATTCCATTATTGAGCAAACTTGGTAGACTTACAGTATCAGATTCATTTTACTTTTCATTGTTTTTTTGTCATGTATTTTTCCGTTACTACCAATATAATTATGTATTACAAGAAGTCGAAATATTATAATTTTGAATGTTGCATGTTTTTGATAAAAAGTAGCTTTTGATGGCGTGTGTAAAACAATGCTTCCGTAGAGAATGTATGATTTCAGAAGTGAGTGATATTTCAAAAAATCTACTGAAAGGTAGGCAACTGAAAACTATTGATAAATTCCATACAGGCAGTCTAAGTCTATGTGAAAAACTTCGTGATGAGAATAGGGAGTGTATTGAAAAAATATCAATATCATTACACTTTCCACACCATCAAACCACTCTTGGATGTTTTTAATTCCATACCTAAGTATATAAGAGCATTGTGTTGCTGTTTAGAAAGTAATTTAATTATTTTATTGGTTCTATTCTCATCTCCTAAGGGAGTTTTTGTTCTTTTTGAACCGTAACATAATTTTTTATAAAAATGTTACAACGGTATAGTCTCTGAGTCTGACTAATTCGAATACAATTTTCATCCCAAAAAATCGAGATTGGCTTGAAAAATGCATTAATCTGTTCAAAAAATAAGGTGGATTGAGTGCTCAAAACACTTGAAATGTTGACAGTGGCATACGGTGTTTGTGCTCTGCGTCAGAAAAATGGGGAAATTTGTTATGGGGAAAAGTCAAATATTAGAGGAGCTGCTGAGAATATCGGCATATCGATAAGCTAATGCCATGCAGTTTTTTGTAAATTCGTGTGTGGCAGCGAAGTTTGTTTCAAAATTTCTGAATTTTGGCCAAAAAAATCGTCACATGAGCATTACCCAGAAATTCTTGAGTAACTGAATGAACCATGATTATATGGTTATGATATCAAAATCAAAGTCCAATCAAAGCCTTGGTAGATAATAACATTATCCTGAGGTGGGTTAAAGGGCATAACGGGAGTGGAGGTAATCGCATTGCCGACTTAGTCCAGCCAAGGAAGCGGCTGGACTAAGAATTTCAGGACTCAGTGGCACCAACGGCCTGATGACTTCGACAATTGCGGAACTAGTCAAACGTCACAATCATGATCAATCCCTATAGAGAATTTCTAACTGACCACTGTCAACTAAGAAAACACCTCCATAATACGGAGCTAGTGGACACACCTCTATACAGGATTTGCGAACAGGAAGATGAGACTGTCAGGCATGTCCTATGCGAGTGCTCGGAGTTATGGTCGATAAGAAAGTGTGTGTTCGGCGAGTCTTGGCCTACACCTGCCGATACAAAGGAGGTGTCTCCCATTGACGTGTCCACCTTCTTGGAAAGGACAAGATGGACGATGTCCTAGGACCCTAAGAGGACAACTCCTCGGGGAAATGTACAATGGGTCACATATAGTCTAAGTGCTATGGGCCTACACTCACCCACCCTACTCTACAGATACAGATACGTAGCCCTTGAACTTGAACATTCACCTCATTTTTTCAACAGTCCACATATGTTTAGGTTTCCTAAAAATTTGAAATTATCATAGCATAGTGGAAAAGAATAGAAGAGAGAAGCCACAAACAGTTCCAATCGTTCAATACAATTGATTCTGATTCTGGATTCACAAAACCTATTACAGAACTATTTTTCACTATTTTCTGAATATGAAGTTTGTCACTATCCTATTATAGAACTATTTTTCACTATTTTCTGAATATAAAGTTTTTCACCATCCGAAAAATAAAAATGAATGAATCATAGAGAATCTACTGAATCGTAATAAAGGGCAAACTTTTCCCTTCATTAAGTTAAATTATGACTTGTATTTGAAAAAACAGCCTTTTTCCAATTGAAACGTTGTTCAAGAGCGGATTTTTTTGAGTTTCGAAAATGAAAAATGTTGATGTTTCGGAATATATTTCCGAAACATCAACCATCTAAAGAAAGCTAATTACAAGAATTGCAATGAAAATGACAAGTAATTGAATAATTGAACTCTTCAGAGGTTTATATAACGCAGTGACTTTTCGGAGTTGACTTTCCAGTTTTTCTTTTTTGATTCAGCTTTTTCAATTTTCCAGATTATGAAAGACCGATATTGAGAAATATCGTCTGATTTTAATGGTCTATTTTCAAAATAATAATGAAATGAACATAATTACTCACAATGAAGATACGTATGAAATGAAAAATATCAATCATGAATATTTTCATATGTTCCAAATGGTTGCCCAAAATGAAAAAAGCCTATATGTCAGGATCATTCATACATTTATAAATTTTCCATCTAATCAACATGAAAAATATATCTAAAAAGAGGTTGGTTGAGTAACAATATTAGTTTTTTCTTAACAAAACAATGTTTTCCTTGGTGACGTTTCAAATTCAATTCAATTATTTTCCAGAGTTCGAAAAGTAATTGTTTCGTGTTGAAAAAACTACTTTTCGAACTCTAAAAAAGAATTTAATTAAATTTGAAACGTTGGCAAGAAAACAATTGTTTTTTTGAGAAAAAACTAATCCTGTTACCCAACTAACCTTTTTTTAGAAAAATTATTGGATCACTAAACTAGTTAACTGAATAAAAAATATAAAAATATCGACAAACCAATAATTTCCTGCACCTGTAAATAGGTACTGAATGTAACATCATACTTCCTCCTATTTACCTTTATTGCATTATCTCTAGGGCGAACCTGGAGAGCCAGGACCTCCAGGTCCACCAGGACCGCCAGGACCTGAGGGCATGCCTGGCCATGACGGAAGACAAGGCATGCCTGGGGAACCTGGTCCAGCTGGAGACCGAGGGGAACCAGGCCCTATGGGACCCATAGGACCTCCAGGAATTGATGGTCTGACTGGCCCAAAGGTAAGAAAGCATTTTCCATAACTGATTGAAACGAAAAACTACCTCATCATAGTTTTATCATTCAGTTTTCATCATAATTCATTTCACCCATATCTTCATTGCTCATTGCTTTTAGGGTGAAAGAGGTCCAATGGGAATCAAAGGTGTTTCAGGATATCCGGGATTGCCAGGACATATGGGTTTGCCTGTGAGATTTTCATTAATTCAAAACATTGAATATCCACGCGGATGACATTCTCTATTATTCCTCATTTTCTTTTTTTTTCACTACAGGGGCTTCCGGGTAGAAACGGCACTACAGGAAAAGTTGGTCCTCGAGTAAGTTCTTCGAATGGTGTCTGGGATTTGATATCGCTTGTAGACCTTTAGAAAAAATAATTGGTAGACTAACTCCTCATACTTATTTTAGAAAAATGGGGTATATTTTCTACATTTCTGATGAATATTCTCCCTCATATCAATTTTCATTAGACTGTCCATCAATCATTGCATCAAAATTCCTGAACATCAGTTAGTTTCAACCTGAAGACATTTTGTATCCCAATTTCAGAAGGAGTAATAACCAGTGGCAAATGTATATTCCATAGAAAAATCAGATTGTGTTTGCAAAAAATAATTGAACGATGTTCATTACATTCCAGAGGATAGAAGTTACTTTTGAAAAAAGTTTTCTTCATTATTATCTCCTCCCAATTATCTCAGTCTCCTTAGTCTGTTCTCAAATATTAATGAGCCATTTTAACTTACCTTGTTGGCGAAACAACTGCCGCAATAGATTTTCAATTATTGGAACACACTTGCAGACCGGTTTCGGGCTGTTTGGCACTCGTCGGTGCCAAGTAGTGTCTATCATCAATATAAAGTCCATCATTTTTGATATAATTGAAAATCGAATTCCTTCGAGAATCATTCTTTGAACTAGGCTGAAGCGGACTACAAACAACAGGTTTTTCATCGCCCCATCTGCCTGTGAACGAGGTATCCAACCGCATAACCGAAATTTGCCCAATTCCCCGTGTAAGAAAAAAAAACTTTTCACATATTGTCAGTGGGAATACTTGAGGAGTGGCTATAAATCAAATCATCTAAAGGAACAATTTGTTCCGACTTCTTATCGCATATGCAGGAATAACTTCAGTGAAGAATCCTGCACGTCATTCGTGGTATTAGCCAGGGAAGAAGTTGTTTTCTTATAGGTGTCAGTCCATTCACCTACAGTGTAGAGAGTTGAGACTGTCCTGAACGAATTACTCCTTTAGATGATTTACTTCGTTGGTTCACTGAAATATTATGGCTCTTCATGGTTGTTAATACTTTGTCAATGTTATCTTGTTTTGATGGGTGAAATTCCATCATCATTGGCTGCTCTCTGGCAACACAAAATTCATACATGTTTTATTTTACTAATTATCACAATAAACAATTATTACTAACCGTACATTCAGTAGAATACTAACCTCAATAATAACCCCTCATTATTATCGTTTTTTTATTGAACGCTGTAGAGATGTAAAATGATTTCGATTTGGTAATTGGTACTGAAGTCGGGCCTCCTAGTAGAACTAATGAGAAGTACATGGCTAATACCAATGAATAATAATGAAAAATGAAAATTATCCATAATTATTTATTGAGTAATAATTTATAAACCTTAAATGAGCTGATTTCGATCGGGGCAACTAGTTGATTTCAAATAATATTTAATCTGCGCTCGCGCTGCCCTCTATCTCAAAAACGATTCAACATATGGAAAAATGTTTGAAACAAAAGTTGTAGAGAATTTAATTCTCTACAATACTGATAATGAATACAAATAGCGTAAAATCCATTGGAAACAAGATATTGGCAAAAAACATGCAAAAAGTCGTTTTTTTTTTATTTTGACCCCAATTTTTGAAGTTACGGCCGTCGAATCATATGTGAATTTCGAGAATACTTTTATGATGCCAAAATACAAAGTTTAAACAAATTCACAGCTGGGTATGTTCACTTTCCTAGGCAAACCCCCTAAAATGACTGGACTATGAGAGGAAAGGAGCCTATTAACATCCGCACTGTTTTATAAATTGTTCATTCAAAATGTATATCAGATGAATATATTTCGAGAACCATAATAACTTCTCATGGATATTTTCAGGGTGATAAAGGCGACAAGGGAGAAAGAGGCTTAACAACAACTTTGACTGGCGATCAGTTCCCAACCGGTATCATCGAAGGACCTCCTGGACCACCTGGTCCACCGGGTAAGTTCAGAGGATTAGAAAAATAATCAATTAAGTGATTCACCTTCTTACTGAGTCGACAAGGAATTACATAAATCAATGAGGATGAGATTCTCGACTTTTCTTGGATTTTTTTTGTGGAGAAGTCAATGTTTCTTAATGATTTTGAGTTCTTAACCTTCTATAGTCTGAAAAATTAACAAAGCAGAATCAATAGGGAATCTACTCAAGTGAAATAAATGCCAAAATGGAAACTTCATCTCATGATATAAAGCACTCTCCAGAGTCTAATTCAGTTAGTAATTTGTCGTATTCATGAATTTTGTCTACAAATTTAATAATTTCAATACTTATTCGTATTCCTTTCTCAAAACCAAAGAAATCACTTGTGAAAACTGTCTCAGACTGATGAAACATCAAAGGAAATATATTTTTCTGGCATTAAGAAGTATAGAAATTTCATTTCCATCGAACAGTCAATTTGAAGGTAAAATGTATGAAAACGACTGCCTAATTGGACTTTTGGTTTATATTACGCCATAACTTTTCGGTTGAACTTTTCAGTTGCCTTTTTGGCAGGTTTTCTGTTGATTCAGCTTCGTTCATTTTTCAGACTGTTGAATGTTGAAAACCCCAAAAATCATAACAAACAGATTTTTGATTGATGGAAAAAATTGAGTTTTATTTCTCATTATTTGTTTCATTCATTTCGACTCGCACCGGACTTATGTGAAATGAATTTCGGTGAAAACTTCTCATTTTATCATTCGACTCAGGACAAAGTCTTTCAAGATATATTGAAAATGAAGAAAATTCAGTTGTCAAAATAAATTCAAAGTCGAAACTTTGATAAGTTGAACATGTCAAACAGTTGAACATGACATGCGATTGTTTCTTTTTGTTGAGATTCTGAAAATCTGGTGACACTTGCTAATAAAATTCTGTTTTTTTGACTATGACAAAATATCTAAAGATTGAAACAATGTTGTGTAGACTTTCATGATTTGACTCTTTCAAAAATTCGGATGAGGAATTGAAACTTTCTTGCAAGAGTTTTCAATTCGAATGGATCATACTGTAGGTATCGAATGCCATCTTGGAAAAGCTTCATATTTATTTTTGTGAAAGGCAACAATCATATAAGGGGTTAGCATAATCAATTGTTATTCAACGTTTGTTTGAAGGTGGTAGACAATGTTTCGTGGTGTATTTCATCAGTTCGGACTCCCATTGTCTAAATTAATATGAATTGATTTGAAGTCCCTGAAAAAATCTGTAACAAATTAAAAAATTGAACAATGTTATTGAACAAAAAAATTGAAATTATCAAAAAAGCTATTCAAAAGGAGAAACAAGTCAACAACGAATTGCCTTTCCTAGACGTATTGGTGAAGAGGACCGACACTAAATAGGAAACATCTGTATATCGAAAACCCACTCACACAGGACAGTATCTGAACCAGAAATCCAGCCACCATCAATCGACTAAGAGAGGAATCACCAAGACTCTACTAGACCGTGCTTTCGGGCTCTGTAATACAAAGGAAGGTCTCGAAAACGAACTAGGCATCATCAAAAATGACCTTCAACGGAATGGTTACTCCAGAGGGATGGTAGAACAGGCTTTAGCTAGAACACAGCAAGAGTTACACAAGGAAGAGAAGCCGCCACAACCAGTAGTTGTACTTCCCTACATCAGAGGATTATCGAAAAGGATAAGAAGGATTGGGTCCAAGTTTAACATCAGAACCTGCTTCAGATCCGGTAGCAATATCCGTAGCAGCCTCACAAAAACCAAGCCACCAAACGCGGACTGCGATTCCAAGAATTGCATTTACCGGCTACTCTGCGAGTTCGGAGAATTATACATCAGTGAAACTAAGAGGCCATTGAAAGTTCGCATTGCTGAGCACAAGAAACACACACAGCGAGGAGAAACCAGCAAATCCGGAATAGCGGAGCATGTTTGGGCTCATCAACATCAAATGCGCTCAAGCTGATATCATCCACGAGGAACACTGGTTTAGGGAAAAATTCAAAGAAGCCGCGTATATGTTGTTCAACAACGCATTTAGTCAAGCTAGCGTAGAGATATGTAACATATGAAAACCTCCAATCAAGCGGGAAACGACCAACTCCCGCCAAACGGTCATCTCCCGCTAAAACAAATGAAGCGAAGAGAGGGAAGAGGGGATAGGTTAAAGCATCCGAATGAACTATAAATAGTCAGATCTCAGAGGAATAAGTCCAATTCAGTCGAAAGTCTAGGGGAGCTGATCTCCAAACCTGAAAGAATTCAAGATGACATTCTAAATAAGTCCAGTTATCATCCGAAGACGAGTGTTGATACTAACAATCGAAACGTCGTGACATAACTTGGTTTGGAATCTTTTAAATTTTAATTTTCATCTCTTGTTGATAATATTTTTCAATTTTCAGCTTGTAATAATATTTCAATTTTTTTTTTAGTTGTTGCTTCTATGTTACTTCTTTTTGTTATTTCAGTTTTTTTCAATGAACTTGTTATCTATCGATTAATCTTTTTTAATTTTTCACAGATTCTTTCAGGGATTTCAAATCAATTTATATTGAATCAGACACTGGAAGTCCGAACTGACGAAATACAATTTTTATTCATTCGAAAAAATTTACTATAACTAACTACTGGCATGAATCAACTGAATCACCTCAAAACTGATTAATGTCAATGTAACGATAACACCAAATAGTGTAAGTTTTTGTTCATTTCTCCGAGATCCGTTTTATATAAATATTGGGGGGGTTGGGGTTTTTCTATTTATTCATAATCAACACATTACAAGGTGAAAAAGGTGAGATAGGACCAATTGGACCACCTGGTTCTCCTGGCGATAAGGGTGCCAGAGGCAGAAGGGGCAAAAGGGTAATGTATTCATGTGTAATCTTGGCCCACAGTTCCACGACACTGTCAATTTTCCAATGACATACTTTTTCGTCTAAATATACAGCAACTACATTTTTTCAAATGAAATCGACACATTGACAGGTTGTGGTATTGTTCAACAATCTAACCCAACTACATCTCATAGCATAGCTTCAAAGGGATATTTGAAAATAGCACGTTAGAAACTGTCATTCGTTTGCCTGTTTGCACGTAGGAATCATGTTTTCAATAACACTCTTTGTTTGCATGCACTCGTATATTCTCACATACATATAACGCCTCATGTCGAGCATGTTTTGATTTGATTTTAATTTGCAGCACGCCTTGATACTTGATATTCACTAGAATATTGGGTGGGTTTTGTTTACTTACACGCGAAAGACCACCGTGATAGTTCCAAACTATTTTTGTACAGTTGAGAGTTAGTCAATCATCTAAAACAATTTGTTTCTGACCAAAACTAGTAATTCAATTCAAGATCATTATATTTCAAACTAGATTCCCTCCAGTTGAATTTTTTCTGGACATACTTTACTTCTGGTAATCTGGAACGCAAATGAGTCATTCATAACTCATAACTTCATCGTCAAGAACGGTGTAGTTTGTTAAAAAATTTAAGGACAATATAAAAAAATCAATTCGACAGAAATGCAATACTCGGGAGTTACCGTTTTCTTCAAATATGTAAAATGAGGGTCGGTGAAAATTTCATTTGACATGAAACTAAATGAACCATAAATAATTTTGAGCTGAAAAATAATTAGGAATACACTAGCCAAAAGTTCGCAAATATTCAAACACATTGTATTAAAATGTTCACAACTTATATAAAAACAACATTCAAAAAATAAACAATTTATATTGAACCGAGGAAAATTCAGGTAGGTTTTAAAAATTGAGATAGAATTCGAGTGACTCGAGAAATAGTTTTTGTATCACCATGAATGTAAACTTGAATGAACAACTCCCTTTTTCATACCAAAAAATAGGTATATAAACTTTTTTCCCAACCTAGGTCAAAGTCAAGATCATTGATCATTGTTTTCCTGAATTGGAAATTATTTACTCACTTTATATTATTTATTTTTTGAAGTGATACTGACTGGGCACCATCTTTATTTTGAAGTGATGGCGACTGGGCGCCATCTGGGAAAAAAATCAAATGGAGAGGGGGGTCTTGTGACACATATTTTTGAAGCTCCTGAAAAATGCTTCAATATATTCAACTACTACAATATGGCGGAGCTTTTAATAATTGCCTGAATACATTGACATTCAACTACATAATATGAGGTTATAAGCTTGAGGTCAGTTCAGAAGATGCTCGAAATGGTTCTTCGAACTTCTTGACATATGAACAGCCTATCCGATGTTTCACGCCGAACATTTTCGAACACAGTAACGTCAATATCCTACAAATATTTATTATTCTCTGCCGTATATCCAATTTTGAAGCAGGTTCAGTTTCGTACACCTTTTGCTTCAAATATCTCCATGAAAAAGTCCATACGTGTCAAATCTGGCGAGCGGGCTGTCCATTCTGTAGGACCTCGATGGCCAATTCAACGAACGGGAAAAGTAGTATCCAAACAGTTTCTTACTTGTCTGGAATAATGTGGTGGTACTCCAACTTGTTTCAATACAATATCCATATCGAATTCATTAGGATTCGCTTCAAGGATTCCATAGAAACAAATAATAAGAATATGTGACCCTTCTGCGCTTCTGTACACTTCAAAATGAAGTATTCTTGCATTGATTTCATTACCCCAAATTTCAATTTTTTGAGTTGACCTGTTCAAAAAACAAAAGGGGGGGGAATTGAAGAAATGTACTGTATTTCCATTATTGGCTCCATTATTGACTCCTAGATAACACTAACCTTGATAGTAGATAATTGCAATGAGGTTTGGAAGGAAAATTTTACCCTGTCTCTCACCTCATAAAATATTTCAAATTATATTTCGACCACTCGTGAGGAAGAAAAGAATAGTTCTTTGACCTCACTGAATCCTCTTCAGAACCCATTAAAATCTGAGACTATAAAACAATAAAACGATATCATGAAATCTTATGGCAGTTTTCAACAATAGAGATTCATGAAGATACAGAAAATTACCGTGAGCATGACTCTTTAAATACACAATTTTATTACTTTATTTTACAGTATCATTAAAATTTCTTTGGGCACTTTGGTAGTGTTGTTCGTTCACTGCACTAACTGCTGATTAACAGAATTAATTGCCGTTTCACGGTTCATTCGATTTTGTTTACGTAAAGCTGCTTGATTTTTGTAAGTATATTTCATTCGTTTGATATTATTTGATCAATGTTGGGGAGGTTACATTCGAATGTGAGACTATATTCATCATGAATTAATTTTTCCAGTGAACAAATTCAAACAAACAATATTTTTTGGAAATCCCAGAGTATAACACAAACTTATTGATATAAAAATTCAATTACTCTGTTATTTATTTTTAATGACTGCCATCAGTTTGAAGACACATTTTGCAGAAGTTATAAATATGCTTTCATCAGAGTAAGCCTCTTGTTATTTGCATGTTCTTATATTATGAATTTTTTGTTTTTTATATTTTTGTTCAACAGTTATGGTACTCTCAAGTTTCTATATGAAGTGGCGACGAATAATCAACTCAGGAGAAGAAAATTACTCATTATATTTTTACAAACTTTCAATGAAAATATAAATCCACCCAACTTCACTGTTATCATATTAGGCCTTTGAATTGACTTATTTCGTTCACATAATGGACTACGAGCGTCGTTACTATTGCCTCTCCACATTTCATCACAAGAACCAACCACTATTGATCCATTCCTCACCTTTCATCCGATTCGACAGATAGAGTTTTATAATTTTCTCTAAACAAATACGAACTCTCCTGTCTCTTCTTCAGCTCGTTAACTCTTCTTTTTGAAAGTAGTATCCGCTGTGGTTCTCCCTTCTCCTTTCTTTTGGCTTGTGTTCCACATTGTTTTGCATTTCTACATGTATAATACTGTTTGGTATTACATAAGTTACCCCGTTCATACCAGGACAGTTGAGCCAGGAGTAAGTCTACCTCACTCAGATAATTACGTTTTTGGTTCCAAAGTAATTTCCTCGTCAACATGAGACATAACACCTCCCCATATTCTAATATTTTCCTTTTGCAGGATTACGACGTTTCCATTCCTTCCATTGGTTTTTTTTTCGTTGAAAAACTACCACCTTAAACGTATTCACATTAATGTATCGTGAGTGATTCTACTTTCTCGTCTTCTGACTGATATATGTTTTTCTGAATAAAGATCTCAATATCGTAGGTAGTCACAACTATCGTGGTCTATATCGCGTGTTTCAAAATCATTTTTTACTCACAACCAACTTCTCTTGTCAATTAATGCAATATAACTGTGTTAAATGATCTAACACTTCAAATTATCTTCATTTTCTTTTTATCCCTCTTGGGTTCCAAATGAAGTTCTGGTGTTTTTTCGTTCGTCCAGCTTTTCAACTGTTCATTTCAAGAACTCATGCATTCGTTTCAACTAAATTCGCTTGATTTTTCTGGTGAATATTTTTGACAATTAAAACTAATGGAAAAAGCAATGGACGAATTATGATAATAGTATTTAGGGAAAATCTGTAGACTATCTATACTGCACTAAATATATCACCTTTATATTCGTGGTGAGTAGTTGTCGTAGTTCGAATGTAACGTAAAATTTGGGAAGCTCTAAGTTGTAACTTTGACATACAGTAAGGCAATTCAAAAAAGCTGTATTTTGGTTTTGCCAATTCAGGGATATATTAATTTCCTGATTCTTCTGTAACAACTTTATGCTTTCTATTTTTTATTGTATATAAATGTGAATAAATTTATCGAACATTATTTTGTAGATTAGATAATATTTGTTTTTCAGGCATGGTACATGTTTTTTACATAAAATTTGATTTTAACTAGTAGAACAACACGGGTTTTAATAGGACTACACCAATGTACCTTTTTCATAATCGTTACATTTTTTTTCACATATATCAACAGTATTATCAAATATAAGAACCTAGATTTTCACGACCGGAGTCACGATTGGAAGCAACAAATTCCTGGCTTGTGAGCTGTGGTCGAAAGTAACTTGTTGTTGTATCAAACCTTCCAACAGCTACTGTAGTTTCGGTGGTTTATGTCTCAAAGTGTCAGCAACGATTGACTAATTGATTCAGTATCAACATGCAGCATCAACACCAGAATACAAGAACACCAGCCACCTCAAGCAATCACAGATATCTGTAACAGCAGAATATGTCCTAACAGAAAGAGACCATGTAGACACAGTCAACAGAACGTAGTATCCAATACTCAAGAAGGTCAGAAATGAACCAGAATAAAACTCTGATCGACATCTCACCAGCAGTACACCAATCAGTAACGTAGACCAATCAGAACAACCCAGTGAAATCGCGACCAAGAGTAAGTATTCTCATGGATGCTCCAGCCCAATCACTTTCTATTGGTACACAAAGGGCTCACCAGTCAGTCGTTTCTGAGACTCCTCGCAGTCAATTCATCAACCACTGGAGTCTGCCGCAATAGCAGACGAAACGTTTGCTACTACAATGACCTACTAGCCTGGATTATATTCTCTGTGATGATGTTATTGAAATTATGATTTCCTTTAACAACAATATATTTCATCAATATTTTTGATCACTTGGTCAGGTGGGACTGAACTGTATGATACTGACAGATTATCCTTGGACTGGATTGGATGTAAAAAAATTTTCAATAATATTTTAAATGTTCTTCAGTTGCTCACTAATAATTTTATTCACCACACGAATGATTATCCAGACTCTATGAAAGGTACACTGGTGTAATCTTTGAATAATAGAATAACGGAGAAAATGCAAGCACTTTGAAGCTATGTCTAATGAATGGTTCGATTGTTCAGGGTCTAGATGGAGATGCATTATCCATTGGTCCACCAGGAGAAAAAGGCGATACAGGAGAACCCGGTCTCAAGGGTGAAAAGGGAGATAAAGGTTACACTGGCTTTCCAGGTACTAAATTAAAGGACTGGGGAATTGTTTTTTGGTGTGATTGGATTGCTAAAATCAGTCTCCTAATTTTCCATTGAAAATCCATACTCCAAGATCAATTATTCATCACAATTAATGAACTTTCGGTTGAAAGATTGTGTTAATATTCTTATGGCGTTCTGATTAAGTAATTTTTAATTTTTATCTAAAATTGGTTGCTTATCCAACTAGCGCGAAAAAAATATAACCCAAGCGATTTATCTAAAAAATCAATATTAGCCGAATTTAACCTATGAGGTTCGGTAGAAAAAACCTATCGAATCAGTTTATATTTCAAATACTGGGAACATTGTCGAGATGTGAAAAACATGATCAGATTATTTAGGTATCAACCGGGGATTCACAGAATCTATGGGGTAGGTACTTTGGGAGAGATGAATTTTTCGAGATTTATTCCAAAATATTCATTTCCTTATACAGGGTCTTCCATTAAGCGCTTTGAATAAAACTGAATTTCTTAGTTTGTAGAACTTTTAGAAAGGTTCAATTTGCGGAAAATTAAATCTAAATCCTGCAAAATCTTGACAAAAAATTGGGCCAGCTTTAGGGCTGAAATTTGTTATGCTTTCTACTTAGAAAGTTTTTGAGCAATAAAAAACAATTTTTTTCGATATAATGCGATTGTTCGCAAAAAAAGAGCAAAATGTATCGTCCTGGACACATTCCAGGAGGACGAGGCGAAATGCCGATGTTTTTATTTTTTCAACCCCAAAATGGAGCCCAAAAATATGTCATTTTCGTTTTTTCATTACAATTTTATTGAAATATTTGTTATTTCGTATGTCATCATATCGATTTGCTACTAATATATTCTTATAGATATCAGAAAAACTCATATTAAGAAATCAGGAATATCCCAGCTCAATCAGGGGCCGAGATAATTTTGTATTCAAAAATTTGGCATCCCTTCGTCTATGAAGGCTGACATTTCCACGAAATCTAGTGAAATACTTTGCAAAAAACGAGATCTCAAATGCTTTAGTTTCGTCAATTCTAGACTGATTTTGATTATTTTATTTTTCAATGTGGAATGAATTTTCAGAAGAGGAGAATTTTAGGAAAGAAAGATTTTGACTTCCTACTTCTTCATTTTTATGCCACAAAAATTGAAATTAACTGCTTTCTTCCTATGTGTGGAAGATTTCTTCATTTTGTTTTCATGAAGATAGAGAAGTAAAAAACCAAAACCTTTCTTTTCTAATGAATTCCATGTTTTAACAAAGTTCCCAGCGTTCAAAGGGAAAATTTCCCAAAGTTGTCATACCTCTCATGCTATTAATATAGCAGGTGCAACTGCCAAGAACACATATTTTAAAAATTTCAGGTTCAGAATCAATATCCACACGTTCACTTTGAAATATCTCTTACAAGATATCAAATAAATATTACTGGAGTTTTTTCCCAACACCAAACCTTTATTTTAACACTCCACACGTGTTTCGTGAAGATGATCACTTGGTGACCGAAACAGTGTCGAAGTGTTGAAACAACGGTTTGGTGTTGGGAAAAAACTCCAGTAACATTCGTTACTATACCAAAGGTTCCAAACAGATATCTAATGTTTACCAAAAATGGGGCCTTTTTTCTTGAACTCCTTAACAAACAAACTAGATGATAATAACGAGTATTCAGAAAATTAATTTCCTTGAATCATCCTCATAGACAAATATTGCAATGGTTCAATGGAAATAAATCGATACTTTTCTTTTAAGGACCAAAAGGAGATATGGGTATAATGGGTACGCCTGGCGGCCCTGGAAAAGATGGAGCTACTGGTCCTCAAGGTCCTCCAGGACTTCCTGTAAGTTGTCTATCTATTTCTAATTAGCAGTGAATGTTTATCATTTCAAACATAAAAGTAATCACTCAGATGAAAATCTTTCAGATCTTGTAATTTTCCATCTATGAATTTTTAATGAAGAAGTTTTTATTGCAGATTGCAAAAGAGAACATCGAAATCAAAATAACTCTGTCATTATTATAAACAAAAAACTCCTTTCGAATTCAAATGGGTAGAGAAAGTTTCAAATTCATTGTGATAATGATATCATCGTAAATTTTGAGCACTGTGGATACTACTATATGAATAATATTTCGATGTTAAATCGAAATCGGCTCATCAGTGGAGAGCATTTGTTCAAAAATACTCATTTCAATTTTTTATGACTGTATAAAGTGTGAGACCTAAAATGAAAAAGAATCCGTCTGTCCATAACGGAAATATTTTTTTCATCTTCAGACATGTTGATATTCATTTTCGAAAATTATTTCACATACAAATTTCAACATCCTACTCTACAAAACGTTTTAAAAAATTTGTATTAGAAATAGAGAATGAGTTGTAACTCTAAATACAACCGTCTATTTCGCTTTTATCAGACTCAGACTTCTATAAAATTTACTTTTGACATTTCTGAATATCGCGCTCGCATGTCCTACAAGTTACATATTTATGATGAACCTTGGTTTTGAAATAATCCATTGGTTGAAGACATGTTATTTTGACCGCTATTCCAAGCAGCACTTCGTCTCATTCATCCATTGGGGATTTTTTTATGGACAAAACACAAGCACTACAGGAAAATCCCTCAGGCGCTCTCAGAGCGGTGCCTTTGCGAAAGTAGTGATTCACATTGGATTTGAATTGCTGGAGATTAAATATATTTGGAAAAAAGTTCTCCGGAAGTTGATTACATAATCAACTTCATATAATCAACTCAGGAGAAAAAAATTACTCATTATATTTTCACAAACTTTCAATGAAAATATAGATCCACCCAGCTTCACTGAATTACATTCCTCCTGATATCAAATTAAGCCTCTGAGTCTCTAAGTCTCTTTCACATGAACCAACCATTATTGATCCATTCCTCACCTTTTTTCCGATTCGATAGACAGAGTTTTACAGTTTCCTCTAAACAACTACGAACTCTCCCGTCTCTTCTTCAGCTCGTCAATTCTTCTTTTTGAAAATAGTATCCGCTGTTGCACTCCCTTCTTCTCCCTTTTGGCTTGTGTTCCACATTGTTCTGCATTCCTCCATGTATAATACTCTTTGGTATCACACAAGTTACCCCGTTCATACCACGACAGTTGAGCCAGCAGTAAGTCTACCTTACTCATATAATGACGTTTTTGGTTCCAAAGTAATTTCCTCATCAACTATTATGTAGTGACTCATAATAGATCACCACAATAACGTGAGACATAACTCCTTCCCATATTTTTTTTCTGCAGATCACGTCTTTTCTATTCCTTCCGTTCGTTTTTTTGTTGAAAAACTACCACCTTAAACATATTCACATTTATGTATCGTGAGTGGTTCTACTTTCTCGTCTCCTAACTGATATATATTTTTCTGAATTTCTTGTTGGGGGCGACTCATCTATTCTGGTTTCTTCTGGAACTGTTAGTTGAAAGCTGCTTTTCTCAAACCAGACCAAAATAGTACTCTTAAGTTTGCCAGTTTCACATAAATTGATCAATATACAATAAAGATCTCAATATGCTAGCTAGCTACAACTATCGTAGTCTATATCACATGTTTCAAAATCATTTTTATTCATCATTGCTTGTTTTCTAACAATCATTTTCTGTTTTTTTTACTGACCGATCTGGCATTGAAGAAACGAGTGAAACAACCAACTTCACATTGGATTTGAATTGCTGAAGATTAAATATATTTGGAAAAAAGTTCTCCGGAAGTTGATTCCACATAAACGCAGTTCCCCAGATGAAAGAGTTCCTAAACAGTGAAGTTCAAGGTGTACTGAGTTGAGCTTCAAAACGATAAGCAGCCACAGTCCGTCGCGTATTTCTGAAATGTACCGATCTTGGTGGAAGCAAATGTGCCAAGTCACTTGAACACTTCCCGTGAAAGTATCTATAGAAAAGAGACAAACCTTTAACCTTCCTTCAATGTTCCAGGATATCAAAGTTGCACGTGATGTTCGCGTCTCCAATCAGGCGGATGGCACTTTTTTGGATGGAATCCAGCAACTTCAGGGTATGTTTGGGGGCAGAGCTCCATACAAGAGCTAAATACTCCAAAGAGGGTCTGATCTGAGCTTTGTAAAGCATCAAAAGTTGCTGAAGTTTATACAGTTTTCTGGTTCGGAACAGTGTTTCAAGCTTTTGGGAAGCAACCTTTGCAATTCCAGCGACATGACTGTGGCAAAACATATTGGTGTACATTTCAACCCCCAACAAACTCATCGAATCAGAAAGCGGAATTGTCTGACCTGACATTATTATGTCCGGGAACCCAATTCGAAATCACTTGTAGATCCTCATTAAGATCACCGGCAACCTCCTGCTGCCGGTGGTGAAGATCTGCCTCCGAAGCCGATGTCCTGGAATCCAAATGAAATGACGAGACAAGTGTGCTGTCGTCAGCACACTTCTCAGAATCCAATGTATTGGATTCTTGGTTTTTTCCAATAACTCGTTGATATACAATAAAAAGAGGGTTGGAGATAATATCGATCCCTGGGGAACACCAGCGTGAAATTATTCGAGAGATATCCATCGACGGCCACTTCCAGGGAACGTTCTTTCAGGAATCTGAAGCACCTTTACACAAAAATAATCTGACAAGCCATAGCATCGAAGTTTGGTCAACAAACCCTCATGCTACACACGGTCGAAGACCTTAGCAATATCAAGCACAACAGCTCTTGATTCTCTATGTTTCTCGATTGCGTAATTCCAAATATGGGTGACATACGATAGAAGGTCGGCTGTTGATCTTTGTTTCCGAAAGTTTACGACTTTCTCTATGATTTTTGATATCACTGATAGCAAAGTGACTGGTCTTTTGGTAATAGGCTGAACGCGAGAAATCTCCCAACAAGAAGAAAAAACCGCTTTCTTGTAACACAGGTTGAAAAGTCTGCAAAATACTGGTGCGATGATGATTCATACTGTTTCTTAATTGAAAAAAAATGGTCATATTATCTTGTGTAACTTGAAATTAAATCATCTTGTGTAACTTGATTTCTTGTACAATCGAAAAATTCCTTCTTGTAGAATCGAAAGTTGCGAAAAATAGAAATTCAAAAATAAAAATCGACCTGTCCTCTTGTAGACGAATATATTCTATTACAATATAGCTATCCTCACTGTGAATCGAAAAAAATCCAATGTCATGAAAAGAAATTTCTTTTTGATTTTCGAATTAACGAAAGCATGTTAGTTTTGAATTGAAAAGGATATATTATTTCCCCCCAGTTCTGAATAAATTATCTCAGTTCTTTCCAACTGTCAGACTCGAATATTAAAGCGATATCATCTGCAAATCCTATTACCTATTCAGAAATAACAATGCTTTTGATATTATCGGTATACATAGTGTACAATATTGGGCCCAAAACAGTGGTCGGAGGGACTAAGAAAGATACTAACTTCACTAGCGGTTTTCAATTCATTCGATACTCTTCTACTGATTGTAATTGATCGCCTTCTCTAAATATAAAAACAAATAGTTTTTTGTCTTTATCCAGTTTATTATTTGAGACTCATGAGCAATGTCGGAGGCAGTGGGACGAGCATGTGGTCTTTCAACCCGTGTGGTCACCTTGGTCTACACTGTAATAATGAGACCTATGTTAACGTACGGAGCCATTGCATGGGGACCGATAATTCTACAAGCAACGGTCATTCAAAAATTATATCAAATACAGCGACTGCCTTGTTTGAACATCACAGGAGCCATGAAAACAACACCAACCGTGGCAATGGAATAAATTACGGGTCTAACCCCTCTGGACCTGTACGTTGAGGAGGTTGCGTTAATGGACATGTTACGATTGCGCACGGCTGGTGTAAACCTCGAAGTAGGAATGGGTCAATTGAGGCTGAGCCTATGGCGAGAAGTCCTTACTGCGAAACCTCTGCTGCAGTCAACCATTGATGCAATTGAACCCAGGTTCGTGTTTACTGAACCCTACAAAATACAAATGAAACAGAACACAGAGTCAGATGCTACAATTGCAATACTCATATATACAGACGGCTCAAAATCCAAAGAAGGCTCAGGAAGCGGACTGTACTCCAGATCACTAAGCCTGAGGATTAAGTGGGAAATGGGAAAAAATACCGACGTGGTCTAAACAGAACTGGCTGGTATCTCAATCGCCACAAAGGAAATAACCACAAACAACAATCTGCACTGACAGCAGACAAGCCCTATCAGCCTTGTTACCTCAGGGCTAGTACTAAAGTGCCACCAAGATTTAGCCAAATCCTCGGTAGATAATAACATCATCCTGAGGTGGGTTGAAGGGCACGACCGGAGTAAAGGTAATCGCATTGCCGACTATTTAGCCAAGGAAGCGGCTGGACTAAGAATTTCAGGACAAAGTGGCACCTACGGCCTGATGACTTCGACAATTGCCGAACCAGCCAAATTTTACGCCCATGCTCAATCCCTAAAGAGATGGGATGGAATCAAAGGATGCAATCTTGCCAGGATCACCCTAGGCGACCCTGGGAAGTTGGCGATGACCAGGAAAAATCTACGCTTAACAGTAGGATTTCTGACTGGTCACTGTCAACTAAGAAAACACCTGCATAATATGGGGCTAGTGGACACACCTCTATGCAGGTAAGGGGAACAGGAAGATGAGAATGTCAGACATGTCCTAGGCGAGTGCCCGGAGTTATCGTCAATAAGAGAGTGTGTGTTTGGCGAGTCTTGGCCTACACCTGCCGATATAAAGGATATGTCTCCCAGTGACCTGTTTACCTTTCTGGAAAGGACAGGATGGACGATGACCTAGGAGGACAACTCCTCGGGAGGATGTACAATAGGTCACATGTGGTATAAGTGCTGTGGACTTACACTCACCCTCCCTACTCTACAGATACAGATATTTGACACGTCAAATAAGATATGACATTCTGAGTATTTCAATACAGTAGATAAGTGTATTTTTCCCTTGGTTCGATATTATACCAATAACTAATCAAACACTTCTGCTCTATTAAACAAAATACTTCATTTATACTTGAGGAGATGGGTCAAACGACTAATTATTTCGATGAACACCCCTTTCCAGTGCACTTCACAGCATTTCCCAAGTTCCACTCAGTCAAGTTCTCCTCCCATTGTTTTCACTAATTTTCGTAATAATGTCACTAAGAGTGAAAGAACCATTGAAGTATTCCAGTTGCACCTAGGGGAATATTTCTTTGTCTCATACTCCACGGATCACAGCTCACCCCAGTCGTTTCGAATTAAGAATCTCGAAAAGTTTCGTACCATCCCTCTTGACATACAAATGAAGGGTTGCAGCTCCCGTAAAGACGTCGTAAATCAATAAATAATAAATGTCTGTGGATAGGAGTTGGTTAGATAGAATTAGTTGATTTGAAAATATCATGGACTCGTAAACAGCATTGAAAATTAACGCCGCGATAGTTTATAGATGTCTGGATTTGATTTAACTTAAAAAAATCATTTTAATTTAAACATTGTGACTTAATGAACTAAGTTTGGAATCAAAAAATTATATTGCCCTTCTTCAAAGCAACAAATGATTGAGTATTTCAACAATATTTAATTTCTTTTTTGTCCAATACATGGATTTATCTATCCCAGTCAATTCTTGATTGCTTTACTGGAACAAAAGTATACATTCCAAATATAAAAATATATATTAGCACTACATTTAAGGAAGTGCACTACAGCTTATAAGAACATATCTCACAAATCGTATACAATACGTTCAAATTGATGAGACAAAGAGTGATGCAGGGATTATAGAGCACGGCGTCCCCTAAGACACCGTTCTGGGGCCAATTCTATTTAACCTATATCTGAACAATCTACTCAATATATCTTAAAATGGAAAAATAATAAGTTTTGCAGATGACACTATAATCATCTACACCGCCAACTCTTGGGAAGAATTGAAGGAAATCTCCGAAAAAAAAAATCCAGCTGATACAAAATTGGTTTAGTGCGAACATCCTCACGGTAAATATCGATGAAACCAAATACCTTTCCTTTACAACTAATCAAAATCAGTTACCAATATTCGACTCACTAACCATAAACAGAAACCGAAATGAAAAATCATGCTCGAGGAAGCAGCTAGCGTGAAGTACCTTGGCATTATGATAGATAGACATTTTAGATGGAATCTGCAAATAAAATACTTGATTGATAAACTAAGGATACTACTACCGAAATTCAAACTTCTTAAACAATTTTTAACCTTGCCCCAACTGAAAATACTTTTTACTCACTCATCCAATCGCAGCTTAGTCACGGTATAATAGAATGGGAAAGTATCAAGAAAACTCACCTGAAAAACCTTGAAGTTTTACAGAAGTGACTACTCGAAATTATATTTGATAAATCAAAAACTTACTCATGTGAACAACTTACTATTCCAGGAATCTGGCATATTAGACATAAGGCAAATTTACTGTCAAACTCTACTGACTCACCAGTTCGAAAATGGAAACGATATTCAATATGGAGAATATAGCTGTGACACAAGAAACAAAATCGAAACAGAAAAGAAAGAAATCCATTAGAAAGTCAAAGGTTTTAGAAATCATTGTTATACTGCACTGAAAGTTTATGACCTTCTTCCATATGAAACAAAAACATACAAATATTGTCAAGAGATATACACTATTTGCATCTTAATTTGGGATCGATGTGTTTTCAAACCATTCCTCGAAAATATTAGCATCCATGTTTTCATTATAGTTAACATTACAGTCCTCAAGTTTTTTTCCACATAATTTCAATGAAATTGGAACCCATTCTTTACTTCCTCCACAATGCACAATGATTAGAGAGGATCCTTCATTTGCAGGCATGTTAGGCGTACACATTCTCGATCCATCAGTCCACCCTTTCGTAACTGTGTCGTGCCACACCAAATTTCGCCCAAATAGAAAATTTGCCGTTGTTCTTGTCTATATTCAGTTATTTGTTCTAAGTATTTGTCACGCCATTCCACTATTCTTCTGCTATTCATAACTTCTTGACGTTTGTTTATTATTTTAAATCTAAATCCTAATTTCTTCATCCAATTCTGAAGAGGTTTGTCACAGCAGTTCACTTTATGGCCGGAAGTATTCAATTTCAATTGAAGGGGTTATATTTTTAGGAGTGATTAATTTTTTGGGAAAGAAAGTTTTTGGCTTTTTACTACTCCATCTGATACAAAAAAAAGAGGGATGAGAGAATCTTCCAAAGAAAGGAAGGAAGTAATCAATTTGAAACTCTATACATGAATGTGTAGATCATGCAAAGAAGTAACTTTCAGATACAAACTGAAAGAATGTCCTTTATGATTTCAGTTGTAGGGATCACATTGCTTTTGTAACAGTCGTATATTGTTTTTTCCAATGATTTTATTAGATGTACATCTGAAGGTTTTGGTAATCCTATACTTCTATGCGTTCATAAGGTTTGTTTTTGACTATTTTACGTTCGGCTGGGAAAGGGATTTCGGTCAAATGTGATCTTGCTTGTTATAGTTTGTTTCTCTCGAAACCAAACTTGAGATGTAAATTCTTATATACATTGAAACATACTCTCTTTCAATAAATTGATGGATGTAGCCGTTACTATGTGGTAGGAGATCATGATGAAAAGAGAAATGAAAATTTCTATGTTTTTTACTCTGTTTGTTTCAATATACAAATGCATCCATTTCTTATTCACTGGTATCTGTTTTTCGCATTGTTCACCATCGCTATTGAAATCACTTCACTTCATTATTACTATTAGTACTTGTCCAAGTACCCACATTTCAAACAGATAACAAAAATTTTAAGTAATTATAACTGCACCAATATCGAATTTCAACACTCAAGTCGCAATCAGTTCCTGTACTGAACATGACGGCGATAACCATCCTCGCATTCCCCGATTTCTATTCTTCATCGTAACATGACTTCAAATTTAATTTTATGCCTTTCCAGCCAATCATAGAACTCGGTTTCTAAAAAGTATCCAATACGAACCGCCAAATTTACAGTTCACGTGGAATATTTCGTTGCCGGTTCATTTCTATGTATTGGTTTTTTGTTCTTTGAGAGTGCCGCGAACTTTAAATGTACACAATATCATTTACTTCGACTGTAAATATCTTGATCTGCATTTGCCATGATATAAAGTGAGACTGATCTGTCAATTAAAACAAGTTAATAGAGTGATCGAAAGGAGGAAAAATTGTGTGCCATAAAATAAAGAATTATTACCATCGAAATAATTTGATAGAATATGCAATATCTGAAAACTTGTTTGCTGTAAATTTCGTGAATCTCAATAATAATTCGGTATTAACTTAGCAGCTCATATAAAATTTTTGTAGATGCAGGAAAAATGAAATTAAGGAAATGTTCCTAGATATCTGCAAATTATTTCTTCATCAAAGATTGAATTCCAATGGAAATTTCGCGAAGTATTTATTCATATCTGTTATATTATTTCCAATATGATTCCAAATATGTCTCCTCATGATATATTTTCACAATGTCTAAGGGCCAATTTGGTGAAAAAGGGGAAAAAGGTGACTACGGCGACATTGGACCCCCTGGGATGATGGGTCCTCCTGGCTTGCCAGGCCCACCAGGATATCCAGGACAAAAGGGAGAGAAGGGAGAAAAAGGCGATTCGGTGAGTTTGGTCAAATTAAAATCTCTCGGTTTGTCAATAGCGGTCATTGTGATATTTTTATCTGAAAATTAATCAAGAAGTATATTACAGTACTATTTTACGGAAGCGCAGAAGGGCCACATATTTTTATTATTTGTTTTTTGGAAATCACCACTTTGAATCTCGAAATTTCGACTTTCATCTCGAAATTTAGACTTTCGAAGTTGGAGATTAAAGTCAAAATTTCGAGTTTGAAGTCGTAATTTCGAAATAACGAGATTAAAGTCGAACTTTTGAGATAAAAGTCGAAATTTTGAGATTAAATTCGAAATTTCGAGATAAAGGTCGAAATTTCGAGATTCAAAGTCGTACTTTCCGAAAAACAAATAACAAAAATATGTGGCCCTTTTGCGCTTCCGTACTATTTTGTTCAGTGTGGGGTAATTATGAAATACTGATTTCAATTAAAACTTTCAGAATCTGCTATGTGAACATCCACAATAGAAGAGAGATAAATTTTGAGTATGAACTCCAAAGCTGAGGTTTCATTTATTGCTTCATCACCATATCTCAGTAAAATTGGAATTACAATATTTATCACTTTGGTACATGAATATACTTTTTGATTTCTCCCCTATTGCATGCTGCGCAATAAATCAATTCTCAATATTCTATAGATCGGTCGATGATTCAAAAGATTCAGTTGGAATCATTCCCAAATTTGAATCTATATTTACGACAAACTATTCATTTTAAGAGAACTGAAACATATATATTACCTTGTAATTATCGAAGAGATCGCCTATTGAACTAAAGAAAAAGTTTTCCTTCTCTTTAAGTATTTTAGTTCCTTGTGTTTTTCTTTGTGAAATTTGTTTTTTATTTAAGTTTTCGAGCATGATCAGTATACCACTTATATTTAAATATTTTTGCACATTGTTCAACAATTAGTTATCATTTATTATCAGTTTTTTAATATTTGAAGCATATTGAGCAAATCATTAGTCAAGCTTTGGTTTAACCTTATCCGCATGTTAGTTTTTATAACGAGGGAGCATTTATGCTCATTCAAAGTGAATTCAACGATACTGAAATACCAATTACAATCTGTACATGTAATATTCGCAAACTGTTCATTCCATATGCTTCGTTTAGAGAAATATGTTCTACTCAGATGTTTGTGTGTTATTCATTATGAACATTTAATCTTTCGTTCAAGTTCATTGAGTTTTTTCATTCTGAAGGAACACTACATTGGTCTTGAGATGTTCATCTGGTTCTTCTCAACTCCGATGATTTTATATTTTGTCACATCATCATGTTCTTCAAGATCATCGAAAAGTATAAGTCAATCGCTTCAAAAAATTTTAATTCACATGAATATGAAATTATGTCCAGAATTGAACATTTTCAACACTAATGAATTTATATTCCAATAGAAATAAAACTTCTATCATCTTTTATTATCCTAATAGAAACGTATTAATCATAAATTTCAGTCAGTGCACATTTTTGTGACATTGTCTATCATTTTATCAATACAATGTACTATCAACCATTCTTTCTCTTGGCAAAATTTGGAATTCATTTGGAATGAATATGTTGGTCCATAATATTGAATATGCGGTAAGCTGTATCACATTCAATAACTCCATTGGATATCACAAATTGCATCTAAACTTTATCTTATCTGAAGGGTATCTGTACAGCTCATTATTGCAGTTAAGGACTCCCTGATCTGATCAGGTTCGTTTCAAAGAGGTAACAACTGAGGAATCTAGGGTCTGGCTGAACATTTTTTCCGTTGCATCTATGAAAACATAGTCATTAGAAGACGAAAGTTCCAGAATTTCAGCTGAAACACGTTTGGGTTATTTGATTTGGAGTTATCCAGAATATCGGTGTGGTTTCGTTGTTGATGAAAGTGGTTCTCGTGGCTTCAGTTGCAAATTCAATGCAGGACGCATCTCTCGGCGTTATGCTGTCGATGACCTACTTAAATATGCATTGCCAGCAGATAATATACCTTCATGTTTAAATCTCTCGAAATCACCCGAGATGACAGAAAACATCCTGATGATATGGGACTTCACCTGCATTGACACTTTTACTCACTCTCATCTCGATTTACTCAGCTAATGGCTGGTACAGCTGAAACATATGCTGAAGAAATGAAACTGCAGGAATACAATTGCCTGGAAGAAGATTATGGTCTCTATCCAATTATTATAGCTGGGTAGCTTTGATCCTTTGCATTTTCAAGAATATAAGTCGAACACTAATTGCAGTAACACTTATAACAAAAGCAAGATCATTTTCAGCACAACAATTCAGAATTGCTTGTGAGAAAGCAAATGTTGCATCAGTTCTTGGAACTATTGCTCCTTTTCGGAAGTCTTGACTGAATTTTATTTTGCCAACAAAATATGACTAATTCCTCAATGTTCTCTTCCATGGGGATAGAAGTGAATCATACGCCACCATGAATGACATTAGCACTTTTAGTACAAATGGTTGTTTGAATAAAACTTGTCGCTGATCGAGGAACTGTGGGTAATATATTCATTAGATAGAGAGTGATGAATTATCTTTGAAGAGTAAATCCAAAGATTTGTTCCTGGGGTCATGAATATCTCCGATATTTTTCCAAGGGTTCACACGCTGAAGTAAAAAGAATCAACGAGATCCGAAATGATAGACAAAAAAGAAAAGAGCACCTTCTGAGATATTCAAGAGTGGACAACTCCAAGTTTGTTGACAACTTCGCCAGTTGGTTTAAATCTACATGGAAATTCTCTCATCGCTAGTTTTTGACCCCTTCTAAGATTTGTCTTTTCCGATTTCACGAAACAATGGTCAACTGAGATTATCACAATACTTGGATGAAGTCAAAAAATCAACGTGTTCAGGATGCCAAGATACAAGGGAATTCAAAACATTTCTGTCTGTTTCCAGAATTTCAGTCATACATATGAAGGGAATTTCGTCATTAGACAGATCTGAAGGCAAATTGAAAGTAACCATCAACATTTCACTGGAATTTTCAGATATGGGTGATTATGCAGTAGACAGTCCAGAACTTTTCCGTTATAACCTCCATGCACCGTCAAGTCACTGCTGCTGAAGTTTGCTGAACTCATACCCCACATCCCAAACAGCACGACCACCCAAAAGCTTACATTCATGGAGCTTCCGATTGGGTAAGCCGAATTCTGAAGAGGCACGATATAAGAACAGTCATAGTCAACAATCAAATTTCCACCTACGAATTCCTAAGGACACAATACCCAATGACGCACGAAATACCATGTTCCTCCTGCTCCAGAACTTATATCAATCAGACCAACAAGAGAGTCCCTGACAGTGCCTATGAGCTTGATGTTCCTGAATCAGATCCAGCCACATCCATCTTCAAACATCATTTGTGAAACCGGCCACACAATAAGCTTTGAAGGCAGTAAAACCAGAGCTACAAAGAAAAAATTCCAGGCTAGGATAGACCGCGAAGCTATTGAAATTAAAAAACTTCGCAACTGCATCAACAAACGAGGCGATTCACAAAGATTACTTCATTCATGGAAATCCTCGCTTTCATGCCGTACATCTCCAACATTACACACCTCACTTCCCCGTTCCCACTACCAATCGCATCCTCGCCCCTACTACGGGTCCACCCCTCCACTCGACTTAAATACTGGAGCAGATCTTGTGAACTGACAGTATAGGTATTCAGCAAATTCACGATAAACAAAACCAACAGATTACGAAACTGAAAGCACCTATAGGCTGACTTTTGACCGCAAGATGTCAGATGTCAATCTTGCTGAAGTGCCCATCAGTAGTTTGGGGTCCACTCAGGGGTGAGTGGGGGTGGATGGACGAGATTCTAGCTTCTGCTCACAGTAACCATGTGGGGAAGATTCTATCTAGACACAGTCAACCCCGGTGGAGTATGGGGGTGAACCCACAGTCATCGCTTGGAAATGGGCAGATAGAAACCCATACGGACCAGTGACAAGACCTGAGTGGTAGGCAGATTGAGACCCCTGTGTCAAGTCTCAAAATTCATGGAGCGTGTTAGTGACTAAAACGTTTATGCTTTTTATAATAGGGGAGCCCAAGCGGGGATTCCGGGATTTACTAAAGCGCGACAGATTAATATACAGGCAGATACCTTGTACCCGGTTTAGTACCTCCACCAAATATGAGATCAGATTAGTAAAAAAAATTGATCATCAGAAATTCTGGAGCGCGTCAGATTGAGGTAGGGTTAGTTAATTACCTGCTAAAAAGTGTATATTCCAGTAATCTGACAATATGAGGGGTGACGTAAAGAGAGGGGAGGGCAGCAAAGTTGTAAAAAAATAACGTCATTTCGACATTCTCGAGCGTAGCTGATTTTTTTTTTGTTTTGGAGGAAATAATTCAAGGATAATGAAAAATATAAAATCTGACGATTTCCGCAAGCCGAAATAACAAAAATTCGTCGATAAAGTTTAAAGCGTGCAGCTGTGTGATACCTATATTTCCCTCTCCGAGTTTCTATTACTCTATTCTCTATTCACTTTTTCTCCATCCATTACTCTCTCACTCCGTCCCCACTCTGAATTCTGTTGCCATGACGCCATCACAGCTGATCACAGAGACTCGTTCGTGATGAAGATGAAGATTAATTAATCAATTAATTGATGGATGTAGCCGTTACTACGTGGTAGGAAATTATAATAAAGAAAAGATAAATTAAACTTTCTATGTTTTTACCACTTTCATTTGTAACTAACGTTAGGTACTGCAGTTTCGTCCTTTAAGGACATTTTCAAACTTATACATACTTATAGTTTGAAAATGTCCTTATAAGACGAAACTGCAGTAAAGCTAGTTACAAATGAAAGTGGTAAAAAACATAGAAAGTTGAATTTCTCTTTCATTCATTAATTAATCAATTGATTACAAAAAATAATTTTTTTGATAATTTTTTTAAATCATTTTCTTATGAATACAAGTATTCTACTTAAAAAACATACACATATTTATTTGCATGATATTTCCTGAGCTTCTCAATTGATTAAGTAGAATGAATTTAAAAAAAAATTGTTTTTGTCAGATTAAGCGAATCTCTCTAGATAATCGTCAGATTATTGAATGAGAGATTTTTTTTGCATGACGCGCTCGATTAAATTCTTTTTCTTTTCACGTTCAACTCTCACGTACAACCACCCACATCATGCAAACGATCAGATTAACATACCAACATTATTAAAAATACGTAGGACATGGATGTTATCAATATCTGACGCGCTCGAGTATGTCCATGCAACAGTATTTTTTAAATATTTAAAAATCTATAGCCGCTTTCCCCACCGATGAAAAGGTATATATTATATAACATTTTTTTTCTTATCATCTAAGCTTTGCAACCTAATATGTCTCAATGTCGCTCGAGTAAATCCCCATTTTGCACCGTGGGCTCCCCTGCTTTTATATGATTAAAACAGTGGACTTTATACGATAATGAACAGTACTACCCTTTTTCACTTTCACAAGATTCAAGAGAAACGTGAATATTTGCTCTTTTCAAATGTTTCAACTTTTTTCCTCACATTCTGTTTTTCCTGTCCAATGAAAAGTTTCCAGAAATTTTCATTGAAAGTTGTAAAACCAATGGTTCTAGAGGTTTCTGTTATGCCTTTGATATTGGCCGAAATATGTATGGAAATTGAAATTTTCAACCAAAATAAATTGAACATGTAATATTATCATAACATTTTGTGCGGGATCCCTTTGCAATAAATACTCATCGAATATCTTCATCCAACAGTTCACATATTTCTCTAAACCGTAGTGCATTTATTAATAGTCATCCTAATAATATCTGTGAAGAAAATGATCATTCACGCATAGCGCTTGTTTTCAATATTCGTTATCATTTTCCAAACACATAATTGAATTTGACCTTCCTGAAAGCGAGGATTCAATCTTGACTCTAATGGAATTCCACTTTGAATCACCTGCAGTGTCCTCGACCTGAAACAAATTTCACGAGAGAATAACAAAAATGTCTCTCTGTCGGGCCAGGAAAGCATTTTTCAAGATCTAATTTCAAACGCTTTCAAAATATCCTACGCCCTTTTACTTAGAGAAAATTGAGACTATAACTTAGAATATTTCCGAGCTTTTAACCAAATTGAATTTGCATTTTCTGCTTGCAAGCTTTACACTGCCAGACATTATTTTAATGCCGATTTTTTCTTTTTTCCGGATTGTCTCGTCCTGCAGAAGTACAAAAAACTGAGACGACGACAGGTAAATATTACAGGCTTTCCATCTACGAGGAATTCCGCGAAAGTAACAACTGTTCTCCATTAGAGAAAGGAAACCTTCTTTGGAGACTTTTCCTTGCATTACCACTTGTATTAAAAAGTAAATATTCTAAAGAACACACGACTTCGAAAGCTCCATATTTCGTTAGTTATTGTTGAAAGTTTTGAGAGTATGAACTCTCACAGATGAAAATGAATATGCTTGGCCTATTTTCCGGGTTTGTTGGTCGATGTCTGTGAATTTTACGTTTTCCTTTTTTTGCTTCACCGGTTTAGTGGGAGATGACCGTTTGGCGGGGGTTGGCCATTTTTAACTTGATTATGGGTTTCCATATGTTGCGTATCTCTACGCTTCCTTAGCTTAGCATTGTTGGACAACATGTATGCGGCTACTTTAAATTTCCACTTAAACCAATATTCTTCCCTGTGTATGATCTCAGCTTGGGACCACTCGATGTTATGTTGATGGGTCCAAACATGCTCTGCCATTCCTGATTTGCTGGTTTCCTTCGCTGTGTGTGTTTCTTGTGCTCGGCAATGCGAATATTCAATGACCTCTTAGTTTCACCGATGTAGGATTTTTCGCCATAACAGCTGAATGCAGTCCGCGTTTGGTGGCCTGGTTTTCATGAGGCTGCTACAGATAGTGTTTCCGGATCTGAAACAGGTTCTGATGTTGTACTTGGACCCACTTCTTCTTATCCTTTTCGATAATCCTCTGATGTAGGGAAGTGCAACCACTGTTTGTGACGGCTTCTCTTCCTTGTGAGGATCCCGCTGTCTTTCAGCCAAAATCTGTTCCACCATTTCTTTGGAGATGTCTAGTTCCTTCTCTAGACCTTCATTCGTATTAAAGAGCCCGAAAGCACGGTCTAATAGAGTCTTAATGATTCCTCTTTTAGTCTATTGATGGTGGTTGGGTTCGTGGTTCAGATACTATCCCGTGTTAGTGGGATTTTGGTATACAGAAGTTTCCCAATCAGTGTCGGTCCTCTTCACCAATGCGTGTATGGCAATTCGTTGTGGACTTCCTTCTCTATTGTGAAAGTGATGGAAGGTCTTACGCTGTCTAGACGTCTTCCTGAAATACATCAAACACATAATATCACACAATGGAAGTCCGAATTAATGAGATACTAGAATTTCATACTATAACGTTTCTACCGAAAGATTACTAGAAAATTTTTACTTTTGGCAAATAACTTGATTTCTTTTAAACTTTGCTTGTATATCTGGAGAAACAAACAAACTTTCATCCTGATTTTTTTGATCTGAAACCTGATTTTTTTTGATCTGAAACTAGTCTTAATTGATATACTTTTGTATTTTTGTACTAGGACTTTTAGGAAATAAAATATGGACTGTTAAAAAATAAGGTGAATGTTGGAAATTTTCGAAGAATTTTGTTTCATTCTTTTTGTTCTATTAGTTGTGCTCTGTAAAAATATCTGAAAATTTTCAGTCACTTTGATGGTTCAGGAAATATTAACAAATATCTTGATAATATGCAGTTTCCATGATGAAGGTTGAAAATTAAAAAAAATGGTGAATGAGGATTGTGTTTGTTTTTAAGATAGGTCATATTCTTTTTTCGAAGAAATTAATTAATTAATTTGGGAATTAGAAAGCAATTGGAAATTGATGTTGAAAATATGAATAAAACAACTTCGTACCATCATACCATTACTTCAATAAATCGCGAAAAAATTATGTAAACTGAAAAAATATCACTTCGATCAAGATTTCGAAAGGGCTCCAGAAGTTTCCTGATCACAAAATCTGTTTTCATCAATACTTATTAAAAAGTAGTTCCATGTTAGGAATCACACGTTAAAAGATAAGACCTCGTTAATCCTCAGCTTGCACTTTGACTCGCTGGTTAACGGAAAAACAGGTTTTTTTCAAACAGTAAGATCTTCCACAAAGAAAAAATTAAAAACATTTTTATCATTTCGGAAGAGGCTATTTCAAAAATAACAGAATGTTTTGGTTTTTTTTTGGTCCCTTGGGAGCTGTCTGGTATCTGTATCTGTAGAGTAGGGAGGGTGAGTGTAAGCCCACGCACTTAGGCCACATATGACCCATTATACATCCTCCCAAGAAGTTGTCCTCCTAGGTCATCGTCCATCCTGTCCTTTCCAGGAAGGTAGACAGGTCACTGGGAGACATCTCCTTTATATCGGCAGGTGTAGGCCAAGACTCGCCGGACACACACTCTCTTATTTACGATAACTCCGGGCACTCGCACAGGACATGCCTGACAGTCTCATCTTCCTGTTCACACATCCTGCATAGAGGTGTGTCTACTAGCCCCATATTATGGAGGTGTTTCCTTAGTTGACAGTGGCCAGTTAGAAATCCTACTGTAAGGCGTAGATTTTTCCTGGTCATCGCCAGATATTTCCAGATATTTCTTCGGCGCCAGCTTCCCAGTGTCGCCCAAGGTGATCCTGGCAAGATTACATCCTTTGATTTCATCTCATCTCTTTAAGGATTGTGCATGGGTGTAACATTTGACTAGTTCCGCAATTGTCGAAGTCATCAGGCCGTGGGTGCTATTCTTAGTCCAGCCGCTTCCTAAAGAGTCGGCAATGCGATTACCTTTATTCTTGTCGTGCCCTTCAACCCACCTCAGGATAATGTTATTATCTACCGAGGCTTTGGCTAAATCTTAGTGGCACTCTAGTTCTAGCCCTGAGGTAACACGCTGTCTGTTCGAAGCTAATAGTGCTTGTCTGCTATCAGTGCAGCACTATCAGCACTCTCCTGGAGGTTGGCGGCTTTGTCGCCATTTTCTCTCGTCAGGATGCCGATACTCTTATGGTGGTCATTTGAGAGTGCCTTCTGTAGCCTAGAAGCTAGTGGGAGGTCTTCGACTGCCTAACAATAGGCTCTCCGAGCTTCTCTTTGCTTTCGTCTGCAGACTTTTTTGAACTCTCTGAGGTTGGCTTGATATATACCCCAGTCCTCTTCGAGTCTTGTACGTTTTGCCTTGTTGAAGGTCGTTCTAGCTGTCTTTCTGAGGTGTTCCAATTCTGGGCACCACCATGTGTTGGTTGTGCCATGTGTTTAAACAATCCTCATCGGACAGGATTCCTTATAGGTAATGTCTATTTTGTTGTGGATAGATACCGTATACCTTTCCAGTTCTTCATTGTTGCCAGGAGTCAGGACCTCTGTTTCCCGCAGAGCTCCTCTTAAGAGTCGATTGTAGAGAGCTACATCCGTCCTTTTCGGGTCACGGGATTTTACAGTAGTCCTGAGATCCTGGTTTACCGTATAGGTCAGCCAGCGGTGGTCTGACATAGAAATATGGTCCGAAACTTGCCAGTCTTGGATTTTGTTTGATATTTTGGCTGTCGTAAGCGTGATATCTATTAATGTTTGGCTACGGGCGTTAATAAAAGTAGGTCTGATCTGAGCATCAAAAGTTGCTGAGGTGTGTACAGTTTTCTGGTTCAGAATAGTGTTTCAAGTGATTGTGCCAAGACATATTGGTGTCCATTTCAACCTCCAACAAACTTATCCAGAATTGTCAGATCTGACATTATTATATTCGGTTTGGAGTTATTCATCTTTCTGGAGAAAACCGATGCCTGAATTTTCTTGGCATTGAATTGAATCTGGTAACTTTCACCCCAATTCGAAATCACTTTTAGATCCTCATTAAGATATGCAACCTCCTGCTGCAGGTGAAGATGTTCCTCCGCAGCCGATGTCCTGGAATCTAAATAGAATGACGAGACAAGTATGCTGTCGTCAGCAAAGCAATTTATTGGATTCTTGATTTTTTGAATAAATCGTTGATATACAATAAACATATGGTTAAACAACAGCGTTGATGGTAAAAGCATTTGAAGATAGCCATCGACGGCCACTTGCAGGGAACGTTCTTTTAGGAAGCTGGAAAGCCACACACAATTCAATCTCTATCACAGACGATTGTTTATCAAGAAGATTACTCTTCTCGGAAAAAATTCCATCGTATTCAAGAAGCAGAAAACTCCCAAAGAAAGAAGGAAATAATTGAAAAAATCAATAAAAACTCTTCCAAATACGTGTAGGTTCGACATTTGATAATTATAGTTTTGGTAATGAATAGAACGGTTATTTTCAGTAGAGCACTTCCATTTATTGATGTTGTAAAATGAAAATTCCACTGATAATATCTATAGATATAGAAAACAGTTGTTACTTTCCGACTATCCTCTCTAAACGTCCATTACAGTAATAATTCACACTTCTCACAACCAACAATGGAGTCAGCCTAGGAAATTTTGTTTTTGTTTTATTTTCTATACTGTTCCAGGGAGATGGTACCGGTGAATTTTCCCCAGGAGATATGGTGAGTCTTACATCAGCTCAACAGAATCGATAGAACTCGTTGAGTTCAATTAATAAACCCGATATTCAAAATTATTGAGAGAATCTTCATATTGAACTTGGTGAAATAGCAATCTTTAGGTGAATTTTACTGGAAATTGCCTTGTTTCCCAACAAAAAATGAGGTAGATGATACCAGATCATATTTTCATTCGCTTCCGGGGTCTGCTATAATGTAGTTACTTGCTTGCAATCACAGCTATGAGAGGGAAAGACAAAAAGCGATTTCTTATTCGGTGGTCGTCGCCACATTTCATAAAATCAAATGACAAAACCTATCACCAACATCAGTGTCTATTATAGAAAAAAACATATTGCAATAAATATATTTTGATACTCCTCCCAAAACAAAAACAGTAAAAAATAGGAAAAAAGAATATCAATATTAGTCTTTTTACAAATATCTCCATTTGGAAAAATATAGTGAATTTGAAATGAATCGGACTGAGACAAATCAACAACTACTTTGTTCAATATCAGGTGATTGGTCCCCCTGGTCCTCCTGGACCACCTGGCCCATCAGGCTTACCAGGTCCTCCAGGAATCAAAGGAGATAGAGGAAAAGACGGGATCAAGGGAGAAGTGGTGAGTCATTTGCTTTGTTTTTTTTCCATTATATTATTTTGCATGTTTAGTGAGTTTAAATGTATCACAACAGTGTGTCCTCAGAAGGAAAACTTTTTTACGACTCGCATTAGAGTAAAATCAATATCAATGAAGACAGGTTTCGTAGCTAATATATTACCTCCAATTACAACCTCTAGTGAAATTTTCAGTCCCTCTGGGGATGCCCTGTACATGGTGGAGATATTGAATTTGTAATATTTCTTCATTTTCAGGGAGAAAAAGGAAACAAAGGCGATCCAGGGCCAATGGGATTACCTGTGAGTATATTGAAATTAATTGAATATTTATTGGAGTTTTTCGGAAAATAGCATTTTCTTCGTGGTGAACAGGTCGTTACTACCAAGTAATCAAGACATTATATTTATGATCGAAGTGTGTCAAAAGTATTTCCAAAACAGCGTATTTGTTCTCAAAACCTCAATATTATTCTTTTTGAAAATTTCGTACGTTATCTCAACATATGCATTCATGATCTACGAACTTCATATTTAATATAAACAATTTTCGACTGACTGATATTGTTTAAGTTGTCTTTCAGATGACCTGTACGTTATGCAGTCTGCAAATTTTAATATTCGAACCTCGAATTAGACTTTTTTAAGATGGTCTAGTCTCCAGGAAATTTAAGAACTTATTCGTATAGATACTTTCATACTTGAGTAGCATACAGGAAGAAAGTGACAAAATTCAGTTGAATGTCGTATAGAACTATACAAACTCTTTCCGTTTGTTATTTTTGATAAACACATCTGAAAACTATGTTCCAAATCTTATATATCTCCAGTTTGTTGTGGATTTGGCCGCGGTGGTAGTGCGCCCGACTCACGATCGGAAGGTCGTGGGTTCGATTCCTTCCTCGACCAGATATTTTTCTCGATAGAATTTATCTGGTTGAACCTGGGATGTTTCTGCAACCGTGTTAGGAATCACACGTAAAAAGGTAAGACCTCGTTAGTCCTTAGCTCGCACAAGTTTCTCATTTTCTGAGAGTTGTCGTTCGTATGGGGGCGACAGCTGATTAACGGAAAAACAGATTTTGAAAAGATTTCGAACATTATTTCGCAATCTCGCACATGAACTGCTAACTGACGTGTTTCAGATAATATATTTTTTCACTCCTGAGACCTTATAATAGTTTTCTTTTGAAGAATATTGAAAGATTTTTCTAGATATTGATGCTATTCTTCTATGAAAATGCCACGTCATTCCAAATTTTTTTGATTCTCAAATAATAGTCAGTACACTTGTTTTCTACACTGCAGATATGGGAGAAAATAAAGAAAAGTTTAAGACCAGAACATTTTCATCGACTTTTTTGGGTTTTTCACCATCCACAATTTGTAAATTGTAAATAACCTCCTGAACGTTATGATGAGTATCTACATAATTCTTTTTTTCGATAGACATAATTATCAAATAAGACAAGACATTTCTCTTTGTGAAAAATACGCAGTTTCCCATAAGGATGAATAAAAAATTACCCTTTTACATCTTTATGAAGTTCTTCACTACAATGTTTATATTTTTCAGAATATGATGTGACACGTGAAAAAACACAAAAAAAGAACGAAACACAAAATTATTCTACGTTTCTCTTTCATTTTATCTGAAAATTATAAGACTCACAATTCGAGAGTACCTACTCTTGTAACTAAGACTGAACCCAGGGCTTGAAAGGAATTTTGTCAAACAACTACGTTCTGACACAAATCAAAAACGTTTTATCACTGTTTCAATATGATTTTCATTTATTCCTGGAGTCTTTGACGTTTTTAGACATTCATACTTGAAATAGTTTTTCAAAGAATAATCTAGAGAGACAGAGAAAATAACGTGCTTCGGCATTAATGATTGCGAGTAAACAGAGAATGGTTCCCAAGATGTACTCCAGATCACTAAGCCTAAGGATTAAGTGGGGAATGGGAAAAAATACCTGCGTGTTCCAAACAGAACTGGCTGGTATCTCAATAGCCACAAAAGAAATAACCAGAAAAGGAATTTCTGGCAAAAACATATCAATCTGCACTGACAGCAGACAAGCCCTATTAGTCTTAAACAGACAACGTGTTACAGGGATAGTACTAAACTGTCACCAAGATTTAGCCAAATCCTCGGTAGATAATATCCTGAGGTGGGTTGAAGGGCACGACAGGGGTGAAGGTAATCGCATTGCCGACCCTTTAGCCAAGGAAGCGGCTGAACTGAGAATTTTAGGACCCAGTGGCACCTACGGCCTGATGACTTCGACAATTGCGGAACTAGCCAAATGTTGCAGCCATGCTCAATATCTGAAGAGATGGGATGGAATCAAAGGATGCAATCTTGCCAGGATCACCCTGGGCGACCCTGGGAAGCTGGCGCCGAAGAAATATCTGGCGATGACCAGGAGAAATCTACTCTTAACAGTAGGATTTCTGACTGGCCACTGTCAACTAAGAAAACACCTCCTCAATATGGCGCTAGTGGACACCTCTATGCAGGATGTGTGAACAGGAAGATGAGACTGTCAGGCATATCCTATGCGAGTGCCCGGAGTTGTCGTCAATAAGAGAGTGTGTGTTCGGCGAGTCTTGGCCTACACCTGTCGATATCAAGGATATGTCTCCCAGTAACGTGTCCACCTTCCTAGAAAGGACAGGATGGACGATAACCTAGGAGGACAACTCCTCGGGAGGACGTACAATGGGTCAAATGTGGCCTAAGTGCTGTGAGCTTACACTCACCATCCCTACTCTTCCCGATTTGGTGTCCTCCACAAAATACAAAATACGCTAGTTCATCTTTTATAACTGAGTTTTAGCCTACTGTTGACTCTGTGAAATTACATTTGTCTCCAATAACCCGATTGGAAGGGTACATTTATAAGTGGAATGGATAAATTCCATATACAAAACCTATAAGAATTGAGAAAGCTTTCTCCTAAAATAGCTCCAAATGATTTTGATATCTGAAGACACCTTCTATCATTATGGTGTTAACACATTCATTCAGTTGGTCTTTGCTACTGAAGTTTATATGTTATACTCTTCATATAACAAGTATGTTGTTGAACTAAGTTGAAATCTTCAAAATCAAGTAACCGAAAGCTGCTAAAATTAACCTATTGTCGTCTGAAAGTTTTTTTGTATTTAGTAAAACTGGTGCCTTCGATGATTTGTCCAAGGTGGTGACGGAGTGATATAAAAGGAAGGGAATGTGATTGGATGTTTGCATCTAATCAGGTGGCAATGATATTGTGGTGCATTCATCTCCTTCTATAATAATAATAATAGTAATAATAAAGCATTTATTGCTCAACAATAACAACCATTTACAGAGCAATTTAAGATGACAATATATATCAAGTATACTCCTAGCACTAATACATAGAGATCTCAGCGTTATCATACGATAAACGCTTTAGACCTATTTTTTTATTCGATTAAAGAACAGGAAAAAATATCACAATATTCACAAATTTTGTTATAGTTCGTGCACATTACATAGATTGGTGCCTTAAGCATAAGGTTAGTTTGCGCCCGTTTACACATAAAAGTGCAGCTTTCTCGAGATGTTTTCCGGGGTACAAATATGTTGATGTAAGATAATAATTCACAGGAATCAATTTTATTGTTCAAAAGATTGTACAGAAATATTAAGGAAGTCTGCGCCCTGCGTTTTTCTAAGGATATAAAGTCAAATCTTTGTAATAAAGAAACATAGTTTTGGCCTCTAGGTGGGTATACTCCATCAATTTCAAAGCTCAAAATTTTCACAAATGTTTTTTGTGCCTTCTCCACGATAGAAATATATTGTCCATATATAGGGTTCCATATTAGAGATCCATATTCTAGTTTTGATCGGACAAAACAGAAATACATTTTTGTTAGAGCAGACAAGTTTGTGAAATTTCTACAATTTCTTACGATAAAGCCGTATGCACGATATGCTGCATTTACTGTACGACTAACGTGTATGTCAAAGATGAGCTGCGCATCAAAATAAATTCCCAGATCTTTTATCGCATCAGTACGCTGCAATTCTACATTATCTATTGAGTATGCATAGTGAAGACTATCACTTTTCCTAGTAAATGTAATTGCTTCACATTTGGATATATTCACTGGGAGTTTATTTTTGATACACCACCTATGAAAAATATTCAACTGGATCTGCAAATAACTGCAATCATTTAAAGAAGTGACGGACGTATATAATTTTAAATCATCGGCAAACATAGGCCTCTTGCGTTCGAGAGATGTACACAGGTCATTTCTCTTCAGCAAGAACAACAGTGGGCCTAAATTAGATCCCTGTGGTTCACCGCTGGTTGCCGTATACACTTCCGATTCGTAACAATTGTATTGAACAAACTGTTTACGGTTGAATAAATATAATTCCAAAAGTGCTATATACATTTTGGAAAAACCTACGTTCGAGAGCTTGTGTAATAGAAGTGTGTGATTTATTCTGTCGAAAGCTTTCGAGAAATCTGTGTACACCAGATGATACCTTGACTAAAGTCATCCATTTCTTCAGTTAATCCAATCTTTTTTTTCCAATTCAAGGGTCCGATGGGCTTGAGAGGGGAGAGCGGCAGACCTGGTGATTACGGAAAAGCGGGTTCAGCGGTAAGGAAGCCATATTATTCCACACTCCATAGCTATAGGCCTAGAGAACGTTAAACAACAAAACAGCCTAACAAATTAACAAAATTATTAACAACATTAATAACAGTATCCTCACCGATTTCCGTTCGGACTCAGTTTATGGACAATTTTTAAAACTCCCCTGCACATGTATTGGAGGACAATAAATGGTGATATAGAAAAATCACCAACTGCCAAGGAAATTGAATCCATTATTAACATATTGTCAACAATATTTCTATGTTTTGAATCATTACTTTTTCTCAAACTTGCTCAATTGTCTACCTTCAAGAAACCAGGAAGAATGGAAATGTCGAATATCCTATTTGTGCATCTTCAATGAGAGCAAGTTGAGGAATTGCTATGTTCCAGACATTTTACTATTAGTTACTGTCATATTTGTATTCGAGCTGTATCTATGCTGCTATTTATAAATATTACCAAAGCGTGTTACAAGGAAATTTACAATCGGGTTTATAACTATAACAATAAATAAAATCAAAAGTAACTCCATCTTTCATAACTTTTAATCCGGGTCGGGTTTGAGTCCAAATATTATATAGAGATGATGAGTTCTTTATCAAATTCTGAATTATAATGCTTTCTCTTTGCAATTCGTCAGAGGAAAAAATTAAAAATCTGAAACGAGTCAATATATTTCTTGAGAACAACATCATAATGGATATATAGTTTCTGTATATTTTTTTGTTTTCTCAACCATAGAGAAAGTTTCGTCTGGAAGTTTTTATATTAAATGAATGAAATAAATGGATAATTCAAACAAATATACATTTAAATTCACGTTCCAACACCATTTTTCAAAAGTCATGTTTTTGAAAAAAGATTCCACAGTAATTGTTCGAACTGATCTGTAGAAATTTCCCAAATCAAAATATAACCGATTGTTACAATTTTCTCAAAGTTTGAACAATGTATATCTGAATACGTGAGTCATAATTGTGTATTTATTTTCAGCAAAACATTACCAATTTCAAATTTAGTTACAATACAGTTGGGCTGAAAAGTTCGTAGTTTTTTTAATAGAATTTTACTTCATTATTCGCCCATTGGAGACGATACACCTATTATAGAAGTCATAATATTTTTCAATGCCATTTTTATGGTACAATTGGTCGTCAGCCTCAAAATGTGCGTTATTTGAAACCGTTTTTTTGTATCATGAATCATCCTTATGTATAAAAGTGTAATAATATCAAAAATTACATGTGACAGAAACGTTTTTATCATATGCTATATGTATGCTACATGCGGAAAACTATTATTTTAATTTTTTTCAAGGAAAATATTATTTTAAAAAACATATAAAGATATCAGCAAGTCAACAATGAACTTTGAAGTATTTTGATTCTCAGGTTACCTTGAATTGACCTGCTCATTTTCTAGATGCTCAGGCAAACGAATTTAAAACAAAATCAATCGAATCCACAATTTGATAAGCTTCAAAACTTTATCTCTGATCTGTATTTCGAAAATTGCACTCCATTTTTTTCGTTATTTTCATGAAGTTATGCTTTCTTACATACTTAAACCCGATTGCAAGTTTTCAGATGATCACAATGTAGCTACTACTGATACCAGTTATAACAAATCGAACTGTCCGTTTAAATCATCTATTTCAAAAGAACCTACATCCCCAGAAAGATTATCATTGAATAATTCTAATACAGAATTCTGTTTGTGAATCTCCGGCAAAAACGTTTCTCATTTATTTTCCTATGAAATGCGAAACCCATCAAGTATGCATGCCCGAGGACTCAATCAGGATTTTTAAGAGTTTCTTTGAAGTCCCATTTCAATTTGTTATTCCAATATTTGCTAGTCTACTGAGTACTTAATGGCTATGACTGATCTCAAATTGAAAACCAAGACGTACGAGGGAAAACTGAAGTGTTGATGGGTTTTACAATTGACCAAAAAAGTGATTGCGATTTTTATTTGTTGTAACTGTTTCATTGGTACCTAACATGCAATGTATGGGGATACAAGCCATTTTTCGTCCATTCTAGTACTTAACACATTTAAAATGTTATGTTGGATTACCAAGAGTGTATTGAGTAGTGAATAAATATCAGATATCTACATATAAATCTGACATTACAGGGTGATTCAGAACACAGTTTTGAGGTCCCAGAATCCACCAGGAAGAGGTATTTCAGAATTTATGAAAAGTAAACCGACTCAAATAGATTATACATTCAATACAAACTTCTGTCTCACCCCGTAATATTAAGGAAGGTAAATGTATAAAGACTTTCGAAAGCCATTATTTTTGAGGTTATCAAACCAACAGTGTTGTAATATAAATGTTACATTTTTATAGGTGTTTTATAGTAGGTTTAGTATATTGAAACAAAGTAATACAGTTTCGAGAGAACTTTTCCAAAACATGATCGAAAATGCCACCTTTCATTGAAACTATTTAAAAAATCAAATATACGATAATAATATACAATATATCATGGTCGATCAAAAGAATCAGTTGGCTTAGATAATTATTTTTAACTCACAATACAATACAAGAAAGGTTATATGCCCTTGTTCATTGTTTACTATTCACAATTAATTTCAATAGTATTTAAATCTGCTATAATAAAGAACGCAAAAAGAATACACCCACTCTCATTTTATTTCTACTATATTCAATAATGACATCACGTACTATGAAACATTATAAGGCATTATTCATTTCTTATTTGTATCCCCCATTACTCTAAATAAATGAAGTTGTCTTTTCCTGAGACATTGGCGTTTGGAATGTCAAATATATCGCTGATAATATCACTTCTTTGTATTGCTTCTCTTTACAAATGTATTGGTGATTGGGAATTTGAAGCTGATTTTTTATGCATTGAACTATCACATTATTTTTCACTTTGTAACTCCCAATGACAAAATGGTTTAGACTTTCGCGGCTGAGGTTTTCAGTGTCACTGTTTTTCGAGTTTGAATGCCTGACGTTTCGCTGGCGCGAGTGGCTACCGTCTTCAGATGTTTAACTATCATGGCTTGCTTTTAGGCTTCGTAAAGCGTATTTTTATCAGTTGGATAGATATTTTTTCCTGAATTTTTTCCATACTTAACTGGAGCATATGGTTTTCAAGAAGATATGACTATATCCCTATCGCCAAATCGTATTTTGTCTCTGCCATCCCAGAGACAAAAGAAGCATATATTTATTTGTTGGGTTAGTTTTCTGATGTCTAAAATAAAATTTTATATTTTTGAGTACTAATCATTCATTGATAACAGCGTCATTGAAATAACCAAATCTTGGTGTTTATTTTTTCATTACTTAGTGAACACCTTGAGCTGCAACATGTTTATTTTCCTTGTGAAGAAGAAATAGGTCTTCAATCATCTGTAAAATGAATGTTACTGAAGTTTTATCCCAACAACAAACCGTTATTTTTTATTTTTCAACACCTCGACACCAAGTGATCATCCTCAAGAGGATGATTATTCTTTCTCTTGAAGATGATCACTTGGTGGTTAAAACACGTGTCGAGGTGTGTGTGTGAATGTAACAGCCTTTTTTGTCTAATATAGTGAAATGTAATTCTATTTTCTGGATCCGGTGATTTGTGCCATTGAATCTCAAACCATCAAAAGCTTTTTTTGGCGTATCTAGATCCCTTCTTCTAGATGTTAAGCAATTGATGGTGTCCTCTCACAATCACTTTCATATTTATCAAAATAATCAGAAAAGCAATATCCATGCAAACATAGTTCTGTTAGCTGGAAATAAGTTGGCATCAGAATTTTCTCTGAGGCAAAAACAGGCAGTAGAAATCTGGATTCCACTGCACAGTCATACATAAAAACACACATCAACATGACTTACACCACCTCTTCTCATAATCTTATTTCATTTATCCAACAACAAACAGAAGAATTAACAAATACGCTTGAGCATAACTTCACAACAAATTTTTTCTCAACATAAATATTCTTTCCACCAACTTCTTCCTATTCAGGATGGCAGATAGAGCACTTTCCTCTATGTTTACCAAACAAATAATGATGAATCAATCTATTGGGGTCTTTGTAAATAAGTGGTCAAGTAACTGACAATTGGACATACTATAACCAAACATGTTTAGAAGTACACTTTATGGTGTTTGAACTATTTTAGTGGGATTTTTTGTATAGGAAAGTGAATATCGATCAAAAAATTAGGCCTGTATAAATAAAAACAGATTTTATATTCAGAAACAATGATTCCTGAAATTATTCCAGACAACAAAAAAATTATTGTAAGCCTGTTTTGCCAAAATAATGTAATCGACTAAATGGAAATTTGAGACAAATTGGTGTATTCCGAAATAATTGTTGAATAGTTGCAATCAACAGGTAACTTTTTAGCACTACAATGCTAAACAGGCAAGTGACAGTTTCTCTATAGTTTGACAATTTCAATTTCATTTCTTGTATTTGCACATAATTATCGCATTTCCAATAAGTAATCAATGAACTCTGTTATCTAAAAATCTAATTTTGGAAAAGTGCAATCATTGTACGCGACTGATATGGATTAAGATGGAACCTGAGAATTGTAAGATATTTTTAATTTTAATAATATGTACTTAGGTAAGTTCGACGTAATATCATGTACGAAATTCACTGTATGTGCATGTGCTGTAATTATTAAAAACGCTTTGATTTACATTGACTCTTGTGCTTGGATCACCATGAACCACTGCGGGGCGGTTATGAAAGAAATAGTCATAAGTAATACCTGCTATGCATACATCAACTACATTTCGTTTATCGAATTTAACTTTTGAGTCAAACAAAACGAGCCGCACTACTAAAATTCACGTATTCCATCTCCTGGATTTCTAAATTGTTAAACTTTATTCTGTTCACGAAGCAAAAGCACGCTAAACTGAAAAATAACATTTCCGATTTAAATGTATTATTCTCAGTGATGGTATAAAAGTCCAACTCACTAGTCGCATCATCTAAGATCAGATGTCTCCAAATATTTTTGAGTAATATTCATAATGTTTTTTAATATTCATAATTTTGGACGTCACTGTCATATCTACTATTGACAATTGGAATCTATATTTGTACCTACATAGCACTGCAACGAAGTAAACAAATGTATGTAGTATTTTATAACATCGTAGAGTGCTGGAATTGGTGCTATCTGAAATCCTTTCATATTATAAAAAAAATATTGAAAGAGCAAGCAGTTTCAAGGAAGTCTTTTTGTTTCTGAACCTCATAACTAGTAATGTAATAGAATCGGCCTATAGTTGGTGCAAATCCATTTCAAGAAACATTTTATTCTGAGCTATTCACTGAACATTTTCACATGAATGCAACACTTTTTGCGTATACAATATCTTTTTCGGGCGTGTCTTGACATGCGAATATAGCGTATATAGTGTATCCATTGTATAGGGGTTTTCAACCGGGACTTTGAAACTTTGACAATGGGTAAAGGCCATCTTGTTTGAAGCTACATCTGTCAAATTAGTTGTTATTTATTCAGTCTGTTTTGCCAAATCAACATGGACGAATACTAGTCCGGTCAATTTAGACCTGAAAACAGTAATGAAATAACGAAAATTGCGACAGAGCTAAATTATGGAGGAGACCTTTATTTTACCATAAGACATAAAAGTCCATATCTGTCCCATGAGCGCTTGAAAAGTTATTCGGGGTCAAAGGTCAAAATTTCAGGTTTTTTGAGTTTTTCTCGAAAATCGTAAGTTTTATCAAAATGGTCCATATGATTTTTTTTGTAAGTATCACCGTTCCTGAGATATCGCAGTTGTAAAAGTCACGTTCTTCGTAATATACATACGTTCCACACCACCTGTGAGGTAGTGTACTTGGCGCGTTTTTTTAACGTGGTTTTCCCAGTAGGCCTATTCCACGAATCGTTATTACGTAATTTCTAGTCACAATACTTATTTATTGTCAAACACACAAGATTGAATATCTTCACGACAGCTCAACGACAGCTTTTGATAAGTCATCAGAACGATCTTCAGCTAATTTCAAAATAGATTCTTTAAATTTGAGTGTAGAAACTTTGTAAATTTTTTTTCAAAGACTCTGGAGTTTATTTTTCTCAGCCTATTTATCTGCTTCATCACCACAAAATAAGCAGTTTTCTTCAAAACTAAAGCTGGATTCACTTACTCGTGCTCTACTACGAGGTGGACTTACTTTTGAAGTACTGGCCTGTTCATCTTTTCGTGATCTTTTTGCTGCGGTAATTGAAGTTTTCCGGGTGTATGATTTTCGGCAATCCACGTGGATTGTAACGGACTTCAGACCTCTTAAATATTCTGTAAACTCATCACTTCTCGCATCACTTGTATCGATGTTTGCATTCCACGATTGACCACAACAGTTTCATCTTCAGTCAAAAGCTTAGAACAAATAAAGCAAAATTGTGACATTTTTTTTCAATTATTAATGACTAAAAACTCTTATTGTAGACGCTTGTAATAAATACGTATATTCATTCGAACAGAACGTTTTACACTAAAAGAAGCAGGCACATGAACTACATCACATGGACAGTAGAATAGGTAGCCAGATGTTATATTCAAGGCCATACGGGTAGAGGGGATTTTCGAAGGGACTGACGGTCCTTTAAATGTATATTTTCTGAATATAATATATGTTATATACATGAAAGAGACACAAACAGGCATTTTCACTTGCTTAAGTACCTGAATGTATACATACGTGGCTAATGTGTGCATATTACATAGAACGTGACTTTTACAAAAGCGATATCTCAGGAACGGTGATACTTACAGAAAAAATGTTAAGACCATTTTTGTAGAAAATTTTGAGATCTACAACTTTAGTCTGAAGCATTTCTTGATATAGCTCACGCTTTTAGAGAAAAACTCAAAAAAACAGAAATTTTGACCTTTGACCCCGAATAACTTTTGAAGCGCCCATGAGACAGATTGGGACCTTTCAAAATTTCATTTTTTATGGTAATATAAAGGTCTTCACCTAAATTTAGCTCTGTCGCAATTTTCGTCAATATAATATTGTATAATGACCGGACTATACAGCTTTCAACAACACGTGCAAATGACAGAATTGTTTCATCAGAATGGGTGTTCTGTTCGGGCAACTTACCGCGCGCTTCGTCCATTTTACGATCGCCATAATCGTCCTATCGAAAGGACTATTTGCTATGTGGTGGATACATTTGGTTCAGAAGACATTTGCATCGTGGCTTTAGCTTGCACCCGTACAGAATTCAACTGATCCAGGAACTGAAGGTGAATAACCATAGATAATGACTTATGTTCGCTGAATGGACTCTGGAGCAGTTGGCAACTGATCCCAATTTTCATTGAAAATCATCTTCAGCGATGAGGCCCATTTCTGAACAAACAAAAATATCGAATTTGGGACCGACCCACATGAGGCCTAGGAGCGTCCAATGAATCCCGAAAAAGTCACAGGTTGGTGTGTATTTTGGGCTGGCGGCATCATTGGTCCGTATTTCTTTGATAACAAAGTTGGCCAGGCCATCATTGTCAACGGCGAGCACTACAGGTCAATGATTACCAACTTCTGTTGGCCTGAACTGGATGATATGGACGCCAACGATATGTGGTTTCAACAGGACGGCACTACGTGCCATACAGCTCATGTCACATTGAATATTTTGCACAAGCGATTTGAGGGCATGGTCATTTAACTTGGAGGTGGTGTGAACTGGCCACCAAGATCGTACGATTTGACCGCGTTAGACTTTTTCTTGTGGAGTTCACTTAAGTCGCAGGTGTTTGCAAATGAGCCACAAATCATAGTGGTGCTCGAAGCCTACATAAGCCATGTCATCGCTCAAAGTCAGCCCGATTTATGCGCCTCTGCCAAACTCTAAACACCTGATTCAGTCCCCAGCGGGGCAGGCACAAAGTATATGCTCTGCTGTATGTATATGAGTATATGAGGCAGTCGGATAGTCAAGGTGCCAGATTCCCATCTTGATACCCGCGACAACCTTTCCATATAAGGATTTTGCACGTCAGCTACACCCGAAGGTGACTGCTCAGATTCAACCGTGCAGGGCTTTTTCGCCTCTGGTTTTTGTGAACCATCAATTAGGCGTTTGCTAACCTGCTCACGGTGGATTTGTTCCTCCACCTGAGACAGATTCTGCGTATGCCGCCCAAGCATTTGGTGCAAGGCGGTTTTATAAGGTATCCCGCTCTTGAGGAGATGACTCACGCTGTCCTTAAAAGTCCCACAAGTAGCTATGGAAAGAAGGTCAATAACGGCAGAGCCCCGCATTACTGTGACAAGGCGGTGCTACGACGAGAGGGCGCCCGGTATCTCGAAGGTTCCGTAGAGACAGCTGATAGGCTCAGTGTCATTCATCCTCTCGGCACGGATACACTCACCTTAGGATTAAGCCATCGTTAGGATGCCATTCATCTAGGGAGTAACAGAAATACAAGTGATATCCAACGGGGCTACGTGGAAGCAGGCATCCTATGACCGGTTTGCTCAACTCCTACATACCAAGCCAATGCATTCGACAAAAGCAGCATGCACAGTGGTTCAGGCAGTGAAAAATGAACAAGGAGAGTCAACCCGCCTGGAGTTTTGTCCCAATACCAAACCGTTATTTTAACACCTCGACAGGTGTTTCGATCACCAAGTGGTACCATAGATATCTCTTAAGTGCCCTTAATTAATTTCAAAATGTTGTCTTATCTACTGGTCCAAATGTATTTTACAATGTGTCCTTATGTAATAGTCAGGGGAATCTGATGATTAAAATATTATTTCAACAAGCTATATCGTATACTATCAGGTACTAGTATACTATATTAGGAATAGATGCCTGTTCTTGTTAACTTAATAGTATACTAGAAAGCTTAATAATATACTATTAGGCGCTTAAGGAAAGACTATATATTATAAAACACGTGTTGTGTTTTTGTTTAACTGTTTAGTGAAAATCTCACAATAAAGTGTCTCTTGAATACTCATAACTAGTGTTCGATTGACTTTGAAATCTTTGTACCACTCTTTGCCAAAAAAAATGTATAGATAATCTTCAGTGGAAATAGAGGCCAAAAATGTGCCATTCTGCAGCGTTTTTTAAAATTTTTCTGGCAACAGAACACATTTCCACCGTGAAAATATATTTCATCTTTTATTTTCTGATGCATTAATTCTTGTGGGATGAATTTTTAGATTTTTACTTTATTGATTTCGAAAATCTACATACCAATATTTACGCCTGTATGAATTTACATGGTAATCAACCACCATGAAAGTAGCATTGAATATGATGGACCCATGGATTGTTATACAATTTGAAACTCAATTTTTCGTTTGTTTTTGAAAGCCTATCAAAATTCAATTGTAATTGTAACTCTACCTAACTTATTTTCAAAATTGAGGCTGGAGATGAAATACGAGATTGAAATTGTATAACTAGTACTGCTGGCATTCATGTAGAATGTAACAACTCTCCACAAACGAAACTTTTGTTTCGCGAAACTCACCAAAAACAAGTTTTTTCACATAAGTTCCACTCAGGAAAAAAGTCTTTCTGATTTAACGTTTTTCAGATGAATAATGACGAACACAATTTTTTGCAATGAAACAGTCATTTTCTCCTATAAAAAATAAACTGGTGGAACTGGTATCGTTACTAAATAGTTTAATTCAATATATCAAATTTTCAAATGCTTGCCAAGAGTTATCCTTGAAAGTCGGTTCTATATTTCACGATGATAGTAACAAGAAGACTAATTCGTTTTTGCTTATGGCTGGGTATTGTGTTCACTTCAAAAAGCATAGTGGAATAACTGCATCACTGCGGAATACGACTTGCATGGTAAGATAATACTTTCGTTATTAGCATACTTGTGCATTTTGACAGATCAGCATTTTGGCTTCCATCATCATTTCAGCTTTCACCAATATCCTTTAAATGATATTTTTACTACTCGTTTTTCTTCACAGGGTCCACCGGGGCTGGATGGAATGAAAGTGAGTATAGAAGTTTTCTCCTACAAACTTTCTTAGAATTTGGTTCATATTCGCTGTCTTTAGAGGAGTTTTATTTATGTAGTGTTCTGCGTAGACGATATACTTTTTTGGTATATCCAAATTGAGAGGTACAAGAAATATAAGTCATAATTAAAATATAGATATGATTCATATATTTCAGACAAGTTGATCTCTATTGAGTCTCTATTTATAAAGGGTTTATTTCAAAATTAACTGCTTCTATTTTTTTTGTCAGATTCCCAAATTTTTAATGTATGAAGATGAAAAACTAGAAAACCAAAATCCATCTTTCCTAAACATTTTGAACATATATCCAAATAAATATTACTGGAGTTTTTTCCCAAACCCAAATCGTTATTTTCAACACATCGACACCTGAATTTACCTCCTTTACACTTTGTGATGAAGGGGGAGGCCAGGATGGGCCAATTCAGACTGGAAAACTTACCGAACTACAAATGATCGGACCGAACAGAAATTTCGGAACTTGTGGAGGAGTACATATTGAATATGTGCACGGACCACATGACACCGAAGCACACCTTTAACACAAACTTCATGGCCAAAATCATAAGCCGTGAAGAGTGGAATACCATTAGTCATCCCGAAAACATGTTTGGAAAAAACACCTGGTATACAGATGAATCGAAGACCAAACATGGAACGGGAGCTGGAATATACCGAGGGGATAGAAATTTAAAGTATAGTTATACGCTAGGACTATATTCATCCGTCTTTCAGGCGGAAGTGTATACTATCTCGCAGTGGCAAGGCTTATTTTATTGAGACCTCAAAGAAATGAGCGGATCCATATTTTAACAGACAGCAAGGGCGCACTAGGGGCTCTGACAAACCCGAAGGTGACATCAAAACTGGTCTGGAAATGCCATGAAGAACTGAATGAACTTGCAAACAGGAACAAATTAACTTTGTACTGGGTGCCAGGGCATTCAGGAATCACAGGTAATGATAAAGCTGATGAATGCGCTAGGCACGGATCATCAACTCAATATATAGGTCCTGAACCAGCTCTGGGGGTACCAAAATCATTGGCACGAAACCAGATTAGGACATGGACCAATAAGAAGCACACAGAGTACTGGACAATAGTACCTGGCAACAAACACAGTAGAACCTTCATTAGGGAACTGTCCGAGAAAAGAATTGCAGAACTACTTCAATATAGTAGGGATCGGATCAGAATAATTACAGGGTTACTAACCGGCCATTGTCCGCTTAGAGGACACCTGAATGAACGGAGACCTCAGCTGCTAATTATGCAACGAAGGGATAGAAACAGCTCTACACATCTTATGCGAATGTCAGGCACTGAATCACAGGAGGCAGGCAATATTTGGACGTACAAAATTATGTCCAGAAGAATAAGACGAACATCCAACACGGAACCTGTACAAACCAGTACAGGGAACGAGACTGATGGAATGGGTGGCATGAGAAGATGGAAGAATAAACGCAATAAGTCCAAAAGGCTGCAGTATTTTCTGGAGACTTAGACTAAATGGAAAAGTCAGACAGCTCCGAAAGAACCAAAAAAAACACCTCGACACGTGTGTCGATCACCAAGTGATCATCTTTAAGAGATCATCTTCATCTTGAAGATGATCACTTGGTGATCGAAACATCTTGTCGAAGTGTTGGAAATAACTATTTGGTGTTGGGAAAAAACTCGAATAATACTCATTACTACACCAAACGTTCCAAACAGTGCATCACAAATATATCCAAATCTATTTTTCATGTATGTTCATCAAAAAATAATTAAAAATGTTTCCTTTCCACAACATTCTTTTTCTGACTGTGATATTTTGCCCCATTGAAAAGTTAAGATGGGAGGGTACATTTATGTTCACACTGTAATTTATACAGTGACACCACTACAGTCCGCACCATGATTTTTTTATCAGATATAATCAAAATTTGACTTTGCAGTAACTGTAAAAAATTACTGAACTTGAGCCATTTAAGTTGTCACTTGATATTCTGGATATGTCAAATTTGACATTATCCGAAGAGATTAAAAAAAATTGGGTTATACCTATCTGGAATTTTCCAAAAGTGCCTCAGAAAAAAGTGTTTCAGTTTTCAATTGACCACTTTTCCACCTAATTTCAACTCCCTACTGTCACTTCGAATTTTTCCAATTAATTTCATTGTTTGGAACTTTTACTACATACGATATCTTATTTATAAAATACTTTTGTTGTTATTAAAAAAAAGAATGCGCCTCTGAAAATTCGTTTTTTCATTATGCAAAGTTCTTCTAATCTCCTCAGCTCAATCAGTTTGATTGACTGACTTAAATTCAATTCAATAGTTCCTTTGCTTATGATTTAGATCATAAATAGGTACACAAAAAGAGAATACAAAATTGCATATATTGAAAAACAGTAAGATATTGAAATTATAATATGAGTACAAATAAATGAACACACTCAGAAACACATAGTGATAACAATGGACTCAGAAATGAAATCTCTAAAACATCAGATGATCTTGTGGGTCTGGTGTTACGTTTCAGCAAAATTAAATAGGCCCTTGTTCCTCAGAGTGACCCTGATATAATGCACTTGGATTATTTGTGGAGATTCGTGAAATATAAACTTTACATAACTGAGCTGCAGTCTATTCGAGAGCTCCTAATCCTAATGAATTCATAAATTCATTATTATCAAGAAGTAGATGATAAACGTTCGAAAAATTTATAAACTGGAGTGGAAAAGTAGGGTTTTTTTAAACTCATATGAGACTGCTAATAACTCATGAACGGCTTATCCGATTTCCAAAAACAAAAATGTGTCGGATAGACCGATGAAATACCTAATAGGTATCATAGGATCCCCCTTCCTGTTTAAAAAAAACTAGTAAAAAATTGACGATGACTATTGTCTTCCGTCAAAACAATCACGAAAAATACAATAATCTTTTCCGACACGTTTTTCACCAAACGAGTTGGCGTTTTTGTTTCTCACCATCACCTGAAGACGCCAAGTTGGTTGGTGAGACGCGCGTTGATAAAAGTATTGCATTTCTGATGTTTGGGAAAAGTGTTCGTTTTTGGAATCATTTTACGTCAAATATCTTTTTTTTCTTATCAATAAAGTACCAAAAATGATGTCTATTTGCGTAAATTTTGATCTTGTCCCTTTCAACAACATGTATATTGAATTATTATTTCAATAAAAATGAATTTATGTCTCACTCCACAATAGTTTCATTGGCAAATGAAGTTTCACCTTTCTGCAATGTAGAGAGTATAATTATATCTATATTTGCTCATGAGAGTACCCATACTTCAGTAAGCTATACAAAATATAAAAATATGTAGACTCAGTAGAGGATCTGAGCGGGATTTGAAAGTCCTTAGATTCGCGATGGTCAATATCTCGCTGAACTGAGGGATAACCTGATAATCATTTCATTTCCTGATGCTGCTAACTAGATGAGCGAAACACACGTCGAAGGAAAGGGACCGAGTTCTAGTGTTTGGAACAAGTGTTTACATTAGAATCATTCTCTGTTTGAAAATTTTTTCATCACATAATTTTTCATTCAACGAAAAATACCCTGTAATTTGATTTCACACTCAAACTGAACTCCTTCATTAGGGCGCCCAAGGCGAACCTGGAAGTAAAGGTGAAAGAGGGGATCCAGGACTTCCGGTGAGTTTATCGACTTCTCTATAATGATACTTCAAACTACTGAAATTGTTGACTGAAATTTGGAAATAAACAATCATGGTAGAAACGAATATCAATTTGCTTGAACAGAATGTATTTGACAGTAGTCAGAGTTTGAAATTTGAAATTATTTATAATTTAGTCCGGTCAATTTAGACATTCGAAGCAACCTAAATTCCCACCAAGCTAACAATCAGCAAGATGGTTTGAAATATGATTGAAAATGAAATTTGAAAGTTCCCATTTCCCCTGCATGGAAAAATTTTCATTAAAGGTTAAAAGTCAAAAAAATGGTCGCGATTTTCAGCAAAACGGTAAGTTTTGTCATAAAAATACTCCAGACAAAAATTGTAGATCATAAAATTGTCTACAAAAAATGTATCAATACTTTTTTTTCTACGAGCCACCGTTTTTGAGAAATAACGATTGAAAAAGTTGTAATCGTCATAATATGCAAACTTTTCCACGCCACTTATGTGGTAGTGTTCTTGTTCTTCTTCTTCTTGTTCTTGTTCTTCTTCATCTTAATCCTGAGTACATGGAAACTGCGTTAATAGCGATATATCGCATGTCGCCTCGTAGGAATCAAACGGATCCTCCACTGTTGATGATTCAATATTAGAGCACGACCGGCTTTGTCAATGAGTACATGCCAGAGAACAAAACAGTCCGGCATTTTTGCAACCACATTTAGCACTGTACCCCTTTTTGCAGTTGCAAAAAATTGTGTTCAGCAGTTTTTTCGGCGCAGGTGGAATGAAAGTTTGTACTGGTTCTAATGAATTGTTGATCAACTTCCAACCCCAGTCTGTAGAGTCTAGCTGATAACCAAGCCACACTTGAACTTGGTTATATACCCGAAAAAGATGTTGATAAGCAGCAACTGAGGTTGGAGGGAGACAAGGTAGTTGTACTTGTTTTTTTACTTTTGGTATTTTCAGCGAAACATGCATATCTGTACTTATCTAAGCAGGTCATTTTTTTAATAGCTCCGCACATAGAAAGAAGAAAGCGAATGGCGTTAGTGATAATTTCTTGTCGAGTTGAATTACTATTTTCAAAAACTTCAGCACAATGAACTGAATTATGTTTTACAAACATTTTGAAAACTGTCATTTTATATTATAAGTGTAAGTTACAATAACCGATAGAAAAATATTTTAGCATATATTACAACTACACAGATGTATATACGTGGCGTACAACTTTTACAACTTTTTGAATCACTATATCTCAAAAACGATGGCTCGTAGGAAAAAAGTATTGATACATTTTTATGATCTACAATTTTTGTCTCAAGTATTTTTATGATGAAACTTACCGTTTTGCTGAAAATCACGAAAAACTAATTTTTTGACATTTGACCTTTAATAAATTTTTTTCCATACAGGGGAAAGATAGGGAAATTTCAAATTTTATTTTTAATCATATTTCAAACACTCTTACTGATTTTCAGCTTGGTGGGAATTTAGGTAGCTTTACTCTTATTTTTTGGTCTAATTCAACCTGACTAAATTTTGATAATTGAGAATTATCGCTTTGGAAATCCTTAATTTCATGTATTTAACTTCACCTGATAACTCGTCCAATATTGCATGTGTTGCTAGTACAGTGCAGATATAATATACAATAGGTAAAATATCTCGTTAAACTTTTATATCATTTGAATTGTGTAATGTAATAAAGTAATGTGTTTGAATCAATTTGAAACTTATTTTCTCAAAGATATTTTTCACTATCAAGTCATTTTTTCCTTCCTTCAGAAGTTCTTTTTATATTTCGAGTACACTGACCCGTTATTTGTTAAAAAAAACTGACACTATCCATAAATTGGATATTTTTGTATATTGATGAAGAAATAGAAAACCAATAAAATTATACAATTTTCCAATATTGGCCACTGAGTTACCAATCGTCTTAATTGTTTTGAATTCGATGCTCACCAGGAACGAAGAATTTGAAAATGCTGACATAAATTTCTGGTTTATGTCAAATGAATTTCAAGAGCTAGAAATATCACTGGAAGAGTCTGATTGAGAGTCAAAGCAAGATGGCTGAAATTGTTGAAAATTATCACACACAAATATCACATCACAAATATATTAGTTCATTCATTTGTTCGATTCAATATTTTAATTGTTTGAATTTCCAAAATTTCACTACAATTTCTGTAATACATGTTACATATTTCCCCTAACAGTTTTTTTCTAACACGTCACATGTTTTCATTCCAGGGTACTGACGGAATTCCTGGTCAAGAGGTACTAACAATTTAACCTAGAGCTAATATTAATAAAAAATATGGTGCATGTTTTAAATAATTGTATATAAAAGGAGGTATCATCTTCAGTAATTCTATATCTGTGTCGTTCAATATCTACTATTAAAGCGACACGTACATGTCAAATTTCGTTGATATTTGAGCATTTCTCCATTTCTTTAACAATAATAATGATACACTGCTTTTATTTCTTGTTCAATTGTCGAGTTCATGATCAGTTCATATCACGACTTATTTTTTGTCCTCATTAATTGGCGAATACATAATCAATACTACTAGTCAATTTGAGATTTCTTTCAGATCAATGTGGTTCATAACATTATAAATAAATCACTCTGTACGAATATGAGGAATCTATCTCACTAATTCAAATTTTTGTAGGGTCCCAAAGGTGATAAAGGCTACAAAGGGGAATCGGTGAGTATATATCAGTATTACTATCAACTACAGGTTGTTATTCAGCAAACGTTCCAAGCGAGTCCAGTTTCTATGTTTGAAATATTTGCAAAGGCCCAGAAAAATATATATTTCTTGATCAAAATATGGCAACCATATATCGTTCTTGTGATGCACTGTTTGGAACCTTTGGTGTAGCAATGAATATTACTTGAGTTTCTTGCTAACACCAAACCGTTGTTTTAACACCTCGACACATGTTTCGATCACCAAGTGATTATCTTCAAGAGGAAGATCAAAAACTTGAAGAAGATGATCAGTTGATGATACAAACACGTGTCGAGGTGTTGAAACAAAAGTTTAGTGTTGGGAAAAACTCCAGCAATATTCACATATCGTAAATGATTCGTGAGAATAAATGTTCAATTTGTTTCCATCAATCTGATAATCATGAAAAAGTTTGTATCGATGGTTTTTCCAATTTTCTCCATACGATAGCTTGTAATTGAAACATTTCATTCATTCATTCAAAACAAAATTCATCAATTTGCGTCTCTCCATAACATTATTTATGAGGATATTTTGATTCAATGATAGAAATAAAACATTTCATAAGAATGAAGGATCATACACATTTTCATTTCATCAGAAAAAACAACTTCTAGTTGCACGTCTGTGCTTCTGCCGCTGATACAGGACCGAAATGTCAGTATGCTAGCGTTCATTCTCAATTTCATTACCAGATATCATACCAAAATAATGCTCAGTATTAACTACTAGTCTATGGCTAAACTTCTCAGGTACAGGGCAAAATAGCATGCACATTATTTTTACCGAAGGGTCGCACCGCGCATAGCTGCAGTGCTGCGTCCTTCACTACCATACGAGACAGTTCGCACAAACCTTTTTGTTGCACATTTTGCTTGCCAACCATCATTTAGGTCAAATTATTATCGTGTTCGCAATGAAATAGCGCATGTTTCAACGAGGGATTCATTCTTGAAATAGATGAGTGTAATTTGTTAGTATTGACTTCCCTGTTTATACCACTCAACCCAATAGTTATGCCGGGAAAAATAGCCAACCCAACATTGGCATATTCTGTAGGCTTGGTACTCTTGATTGATATGAAATTTGTTCAATGAACAAATGAGTATAAGGTTTGAAAAAGTCTTTTTTTAATTTTCAATTACTTATAGTGTGATCAACATTTATTTAAAATTGATTGTTTCCATGCCAAATTTCATATAAAATAGTTTTCATGAGTTGAACTGAGGGGGTTATTATTTAATTCGGATCTCAGACTAGATATCTAGAATCTAGAAGGACCAGAATTTTGTCTCACACATAACTGTATTACTCAAGTTAATTCACGACGTTTCGATTATTTGTATCCACAATCGTCTTCTGGTGATGACTGGACCGATTCCTCCTTGAGCTGACTATTTATAGGTCATTTGATTACTTTCATTTATCTCTGCTTTCCTTTTTCCGCTTCACTGGTTTAGTGGGCAGGAGTTGGCCATTTTTCGCTTGATTATGGGTTTCCATATGTACGCTAGCTTGGCTGAATACATTGTTGGACAATATGTATGCGGCTTCTTTGAATTTCCTCCTGAACCAATGTTCCTCTTTTTGTATGATCTCAGCTTGGGACCATTCGATGTAATGTTGATGGGTCCAATAATGCTCTGCTATTCCTGAGTTGCTGGTTTCCTCTCGCTGTGTGTGTTTCTTGTGCTCGGCAATGCGAACATACAATGGCCTCTTAGTTTCACCGATATAGAATTCTTAATTCACTTCACTATATTTAATCTCAGGTTTTTGCCTAATATAATTGTTTACCAGGTATTCAGTTTTATTCTTCTTCTTTAATTTTTCAATTCTTCTTTTTAGTTATTTCAGGGATTTCAAATCATTTTATATAATATTAGACAATGGAAATCCGAACTGATGGAATTCACCAGTTCATCTATTCGAATTGTAATTTGTATTTTTTTCCTCTTAGGGTCCTTTAGGGAAACGAGGAAGAAAGGGGGACAAAGGAGATAAAGGTGATCAAGGGGTTCCAGGGCTTGATGCCCCTTGTCCTCTTGGAGCTGATGGTCTTCCACTTCCTGGATGCGGATGGAGACCTCCGAAGGTAATTCAGAATAATTTTTCACTCTATGTGATATGCTGAATGTGCACTGTTTTGCGAAAAGAATTCTTCTGGGAAGGAAGAAGAAGAAAAATGTTAACTTTCATCCAATAACTTTTTGAAATAAAAAATATCCAATCTTGGTGTTAGAAACAGATGAATTTTTTTTCGAAATACTAAGGGAAATACCTTGGGAGCACACATATTTTATGGAATATGGAAGATTGTGTACCTTGAACTATATTGCTTTTTGACCTGCTGCTTACTGTTGAAACTATAGAGCTTAACAAATGCCACAGTCTTTCAATAGTTTCATCATCAGATTGTAAAGATGCATCGTGGTGATGCAATTTTTTGTTTCAAATCCTGCGCCAAATTCAAAGCCAGGATTACCCTGCTTCTTTTTTATAAAAGTCATTTTTTCATCGAGAAAAAGTTATATTCAATTTGATAACCGTCACAAACTACAAAAAGTGAATTCTGCAAAAGTTTCTTAGATAACTTTCCTTCTAATTAGTACCAATATTTTCATTATCAGCTGGTTTCAATAGAGCTTTTTCACACAAACGGACTTTTCACAATTTTTTGCAATTTGGAGACCAGTTGATGTTCATGAAAAATATACGTCTAATATACGTCTTTCTTCTGTACCTGGTATATCTATTTTTATTAACAAAACACTTGAAGTTGAATTTTGGCTTGTTACTCATCATTTGAAAATAAAAATGTGGAGTACATAAAAAAGGAAGAAAAATATACAGGATATATAAATCATACACAGGAGTTTGTGCCAGATACAAGCTGGAAGAAAAAACCCTACTCAGACAAATTCTTCCAAATGAACATAGAATTACACGAAAGAAGGAATACTTTCGAAACATATACTTCCATATGAACATTAAATAATACCTGTCTACAATAAAAACTCTGTGAAAAATTATGTATAGTTATAGTACACAAAGAATTCTTTAAGATGAAAACCAGAATAGAAAATTGTTTTGAAACAACTACTTTTTTATAAACATTGTTACACGGTTATCACCCGTTACCATTTAGTTCGAACTGTAATTTTTTTAATTTGAAATAAATATCAATCATTGAAAAGCAGTGCTTTCAAAAAATTGTTCTACAGCCATCTAGTGTCGAGTTACAGAAAAATTGATAGCCTAAAAAACTTCTCTATGAAAAATCACTCATACATGTCAAGTTTCATCACGATCGGTTGAGCGATGTAGAAGTTTATCACTTACCAACCAACCAACAAACATCCATTTTTATAAATAAATATCAATCATTGAAAAGCTAGACAAGATTATTCATGAAAGACTATTGATATGAAATGTCTCTCACATAAAACACTATCATCCTTAATTGGGTACTTCAAAGATATTTGTCTCAACACCACATCATCACCGTTTTGGTTAGCGTTACACGATGAAACACTCATTACTTTTATTATATCACTAGTTGTTGCCCGCGGCTTCGCCCGCGTAGAATTTGGTGGTTGTAGTACTAATCAGTACTATGTTGCTGTATCGCTGCTGTTCCAATATTTTGACAGAATCAGAATCAACGAACTCAAGCGTGCGCAGCATTATAGAACAGTGCTTTCAAAAAATTGTTCTACAGCCATCTAGTGGCGAGTTTCAGAAAAATTGATAGCCTAAAAACCTTCTCTATGAAAAATTACTTATACATGTCAAGTTTCATCACGATCGGTTGAGCAATGTAGAAGTTTATCACTTACCAACCAACCAACAAACATCCATTTTTATATATTAGATTACCTTATGATGAATGTTCATACATATTCACACTGATTGTTTATTTGATCCAAGCCATATAAATTACATTTGAATTGAAAAAGGAATATTTACAAGAAAAAAAAAGCTTTTTTGGCTTTCTTTTTCTTCTTCATCAAACGAAAGGCGTAGAAAATATATAGAAAAACGAAGAACTACAACGAAAACTCATTAAGAATATATGTAAATCTTGCACAATTATTTCGAAATTACTTTTTCAAACTCATCTACTTCGATGTTCATGTAAAAGTAGTTATTTTGAAAGGAGTTTTTCTCTTTTCGATTGTATCAAAAGAAACTCCCATTCAAATCTTCATAAGAAGAGTCCATATTTTTACTCTCCTTGTATGTTTCCTACATCTTTCATTTCATGATGGTAACAGTGTAACTGATCAGTTACCTTAAATATGAAATGAATTGGGGTACAGTACTCTGTGGTCCATATATTATATTGGTAAAAAAACTTCAAAATAAAGTAAAAAGCATTTTTGTGAATTGCAAACAACCTACAAATCAGAGCTCAAGATATATGTGAAGATGAATTTATTCAAATACAGTGCAGACTTTTTGGCTACTATTCTTCAAATGAATAGAATACATAGACATATACTCTGTGATACGTGTTAGAGTCTCTGAGTCAATACAAGAGTCAGCTTCCTGTTTTTGTTAACCTAATAACATCTTTTCGTTTTTTTTTTTTTATTAACTGCATGGGTGTTGGTACTAATTCTAGGAACCACCTCGGCCAGCGCCTCCACCTCCAATCCTCACACATTTTGACGATGAAGATCCGATGGAAGAAGGTGAAGACTATGAGGAAGTAGAAGGGGAAGAATACGACGACTACGCCGAAATCAACCAGGCGCTTCCAGGTTCCGACATGTAACAAGTACTAACTCTGTTTTTGTGTTCGTTTCCTCTGCAGAACTTGGTAGGTAGACGCATTTCCTGGAGATATTAAAGGATGGAGGAGGCCTTCAAATTGTATTGTCTTATGTTCTTGGATTTAAAAAAGTATTATTCCATAGTTTATATTCTCAGCATGATAGGTAGTTCTCAAACAAAATTTCAACTTTAAAAATGGGGCCGAAAGATTGTCTTGTATTATTCATTACTAGTTGTTGCTTGCGACTTTGCCCACATTGAATTTGTTTGTCACATTAAGTTTAGTGTCACACCATTTTAAATAAATTTATATTTCTACCTCAAAGATACTGTAACTAAAAATTATGCCAACAGCACTAATTAATGAATAGCTTCGAGAATCAAATCATGTTTTCTATATATGAAGAAATTTGCAAAACTAACACAACCGTCAACAACGTCTCTCCTCACGCGTCTGCCCGTCTTCGGGTCACGTTCTTGGCGATGGCGCATCAATGCTTAGACCGCCACCCTACCTCCGCGTCGTACCCTGTCGTCTTACAGTAGACACGACCTGTAATGGCTTACTGCGTTGCATCAAGTTAATCTCATCGTGATAACTTTTGAACGATTCGTACAAATTACTTCATGTATCTATATTTATTACTTGAAATGACAATTGTATTAATTTTCATAAGAATTTGACAGATATTCTAAAATGTGTATTGTGAAAAAGAATCCAATTCAATAGTATTTATGGCTCAGTATGTTGCATATAGTGGCTACTACATAAGAGGTAGATATTTGCTATCGCAGACTTTTATTCAGAACTAATGAGGTAAATAATCTCACGATACATTATATGCATGTAACGGTATAGGCAGCACACGCCAAGATATCTCTCAGGGAGCAATAATTTTTCCGAAATACTTTCGAAACAACCTTATATAGTGTGACCCATTTTTAATGGAAACACCTCCCTAAAATTTGAAGTTGTAAAATTTGAAGTTTTGATAATTTTTTTTTGAAATGTCAAGTACTAAAAGGTCTACCTTGGGACAAAATTTGAAATGTTTATTGAAGTTTCAGGACATACTACGATATTTTTTCTTAGTCGAAAATCGGGATTTTTTATTGGCGATTTTTTTATTGAAAAAATCACTACGCCACTGGATTCAGAGTGCCTCTAAATAGGTGTGACCAAAATTTCATGAAAAAATATTCATTATTAACAAAGTTATGACAACTCAAAAATTCGAAAACTCACACAGCTAACAGTCACAATATATCATTTTTTTATGATTTCAACAATAAATTGCCGCCAGATGAAAAAAAAACAAATAGCGTAAATATTTTTGATGAAAATAACGGAATTACATTCACACAATTCAACTAACAATGAAGAAAAAAATCTTAATAAACGTAACTAATAACTAATTATTGAAATGTTTCGATTCAGTGCAACAATCAATTCTAACTCATATTCTAGTAGCCTCTACTGATCCACCACGTATTTCGATACATGTGTCGTAACGCTTACGAATGTTTCTGATTACGTTCCTTAGTTCTTGAGGGCTAATATCTGCACATACCTTTCGAATTCTTGCACAAAGTTCATTTCTACCTCTTGAGCGGCTTTTGTAAACCTTTTGTGTGAGAAGTCCCCAGAGAAAAAAGTCCTCCAAAACTGTGAGGTCTGGAGATCTGGGTGGCCACTTTATAAAACGACTACCACGGCCTATCCATCGGTTTGGAAAATGTTCGTTAAGCCATTGCCTGACAGCTTTGGCATAATGAAGTGAACACCCATCTAACTGGTCAATTACATTTGATCGTTCATTGATTGGCAGCTCATGAATAGCATCCCAATACTCTGTGTTTAAAAATTCTAGAAACCTCTGCGCATTAATGTTTTCCTCAAAAAAGAAAGGACCAATAATTCGTTCGTTCAATATCCCACACCAGATGTTGATTTTTTGGGAATACTGGCTTTCACAGTTTATTACCCAATTAGGATTATCCGCTGCCCAATAGCGACAATTCTGTGATGACACTACTCCATTTGTAGTGAAAGAGGCTTCGTCGGTACATAAAATATAATTTTAGGAAATTTCTATTGTTTAAATATTCCCCTTGGGCCCATAAACAATATTCCAGGCGTCTTGCTTCGTCACCTTCTTGAAGTGTGTGTGTAAAAATGTTGGCTTGAAAGGTTTAATATTCTTCGCCTTGAGACATCTCCGAATAGTTTCTCGTGGAATATTCAAATCTGAAGTGGCATTTCTCATACTGGCATTAGGATTATTTCCGAAATAATCTAAAATGATTTGATCATTCCTGTCATTCCTGTTTCGTCATTGTACAGGATTACTTTTCAACATCATTTTTGATACTGCACCAGTTTCATTGAATATTTTATTTATTTTATTTACCGTACCGCAGCTAATACGAGGACGATCTGGATGTCTCTCATTAAATACTCTACAAACCTCTCTAGCACTTCTAACGTCATCTCCGAAAGGCGTACAATTTCAATTTTCTCTTACGCTCAATCTTGCAGCCATGACACAAAATAATTCGAAGAACTGTAAGGTGAATATTGTTGACAATAGTACACTTAAATCTTTCACAAGTGTCATACTGTAATATCATTTCCATGGCAACTAAGATTTAAATTGAAATATTAGGTCTTAGTTTTAGTTAATTTACGTGAAAACTTGAATGTAATTCCGTTATTTTCATTAAAAATATTTACGCTATTTGTTTTTCTTTTCATCTGGCGGCACTTTATTGTTGAAATCATAAAAAAAATGTTCTCATGGCTATATCTGTTGATATAGGGTGTTTTTGTGACTGTTAGCTGTGTGAGTTTTCGAATTTTTGAGTTGTCATAACTTTGTTAATAATGAATATTTTTCCATGAAATTTTGGTCACACCTGTTTAGAGGCACTCTGAATCCAGTGGCGTAGTGACTTTTTCAATAAAAAAATTGCTGATAAAAAATCCCGATTTTCGACTAAGAAAAAATATCGTAGTATGCCCTGAAACTTTAATAAACATTTCAAATTTTGTCCCAAGGTAGACCTTTTAGTACTTGACATTTCAAAAAAAAAATATCAAAATCGGTTCACAACTTCAAATTTTAGGGGGGGTGTTTACATTAAAAATGGGTCACACTGTATATTCCCAAATAAGCACAGCTATTTATTGTGTTGTAAATAACCTGAATCGAAACATAATAATAATATCAATTGTTCAGAAATACAGGTTTTGGTTTCCTGCTTTTCCGTATTTGTGCAAATGAATAAACATCGTTTTTTTTAACAAGTACTTTTGAATAAATACCCGAATGCACGCCACTGCAGGTACTGAACGATCCGAATGCTCATAAAATATCATGTATGCAAGGTGTTTGCCATACAGAAATAAGGTAAACCCGGTATTACAAACTCGTCTATACCAGCTGTTGCAAACTATAATGAAATCACAAAATTTTGTTTGAGCATTTCATTAGCGTTCTGCATTTATAATGATCATTCCTTACTTTCCGCTATTAGAAAATAAAGATTGCCTTTCAAAAAATATACATACGGTCGGTTGATAAGGAAATAATATTTGGAAACGATATATATTTCAATATAAATCATCATTATAAAAGCTTCTGATTTTAATTTTTATCTCTGTTTCAGGGAGATAACTGATTTTCCACCAGAACTTTAACAGTACTTATAGTGCAAAGTGAACTTGTACATAGTGTTCCGTGATTACTGCCCTTTGGAAGACATTAGTGAATGTTCGTTCACGTTTATTATAAAAAATACATCCTTCATTATTGAATTTTTTACTACGTCCTCGTTACGTTAGCATTTAGTTATTGTATTTACACGAATTAATCAACTGTAAATAGATACCTAATAAATTATATTGTTACTTGAATGCTGATGGGTCTGTTGATCTTGTCATGGATATTTGTCACTGAATCATCAACAAAATGTATCGTTAATTCACCTTTTAAATTATTTCCCAATAAAATAAATGATTATGTAGTTGTTGCATTCATTTCATTCACATTATCTATCAATAAAATGTAAATAAAAAGTACTTTGTGTCAGATTGAAAGAATGGGTTGTATTCAAATGTGTGTTGTTTTTGTTTTGAATAATGAGTGATTACAAACAAGAAATGAAACCTCCTATACCACTTGTAATTGTAACTAACTTTACTAATCTCGTCTTGTACATATTTCAAACGAATACATTAAAACTCCTGCTGCTGGTGTTTTTGTTCTGGTTCTGATGTTAATGTTGATGTATGACAAATAAAACTTCTTATGTTTTATTTGCAACTAACGTTACTGCAGTTTCGTCATACAAACACATTTTCAAAGGAATACAATAAACTGTTTATTGTATTACAAATACAAGTGGTATAAAACATTAGAAGTTTTATTTTCCAATTCTCATCTTGATTACCAATGAAAAACTCCTTCTGTGAAGGATTATAAGAGAATTTTGTTAGATTTTTATTTTTGGATCATTCAAAAAAAAAAAAAAAAGAAAATGTTTAGTCAAGTAGTTGAAATACAAAAAAAAATCATATGACGTATTGTTTGAAATAATGATCCGGTGCAAAGAAATATTCAAAAAAAAATATTTTAATTCGTATCCCGAATTGTGGTATATTTCACTTCTGTAAATTACACAATTTGATGTAATTTTTGTGATGACCAAGAATGTGGTCGGGGTTAATGTGAGAATCCCAGTAGCAAAATCAAAATAAATTTTTCCTTTCAAATATGAAATGTACATTCAAGTAAAAAGTACCTATAATCAACTTATATGAACAAAAAAACTATTAGATTTGTTATACTTGCAAAATCTCAAATTACGTATCTTCATTAATTTGGTCAAAGTTCAAACATTCAAATCTGACTTTTAAAGTCAATAATTACCAACTTAATCAGTATACTTTCTGGAAAAAAGTTATTGAATCTTTTTTGAGTAAACATAATTTCTCAGCATTAATATTCAGTACGTTTTTTTTAACTTACTATTGATACTTCTGACATTTTGATTACTCATTGCGATAATGAAAATGAGCAATTTTTTTTTTAAAGTATGTGTCATAACAAGTGATAGAGTTATTGGGACAAATTCTGGTGATGGAAGTAGAAAAATGACTATACACTAATAGTTGGTAAGTTTTATTTTTTACGTAACATAAATATATACAGTATGGTTTGGTTTATCATTAACAGTTATCCAAGTAGTGGATTTATTTCAGGCAAATATAATTTTTAACAGATTCACTACTGGTGCCTCAAATGATATCGAAATGAGGAATGCTGACAGGAATGAAATCACAATATTTCCACAATATATCACGAACTGAAACAGAAAGATATTGAATTGGGAAAAATCTGTATTTTTCTCCAACAAACGTTCAGAATTCACATGAATTCATAATGAAAGGAATCAAGCTTCCACTAATCTTTTAGTTATAATGGATTCAATATGGAAATTATGAAAATTACAGCCTTCAAAACTAGTACAAAATACAACAGGTCATCGTAAAAACTAGAAAACAATCTTCTGGTTAGAAAATTCGAATATCATTCTCCAATATATCAAGCATAATTGTTACGTATGCTGAGTTTTTGATTATTCTGAAATATATAAAAAGTGTATCAAAGTAATACGCTAAAATCTTTAATGATACTTCATCTAGCAACAATTTCGTTCAAATACGTGTTTTTTTGTAATATCCCCTCTGAATATGTTATAAATGTTATATAAGTTTCAGAAAATCAGTGTTTTCAACAAACACGGACATATATGTAACCATTTCAAGCATTGTTACATTTGATGGGTTTTTGACTGCTCTAAAATATTCAATAATACTTTCCTTATTATCAACATTCTAACCGAATATATCAAGAGGTTTGAAAATATCAAAGAAATGAGGGCAAGCACTTACCGCCATGACATCACTTAACGACAAAGGCCCATCCAAATGGAAGCTAGTGAGACACATGAGCACCGGATGAATCAAGTAGGCGCAGTAGGTAAGTCTACTCAGTGGCAGGAAAAGCTTACAGCTCAATAGCGAATCTATAGGTCCTCCATATCCAGTGCAACAGGCCACAGTTATCCAAGCCAGAGATAGACCCCAAGCCGAATGTCCCAGAGCAGCCTGTTCAATAATATAGCACAAATGAATCGAAAAAAAGTCGAAGAAAAATCATAGTAGTGTCGATATTGAAAATAGCTCTTGATGCTACCAAAAACACTTGAACTCCCAGTAGTACTCATTTCTTGAAAATGTATTTCAGCCCCATCACCATACTAGTGAAAATAATCTAAGGGAAATAATATATTTTTTGAATCATTTATTATTAGATTGATTATCAAATGGTTGGTTTTGATCTGGACCGATATATAAGGTGGATTTAACAAGAGTAAAATGTACCACAAAGGATGAGACATAAATTTCCAACTCTCAAAGTTATACCTACTTCATAAAAATGTAAGAATAACTCTTTTGTCAAATCCAAGTGGTCAGCTTATCAATTGTGTAAAAGCCCATCTCAATTGAAGTTGAGCTCCCTAGAATAACTAGAGCCGCAGAAAATGCAATTTGAAAATACTTTTCCATAGAGAAACTCACACCAAAAGTTTTTTTTCATAACATTCCAAAACTTCATAATTTACCATCTTCAAAGAACTAAATGAATTTAAACAAAATTACAAGTGGTTAGTCGAAAGCATGAAGACTTTTAAAATATAAACATTGGCATAAAGCCTCCAGAACTGGCTGGTATCTCAATCGCCAAAAAAGAAATAACCAAGAAAAGAATTTCTGGCAAAAACATAACAATCTGCACTAATAGCAGACAAGCACTATTAGCCTTGAACAGACAGCGTGTTACTTCAGGGCTAGCACTATTTAGCCAAAGCCTCGGTAGATAATAACATTATCCTGAGGTGGGTTAAAGGGCACGACAGGAGTGAAGGTAATCGCATTGCCGACTCTTTAGCCAAGGAAGCGGCTGGACTAAGAATTTTAGGACCCAGTGGCACCCACGGCCTGATGACTTCGACAATTGCGGAACTAGTCAAATGTTACACCCATGCTCAATCTTTAAAGAGATGGGATGAAATCAAAGGATGTAACCTTGCCAGAATCACCTTGGGCGACCCTGGGAAGCTGGCGTCGAAGAAATATCTGGCGATGACCAGGAAAAATCTACGCCTTACAGTAGGATTTCTGACTGGCCACTGTCAGCTAAGGAAACACCTACATAATATGGGGCTAGTGAACACACCTCTATGCAGGATGTGTGAACAGGAAGATGAGACTGTCAGGCATGTCCTGTGCGAGTGCCCGGAGTTATCGTCAATACGAGAGTGTGTGTTCGGCGAGTCTTGGCCTACACCTGCCGATATAAAGGAGATGTCTCCCAGTGACCTGTCCACCTTCCTGGAAAGGACAGGATGGACGATGACCTAGGAGGACAACTCCTCGGGAGGATGTACGATGGGTCACATGTGGCCTAAGTGCGTGGGCTTCCACTCACCCTCCCTACTCTACAGATACAGAAAGCCTCCAATATTGATTTTGGATCAAACTTTGACGAAGCATTTTGAAAATTACTATTCAAGATATACCAAAATTCAAGTTGTATAGATAATGTTATCACAAATATTGATGGAACAGAAGTGAGGGTTTTTTAATCTTGTTCGTCAGAACGTCAAGGACAATATCTGATGATAAAAGATCTTCGCGATGAAATACCTAATCAAATAGATTCGGGAATCTGTACAATTCGATATGCTCCATAAGAGGTTGATTGCCTGTCTTTGAAACAACTAATGAACAAATTTTACACTTTTCTTGTTGGCAAACTCAATGTTGGTGTATATTCTATCCTCAGAATGAAAAAAATCTTTAAATGAAATGAGTAAGGCACCTATTTCATTGGTCAAGTTATTCTTTGAATCACACTTGAGGGATAGCCTCAGTCAAAGTTAAATAGGATGTATCCAAAACACCGATTAGATGTTTCAAAAAACTTTTATCAGAATGAAGTGGAAGAAGTTAAAAAAGTTACATGCGACCAGTATATTGTCTCCTTTGGAAAGTTCCGAATTTTGAGTCTAGTGGGAAGAAATGAATCACAATTTTGTGAAGAAACATGTTGAAAATATATTTTCCGTTAACCAGCTATCGCACCCCTACGAAAGACAACCCTCAGAAGTCGAAACTTGTGCGAGCTAAGGATTAACGGGGTCTTACCTTTCAAGGTATTATTTCTAACACGTGTTGGACGATAGCAAGTGAAAATCGATGGTTCAGCCTGCGACTTGTACCACCGACTCACACAGCGGTCGATTGAGTGAGTGAACCAAGCACCCACGCCGAACCGACCGACTACCGACCTAAATGTAGCAGAAAATAGCATAAAAACTATTTCTCACTGTAGAAATAATATACTCATCATTTTTATGAGCTTTTCGTCCCTCTCTTATTCCTTTCTGCTCTGAATAGAATAGGGTTGTCCCCGTATATGAAAAAGATGATCATTTATTTTCGACCTATTAGAATTATTCGTTAACTGTCTAAAATATTGAAATTATTCTGAAATAGAAAATAAATAGACCGAATCGCAAGAATAAATCGATTTTCCAAACACTATCAGTATTGTGAAAGAATTGAGATCTTTAGGAAACCACTCTGTACTCAAACTGTATAATCTTTACAAGATTATGATTGCATACCTCACAGCATTCTTCCCGAAAAATTTCCATTTTATAGTATAAGAGAAGTGGTATTGCTGTCACTGATCTAATCTCACTGAAAACAGTGTTTTCAGCGTGTTGGTATCAATAGAGCCATTTTTGCTCCCACGGGGTCCCACACGGCTCAGTTTCGGGGCCGCTCCCCTTATAATCTACGTGACCGATATCCATAAACTATTGCATCCTATCAAATGTTTATGTATTATTTGCTGATGACACTACTCTCGTTTTATTTGGATACTAACGTGAGAAACTCAGCCAAGAATCAAATAAGTCGAAAGATAAAGCAGAAAAGTGATTTTATAACAATAATTCCAAATTTAACTTGAACGAAACTCAGTCACTGCTATTGTCAACTCACTCATCATGCCATAGCGGTTGAGCTTTTGAGGATCATAATTGACGAAAAACTAAATTGGCAAGCTCAAAAGTGTGGTAAATACTGAAATTCTGAATATAGTGTATTTCATTATCACCTTTACAATGGAATTATTCTATGAGGAAACTCGTTCTAGTGGCATACTGTTTTCTTTCAACAGAGGAAAGCCTTGAGAGTAGGTACTAGCTGATGCACTTCACAGAAAACATTTAGATAGAATTCTACCAGAGTTACATTCACAATCAATGACTCTTGGACTTATCGATTTAGACTAACTCTTCTCATAGGGAAATTTCCAAATACTTTCGGTAGTGTATAAATTATCATGTGGGTCATGTCCATTGTTTTATGTAGGTCAAACTGGAAGAACGTTCAAAGCCTGCATAAAGGAACACAAAAATAGTTTCCGGAATGGAAAAATTAATTCTACTCTTTTGATCATAGAGAGACATGAGTTCAACTATGAATTCAAGCCCATCCATTTCCAAAAGAAAGGTTTGAAACTTAACCTGTTGGAGAGTATGGAAATAACAAAATTCAAAAACTTTCAATATCTAATGAACGATCGAACTGAACTGAATAATTCGCCATTATTGAATCTATTTATTTCCAAGCAATAAAAGTTAAGTATATTTACGGTATTTTCGAAAATTTACCTTTTCAGGTAGATTCATTCGTTAGAAAGTAGACATACAAGTAGGTAATATGTTAGAGCATACAATAGTTGTAATTTAGAAGCAACTTTTATTTCACGCTTTAGAAAGCTATTCTATAGCGAAACACGTGTCGCGGTTTTTGTAAAATCCTTTATAGTGAAAAGCATACAATAAACTGTATTAATTAGTCTCAGTGTTTCTGAAAAACTCTCTAATTGTATTTATGTTTCTATTCATTCGTATGTACCTATGGTTCATAATGTCATACAATTTATAATTTGACCTTTTCATATTTTGATGATTTGATCATATTGCCTTGTGAAAATATTTGTACTCTGTACCAAACCTTTATCTTGACATATCTTGAATAAAACTTCCATAATGTTTCCAAATAAATCAATATATGAGTTATCACCCTACCCCTATTCCCGGTAGAAAATATGGAGAATGTCACATCCGCTTCAGGATTACGAGTCCTCTTCAATTTTTGGTATCATCATCATACTGAATACATTTTATATAGTTCATGTGAAACCATGTAAAATCCTAGTTACAGACAATCAGGTGTTATGTATTTCAAAATTATGTAAATAAGTGAATAGTTCTTCACTATCAGGAATAAAACTTCAGTTAATCGCTTACATAAAACGCAGAAGCGGGCACTACAAGTCCTTCTCGTCCCAGTCCGTACACCAAACTGCCAAGGCAGCCCAAAGACAGAATCCATCCCCCAATAACAACTGAGGGCGACATCAACATTTTACAGTCTATCCGGAACAGCATATACCCAGTGACGATGCCTATCAGGTATGGGCCTATCCGCAACCAAGGTTTATCGTAAAGCTGGTCGAATAATGCAAACGGTTCTTCCACTCTTGCTACGTAGTCCCATTTCATGGCTATAAAGAAGGTTGTTATCCAGGAGGCAGCCATCAAAAGGCCGATTACGACTGCTGCGAACTTCACGTGTTTGGGGCCCCTGAAAATGAGTGGAATAGAACGGTATATAAGCCGGATGTACAGGGGCCAACACAACTAGATGAGGAGGTAGGTATTAGGAATTCTAAGAAGTGTTAGTCTTTTATGTTATAGTTCCAGGTAGAAACCAGGTAAATAGTAGGTATTAAAACAGGAAGTTATTAACATTAGAAGCAATGACGCTATAACTCAATAAGAAAGGAACGAACTTCCTCTCCAATCGCTAGACAGGACAGTTTTGCCAATAACGACCGCCCTCAAAGATGGCACGTGGATATCGTGGTCTCAGTTGAGTGGAATAAATATTGAAGTGAAATATGAGAGAACTGGCCAGGCTGGATGTCAATAGATCTGACGAAATCATCAGCTGTATTAAATTCATCAACATGTTCATTCGTGTTACTTATAACCGAAGGCCACCCTAAAAGGAGACGACCAGTAGAAAAATGAAATGATTTTGTTGAAATAAGAAGTGAATGGAAAAACTTTGGGTAGCAGCATTGCCTTGAGCAAAACCTCTTCGCACCCGGACGAAGCTACTGTTCACTATGAACAGTAGGCGCCTGGCCAAATGCACTCGAATGAGAAGCAACTATCATAGAAATTAGAGAGAGGGTAAGTATTAGGAATCATTTCGAAGATGTGAGGTGCTGTTCCTTCCAGATACATATGAAAATTTCAACAGCGCCCTAAAGCTCAGTCTTAATCATCTCCTGATGATGCTAGGTTAGGTTGGGTTAGGTCCAAAGTGGGTGGTTCTATTCAACCCTCCACCTCATCCCGCAAAGGTTTATTATGGTTCACACCCATTCACACTCGACCAAGTAAACCCAGCTTCTTATCGAAGCCGATTAGTTTGCACGGTGAGTGGTCTTTCAGATCAAATGGTACGAGTTCGGCTCTGTCGAACTCTAAAAACAGGCGTGTTAGACATCGTAGTTCATCCCTACTCTAGCCTAACAACTGTTTGGTATCAAGCTTTGAAGGGTGAATAAACGCTTTGAAGTGAGTCAATCCTGGAAGACTCTGCCAGAAGTCCATACATCTTTTTGCCATCTAGCTGTTCAATCTTTGTTTGGCAAAGCCTGAAGCGATGCCAATGGAAGGTTCTGGTCCGATGAAGCTGCTTGCAGCACCCTTCTTTGCATGGGAGTCAGCAGCCTCATTGCTTTCCAGGCCGGTATAGCCAGGATTCCAGACCAGAGACAATCTGTTAAGTCTTCCTATCGAAGAGAGTCGATTTTGGCAATTTGGTACCAATTTAGACGTTGCTCGGTGGGGGCCAAAAGCTTTCAACGCCGCTTGACTGTCAGAGAATATTTTTATCGACTTGTGTATGAGGTGGGATTTTTCCAATCACTCGGCACATAATCCAATAGTGTAAATTTCCGCTTGAAATACAGTCGCATAGGTTCCTAGGCAGGTTGATATATGTGTCCTGGGTCTGCGACTGAAAACACCTGCACCAGAACTGGAAGATGTTTTTGATCCATCTGCGAACCAGCATCTGCATCTGATGATGCTAACTCCATTAGCGAAACGCACGTCATGAGATAGTATTTTTGTTCTGTTGTGGTGAAACTTTCTTCCTGTCAGAGGTTCCAATTCTACTTATTATGTCCTTCCAAGAGTTTGCCACTTTCTCTATGGAGAAAATGATAAGTTTGAGAATCATGCATCTTTGGAACTCATCTACTAAAACCAATTGGACATGTCCCAAGATCGACAAAACTGTTCTAATTAGTAGCATACAACTAATCTTATTTATCTTACCTTATTCCTATAAGCAACAAAACTGACGCGATAACGTAAAACTGTGTATCATTGGCGATGTACCAGGACCACAACATGCAGAACTCGTGCTGAGGGTAGAAGTTGTTGATATACAGGGCGTTTCGCCACCAATAGTTATTGCAACTGATATGGTCGATGATCGCTGGTGAAAATACTGATGTGGAATGTAGATATCTCATTATTATCTCATTCAATCCTAATACAAAGAGATAGGCGGGAGTCAGTCGAAAGAACCTGTAGACTAGCATGACAATGAACTTGACGGTACTGGATCTAATGGCGTGGCAGGTTCCATGGGGTTTCCTTGGTTTATCTTTTTTTGAGTCGGAACGGAAGTAAGTGAGGGTAACGAGTAATCCACTAGAAAAAATACGTAAAAGAATTAAATTGAAAAATGATCTTATTATTCAATAATACCAAAAAATAACTAGAGCAATAGAAACAGTTGTTATTCAATTGAAACCACCAGAGTTCAAAAACGGAACATTCGTAACACGAGACAGTATTCTTTGATGGTATCTACTATTGCCACAGATATCTTACGAAGAAACCACGGTAAATTTTCGTTTTGAGGGCACCCGGCGATTTTGAAAAAATGTTTGAGTGTACTTACGTATTTTGATGCGTAGATTACGAATCCGAAAGAAAAAAGCGGCGCTCTCCGTTATTTACAAAGTTACGGCCCTTCAAAGTTCAGAAAAAGGCGACTTTTCAGCCTTTTTTTTTCACAAAATAAACTACTAAAAAACACAAACATTTATTCACAAGGTCACCTTTACACATTATTCCTCTTTCTTTAACACTTTTCACTTCAATAATCAACATTTCTCTTATAAAATAATTAATTTAAAAACGAATGCTTCTCCTGGTGACATTCTTCTATTTCTAGGTTAGTTATTAGTGACATTTCAGAAAAAAGCGGTTGGTATTTGCCGCCGCCTACTATTTCAAATTCCTAATACACCACCAAAAACCAATTTACGATCTTTGAAGTGAAAAGTATCAAAGAAGGAGGAATGAGGTGTAAAGGTGATCTAGTGAATAAATGCTGTGTTTTTAAATAGTTCATTTTGTGAAAAAGAAGGCTGAAAAGTCTCCCTTTTCTGAACTTTGAAGGGCCGTAACTTTGTAAATCACGGATTCGTAATCTACGCATCAAAATACGTAAGTACACTTAAAATTTTTTTCGAAATCGCCGGGTGCCCTCAAAACAAAAATTTACCGAAACCACCTTTGGTATAGACATAATATTCAAACTGTTAATGTCAACAATAAAAGAGGTTCTCAAAGGCAGTTCGTTGCAAAGCCAAAGTTTGCCATCGAGCGTAGAATAACATTTGTCCTGTCTTTTCTTTACTCAGGCTTGTTTTCAGGGATAGTTGAGAAGCAGCTTAGCGCTATTGATGAGTCTGGTTGTCTGTCTGTTGAATGCATTGTTTCTGGGCGTTGGTTGATTGCTGGGCTGCGCTTGCTTGGTCGGATGCTGGTCATTCATTACTTTGAACACAGTCAAGAAGATGGTGAAAGTTCAGTTTGCAGAATTGGTTACTATTTGATTGAACTAGCATTTATCATTTGGATGAGTAGCTCTTTTGGATGAAATATCTCTATTGATTCTTATCTACCACATGTTTTGACTTTTGAAGTTTATTGTCACTAGGGAAAGACAGCTGTCAAAAGAAAACAAGTAGAAACATTTCTATTTTCTCTGCAAAATAACCTGGGACTGATACAAACATTACTCAATCCCTGACTTGACATCGATGTATTTCCAGGGTGAGAGCCATTTACTTTAACTGACTTCTTATTTCCTTCATGAACGCAATATGCTGACCAACTAGCTGGCAAATCAAATAGTAGATCTATATAGTTTCTGATAATGTGACTGACACACAGTGACTGACCATTGGGAATGAATGCTGCCACTTTTATTCCCAATGATTGCACTCATTCTTGCCACAGTCTTCAATCGAAATTCCGTTGCTGATCAGAATGCAGTTCTAAGGAAACTCTGCGCATTTATACTAAGCTCTTCATTCAGAATGAATGAATCTCAGAACATCGCCTTCAGGTTGCCACTGATATTAATGAAAAATTTCCTACTTTCTATATGGTAGTTCTGGACAGATACTATTTCCTCCAAGGCTGTTCTGGACAGTTTCATCGACTCGATATTCTTCTTTGAAATACAAAAATTTTTTATAACGTCTGTTGACCAAATAGTATTCCTCGCGATCAACTAGAGTTGTTTAGATTCTAGAGTTTTCTTCTACTCATCTGCTATAGAGTTATTTTTGGTCAACTTCAACTTATACCTTTGGTGAGAATAATCATTGTACAACAGTTGATTCGTCTACGATCGTCTACGTTACTGCTTTTTGAACCCTTGGCAACTGAACCCATACGTTGAGATGTCAAAGTAATCTTTTAAGATTTTTTTTTTCAAATCAACTCCAAATTATTATTCTCCTTCTAGCTTTCTTCCATCCCATAGTTAAGGGGTCCCTCAGAAGACAGCTACGCTTTCACATATTCCAGTTCATTCTACGGTGACCATGGTTATTTGCATCGAAGGAAACTTGGTCTGAGCCCAAAACAGCTTGGACCTCCAAGCTTATTCTTTGGGCTGCATCAGTTCTCAGCTACCTAAATCTTTCATTGGTCAGTCTCAATTCCATCCTCTGAGTTCAGGTTACTGAGAGGCTCCACTGGCTTTAGGAATATCCAACACTTCTTAGAGTTGAGCTTCAGCCGAACATTTGTTAAAATATCGTTCAGATACGCAAAGCAAATTTTTCATATAAGAACTCACATAATCGATTCCATCAATCTTTCGAACGTGGCTGGAGTACTACACAGCTGATTGGTAGATCCAAAGTGAGTTGTCGACCCTATACTATAGACTGCGAGGATTATTTGATGCTCACACCCACTCTAACTCGACCCACCAAATCCAGTTTTTCAACCAAGCTGATTACTTTATTAGCTGAGTCATATTTCAGGTCATCGGGCAATCTCTCAAACTCAATGTAGCTCGCGGCAGAGTAGGCACAGAGTATATGTTCTGCTGCAAAAACCCGAATTTTCTTGTTAAGAATTATCCAGAATACGAACTGCATTCATGAGCCAGCAAATGCTCTTCGCAATAGTACTTGTGGACAAGTATGGCCGCCTTAATGACATACTAAAGGAAATCCAATTGATTGGTTATTACTGAGGTTGTAATAAGATGTTCGAGGTGCAAGATTTCCACAGCAACATTTCTATATCAAGACATCTGTGAGTGAAGCGTGAATCATGATTCAAGCGTGAGCGTTTGCTAACCTTATCAGGCGGAGTTTGTTTTCTTTCCTGATGCAGAGTCTGCTTCTACTGCTCAAGAAATTAATGCGAGACAGATGAGTTGCTTTCTGACTGCACCACCTAGTCTCTCAGGTGTCTTAACAGGATAAAGAATTGAGAAACTGGGAAGCTCTGAGGTCGTTTTGACGATGTCCATCACCTCTTCAGACCCAGGATCAGATTCTTTGGTTACTTCATGGTCTCTTAAATAGCTGAGGAAATGGGGTCCATAACGGCAATACCCCGCATCATCGTGACGGAGGCCTTTCACGACCAAAAGGATTAGTATCTGCACGGAAGACTCCGTTGAATGGTGCAGTATTACACAATATCGATGAGAGAAGTTCAAACTGGTGCAGCTCAGTCCTAGAATAAAATGCATTTCTGCCATCTTTCACCAATTCAATTTGCTTTGCTTCTTGTTGGACCATTACCATTTTTAATCTTGTTTTCTTCATTCATCGTTCTCAATTTTTTTTTTTTTTAATTTCTTCGTACTTTGTCTATTTTTGCTACCTCGTCACAATCATAAATCGGTGTACTGCCCATAAACAATGAATCCGGATCTCTTTTCAGTACCACTTATGCCACTGTTACCGTTATCATACTTATACTTTTGTAAAATGAAAGGTGAACTTTTCAATTAACAAATTCATTGAAATGAAAACGAAAACATAGCTCAAAGTGGTTGTACTTATACACAGCTTTTTATTTCCCATCTTGAATACGTTTCTAGTTATAAGGATATGTTATAGAATAGTTACTCACCTAATGAAGAAAAACGTATCGACAGAGAATGTCGCATTAGAAATTGTCTGGTACATGAACTTTCTCTCTGTCAATATTCTCACACTTTTATTGTCGGCCACAGAAAATACCTCCAAATAGGAATGTACCAGTATTATCCATGCTATTGAGAAAAATCTCAAACCATGAATACATGTGATAGACTCTAATGATATCCTTTCTACAGACAAAATTTTCTTTCCATTTGATAATGCCGAAAATGATAGTAACACTTTCAATGGTAGCCCTGTAAACAAAATTAGATCATTATCATTGATTTCAGCATCTATTTGTTTTGAGTGTTGGAATTTTTAGTGTCATTACCTGAATGAATCAATGGATGAAACATTAAATAGAAAAATCTAATAATAACAAAATCTTCAGCGATGTGCTGATTTTGTTTAAAGTTTTACTGGTGGTATCAAAGTTTTCGTTCAATAAAAATGGCTGAAGAAGACATTGTGTTGTAATTTGTTTATTTTGGCTCACCATATAGATATTTGGAAGAGCCATGTCAAAGTTGGAGAGACATGTGATAGAGGTTGTTTTTTTTTTGTAATTGAAGTATTGTGTTCTATTAGTGTAATTGTCATATATTAGAATGTAAATTAAACTTAGTGGAACATTTCTACACACCCTGAACCGGAAAACGTTTTATGACAAAAAGTGATGATAAAACCAGGAGATTTTGAAGAAAGAGAATGTTGACTGCATATTCGTAATCAGCGGAAAAAATACTTGACAGTCAATAAAAAATTCTAATCAATTTCATTTGACTGAATGTTTCTAAGCTCAATTGGCACTTATCCAAGGTCACCTAATTCATTTTCAATTATCGAGTGACTTCAAAAGTATTTTGTCGCATTCTGCTTTCAATATTTCAAAATATTGCAAATAACACTTCAAAGTTTGAATTGGTGATAAGGAGAGGGTGGAAAATTTCATGGCAAAATCAATGTGTATAAGTGTTTTCCTGAAAAAAAAACAGAAAATGAAAAAATACAATTTTGTAACAAAATAGTCATAATTCACTCTGCTTTTATAATAGTGTTGAGGTGGTAACCATGAAACATCAATTGCCGTGTCCAAAAATCAACATAAATCAAGGGTGGTGAAGTGGATGATGTATTCAACAATGTCAGTTACACTTAATTGACCATATTCGTTAAAGATGAAAGTAATGTTTCATGACTCACTGTTGTCAATTATAACTTTTGTCATAATTTTCAACGTCATTTGTGACAATTATTCAAAAATGAAATCGAACTGAATTTTCTTCATCAATGTTTGGTATTGTTCTTTCCTCAACAAAAAGGAATGAAACTAAAAAACCAAAAATCAGTAAGTCGGAGAGATAACATCTGTTCTTACGAAGACTCCATCACAAGATTGACAGGAGGCTCAATCAACAAATATCAAAGATAACAATGTTTTTCAAGACAGTACATTCCAGAGCTAGCTGAGCTTCGACGTCGATGTCCGAACGATATTGGTCTCTGTCTTTCACTGCAAGACAATTATTTGAAACCAAAATCCAAAAAACAATGCATCCGCGTTGCAACACCAAACAGCGTTTTTTCAACCGTAAGTCACACCAGTGGGGCTAGCTGAGCTACGAATGCACTTTCCGGCTCGAATGTTTTCAAACGATCAGTCTTAGTGAGCCCTCTATTAGATTTTCATTCCATATTAAATATTCTTAGATCGAGTCTTCTGTCAATCACTCAGATGTGGTCTTCATGAAGGATCATATCAGCATCTTCATTCACTCAGACTTGTTCTCTAGCCTCTCCTGTAGCCAGCCAACCCTCTTGGCGGGTTGACTGTTCTTGTTCACCTTTCACTGCCTGAACCACTGTGCATGCTGTTTTAGTGCATTGGCTTGGGATGTGGGGGTTAAGCAAATCGGCCATCGGATGCCTGCCTCCACGTAGCCCCGCTGAATACGGAAATGACAGGTTCACTTGTGGTTCTGTTATTCCCTAACTGAATGGCATCCCAACGATTGCCCATTTCTAAGGTATGTATCCGTGCCGAGAGGATGAATGTCACTGAGCCTATCAGCTGTCTCTACGGAACTTTAGAAATACTAGGCGCTCTCTCGTCGTAGCATCGCCTTGTCACGGTAATGCGGGGCTCCGCCGTGTTTGACCTTCTTTCCCTAGCTGCTTGTGACACTTTTATGGAGAGAATAAACTTAAAAATTCTTTCTGTCGCTGTGTCTACAGAGGAGATGGATGTCGGGCTTGCAACTCCAACTGACCTCCCAGCAAATTTAGATCGGAAGCGAGTCTACAGAGGAGATAGATGTTGAGGTTACGACTCCAACTGACTTCCTTGTGAATTTAGATCAGGAGCAAGAGCTTCTCAACCTCCAACTCCTAATCCAATAACTGAACCTATGAAAAGGTTTGGTGATGCAACCAGGAAACGACTGAGTCGTTTCCTCAAGAGCGGGGTACCTTATGAAACCGCCTTGCATCCAATTTCTTGAGCGGCGTACGCAAAATCTGTCTCAGGTGGAGGAACAAATCCCTCATAAGCAGGTTAGCAAACTTTTGCGCTCAAGTGATGAGTCACCAAAACCAGAGGTGAAAAAACCCTGCACGGTTGAATGTAGGGCATCGTCAGGTGTAGCTGACCTGCAGAGACCCTCATATGGGAAGGTTGTCGCGGGTATCAAGGTGGGAATCTTGCACCTTGACTATCCGACTACCTCATTAACGATGAAATAGCAAAACATACACTTTGTGCCTGCCCCGCTGGAGACCGAATCAGGTTTTTAGAGTTCGGCAGAGCCGTACTCTTACCATCTGACCTGAAAGACCACTCACAGTACAAACTAATCAGCTGGGTTTATTTGGCCGAGTGTGAATAGGTGTGAGCCATAATAAACCCTTGTGGGTTGCGTTGGAGGGTCGAATACACCCACTCACTTTGGACCCAACCTAATGCTTCTCAATAGAAATTAGTATTTGAATTTCATTTTCAGATCATTGTCACGATGCTATTGTCAATCATCACTGCAATCAGAGTTGCCAAAAATGAAATATACAAGTGAACAATCACGTTAATCCTTGACAAATTTCTATCTTTTTTTCCGAAGGTAAAGCCAAAATGATTCCAACAATATGTACCCACCATCTGAGTTACCATTATTTTCTTTATGTTTATCACATTTTTCATTGCGCAGAACCATTTCGGTACTCCTACTCATGCTGCTGCTACTTCTTCTGGAAATTGTATTGTTATTCTCTATTTGTGGGGTATGCTTCACAACTTCTCTGAATCTATTCATCCTCAAGACTTCTACTATAGTTGAAATCATAATCAGCACGAGGACTACCAGAAAAGTTCCGCTGGAAAATAAAACTTCAGTAAGAATTTGAAAACGAGGAACAATAATAAAACAGTCCAGGTTAAAATGTACGTTACATCTAGATTGTCGCATGGACCAAAGTATTATTTGGCGATAACTCTTGAAATAAATGTAAGGATCCTATTGGAAAAGTTTTCGATTCCCTATCAGCAGCCCTCAAAACAACAGAAAAGAGTTATATCAGCTGCTACGGATGAAGCTCCGGCTATGACAGGACGTCACAAAGGCTTCATAGCGTACATAAAAAATTAAATTTCAGATGTGCTCGCTGTACATTGCGTCATTTATAAGCAACATTTGCGAAAAATTTGAGCGAGCGCCTCTCTCACTCACTGCAATATATCATCAAAGCAGTTATTAAAATCCAAAACAGCTCTTTAAATAACAGATTATTCAATCAGATGTGTGTTGCTAATGATGAAGATTTCATCCGATTGCTATTTCACACAGAAGTGCGTTGGTTATCAAGAGGTAACTGTCTGACTCGATTTTACAATCTATTTGACTCTGTAATAGAGTTTTTGGAAAACGAAGACAAATAAATAATTGCACGACAACCTCATCATATCAAAGAATGATATTGCGAACTCGATAGACGTGTATAAATTATTCAATGAGGTCCACCTCCAACTTCAAGGTTATGATTGAATTTGATTAATATAAAAAATGTCATTGCTGCTTTTGTAGCCAAATTGCTCTTATACAAGAATAATATCGGCAGGGGTGAGTTTCGCAATTTCCCTAATTTATCAGCAGTATCCTTCAACAACGACGACTTGCTTGTTTACTGCCAACATTTGGAGAACCTCAACAGTGATTTTGCAGAACGATTCCAGGACATTTTAAAATTGGAAATACCGGACTGGGTGTTGGATACTTTTTCAAATGTCAACACAGCAGAATCACCCCAGCCGGAAGAACTCATAGAACTGATAACGAACGAGGAAATAAAAACAAAATTCAAAAATGGATACCAAGAATTTTGGCTATAAAATCCAATTCCCCAATTGTACCCTGTATTATGATCCATCGATCAACAATTTTTGATAGCATTCCCATCATCGTATTTGTGTGAACATAGATTTAGTGCTGTGACAACATTGCTAACTTAACAGAGAAATCGGTTGCAGATAACCGAACGCGGTGACTTACGGCTGTTTTTGAGTAAATTCGAGTCGAGTCGAGTTAAAAATCATCAAATTCATCCTTCACATTATATTAGTTTCAAAATTCAAATGGAAATGTTTGTTCATCATGAATAAAAGTTTTCGTAATAATACAAAATGGTGTTTTACATTACAGAAAGTCTTATTTTCACATGACACAAGTAATTTAATTATTAAAATAAGGACTGCGATTGAGATGTAGTAAAGTAAATAATTTGAGGGGCGCTAGAATATAATTAATTCCCGAAGTGGGCGGCAGACAAAATAAGTTTGAGAACCTCTGATCTAGCAGATAATAAGCATGAAAAAAAGATGAAATGAGAGAAAAATTTGAACATCAGTAGCATTCACCAAGAGGGTCAGGATAGGTAGAGTCAAAAATGAGTACGTTTGAAATTTCGAGGTGGAAAGACAGTTTTGTGATAGAACGAATATCCCAGACTGATCTGTCACCATCATTTGTAAAGGATAAAGAAGGCGAGGTTGTATCGATGCTGACAAAATTCACTCACAAAAAGTCATGAAGCAGCAAAAAGACACGATATGCTGGCCTAACAAAAGTCATCATCATTATTAGTTATTTCCTGATGATGCTAACTTGGTCAGCGAAACGTGCGTCAAGAGACAGCATTTTTGTTCTGGTGGAAAAAAAATATCTTCGATAGAATCATTTCAGGCCAGAGGTTCCAAATTCTACTTGAAAAGACTCGTGATAACATATGGAGGTCTTTGGTCTGGTAACCAAATATGACCCAAACAACTAGGGAGGAAGACAATAGTGGGCCGTACCTTATTGAAATGCCGAGTATGTAAACGGATGCAAAACCAAACATTGGACGGAATCTGGAATATAATGTGCAGATACAAATTCACTTTATAGTTTCCTCTTCATAATGAATGAACAGCTGATGGGTGTACCAGACAGGAATCATCAATTGCCTGTATGAACTTCGACAAGCTGGTGGGGTATCAAAATAATTGGTAAAGAAACAGAACGGGAAATAAATGAAAAAAACACAAGTGGTTTATAGAAAATAATATTGAATGCAGAAGAATATAAAAAACATCCAATAAAGAGCCGCAAATCCCTAATTCTGCGATATTTTCTGAAGAGAGTGCTTTTGTCACTTCTTCACAGTTGCCGTTCAACTCTTCGAAACAGTTACGATCTACCAATCTGAAGGAGGATTAATTTTACTCATTCACTAATCATACTAATCTGCGCCTTCGGATTACAACAGCCATAACCCATCAGTTTCCTCATCAATTCCAAGAAATACACTTCACTCAATTCCCCCAAATTGCATCATCCTAATTCAGCTCGACTAGCACTTTCTGAATAGTCTACTAGCCATTCATTAACACCTTCTACATTTCAAATCAAGTGAACGCGATTTGATCGCTTCAGCATCGCTGACTCCGTTCATTTGTTCTCCCCGACTCGGCTAAATGGAATTTGGGCCAATGTCAGTTGAGAAACTCGATAGAAATTACTCATCGATTTTCTTACCGTTGACTGGATCTTTTCCACAGAATTAACTGTAAATGTCCTCGGTACTTCTGAGACAAACGAATATCTGGAATGGATATATTAAATCCAGCAGCTTTCATTAGTTAGATCTGGATGGAAATAGCTGTGACCGAAACCTTGTATATCTTTGTTATTTCACGGTACAATATAATATAAATTAACTAGTGGGTTTTACTTTTGGTAGCACAGTTTCATTGCATTGAAATCCCCTAAACTAAAAGGTTTTTTTCATAGAGGTATTGAACTTTAAGTTGGCAACAATTTTATTACTGACAGCCATTTTGTCAGCTGTCAAGTGAATTATGTTCAGTTCGGTGCAGTAAAATCCCCCAAACTAAAGGGTGTTTTTTTATAGAGGTATAGAACTTTAAGTTGGCGACACTGTTTTAACTGACAGCCATTTTGTCAGCTGTCAAGTGATTTATGTTTAGTTTGATTTGGCATTTCAACATGACTGATGGCTAAACAACGCTTCCGAATTATGCAAATTTACTTTGAAAATCGTGGTTATGTTCGAAATACCTATCGCGCACTACGTCCATTTTACGGTCAGTATAATCGTCCATCAGAGCAATTAATGGCACGTATTTAATGTTTTCGCACCACGTGTAGTTTAATGCCCATATTCGCTGTATACCAGTAAGCGAAGCTTAAGGGGTAAGCTCGCTTATCAGTTTTGTATGCACCGTATCAACTAACGTCTTTAAGTTCGCTTGAATATAAGCGGCCAAATTTGGTGGCTTTATACAGTGCGGTCCATGTGTATGGAATAAATTCATTTTTAGCGGTATTATGAACTATGTGAAAAAACCTGAATCAGGTCGATTTTTATTCTCAAATTGACAATTTACAGTATGAAAATATTATCCTCCTCCAGAAAGACGTACAATACAGGAAATGGCAGCGACTAACGGTTTCTCGAGGGGTATTGTGGATGACATAATAAGGAAGAAGAAGTTTAGGTTAAGAATGAACTAAATCTCAACTTTCAGAAAGGACAAGAACCAAGATAAATACATCTCAGTACCATACCACCAATATACGAGGAACTTTGGAAAGATTTTCAAGGAACTAGGTATGAAGGTGGTTTTTAAAACAAGTCATACACTACAGAGCCTTTTGGGAAGTCCAAAAGACAAAGTCGAGAATTCGGAAAAGTCTGGAATTTACGAAATTGAATGTAAGGACTGCGATGCACAGATGGACAGACAGTCTTTCAAGACACGTCTTTCAAGAGTTGAAAGACACGCCAGATGAAGCCATTGTATGGCGAAACACGTGTTGCGTTTTTGTAAAACAATTTAGTGAAAATCTCACAATAAAGTGTTTTTGGAATACGTTAATTGTAAAAATCAATTTTCTCAGTTATGATTGCACCAAACTCAAAAAACTTCATATTGCTGAACAGAGGACTAAAATCCCTTTCCAACAAAGTGCCACACGACCCCCTTTGCTATTTAAAATTTTCGAGGGGGTGCTAATAATTTAGAACGGGTGCTGGAGGGGAATAATATTTCCATACTGTAAATTGTCAATTCAAGAATAAAAATTGACCTGTTTCAGGTTTTTTCCACATAGTACATAATAACGCTAAAAATTAATTTATCCCATACATATGGACATATGCACTGTATGTAAAGGCAAGCTCATGTAGACATCATAACCTCACTTATTATTCTTCAGTTTTTGAAATGATGCAAGTGTCGTTTTGCTTAAATGTTTTATCAAACGGACTTGTGAAATTAAAATCAGTTGTTGCAGAATGATCGAACTAGAAGATGAAATCATGCTGGAAGGCGATAATGGCATCTTACACATCATTGATTTTGGATATCTACGAAGAATTTTTAGGAGGCCCAACTATTTCGAGGAGATGGATGATATAGCCTTTTATAGAAGATTCGGACTTACCAAGCTGGCAACAATATATTATGTGCTGGAGCTCATAGAAGAAGCTGTACCGAAAACGATTTGTGAAAAAACTTTCTATTGCTTTTACTTTTTTTTAATACAATTACATAAGATATAACTATCCACATGTAAAATAGCAAATGTATAAATGGTTTATAATATTACTATTGTTCAGCAGAGCTGGCCATCGGCCAAGATGCAGGTAGTCCTAAGTAGAACATTGCTCTCTCTGTAGGTGGTCAGTTAGATCTAATTTTTCAATACAGGGGACTATGATTGAATTGCAAAAATCAATTCTCCGTTGAAGTAAATTTTGAAACTCTTACTTTTTCATTCATTTCGCTAGTAATAGATATGAAAATTCACTGTTAA